AAAAAAAAGTTATTTTTAAACGTTAATTTTAATATTTTATTTAATTTTTTATATATAATATACGTGTTTTTTATATAGTTATTATTTTTATTATTTATTATATAATGGTTTTATTATATATTTTAAAAAAGGATAAGCTTTTTATTATAAAGAAAATTTTTAATTAATAAACTTTTAAATTTTATAATTATTTTTTTTATATTAATTATTTTAATTATTTATAATTAATAACGTTAATTATCCGAAAAAGTAAATGCTTTTTTAAATTAATTTTTAACTTTAAACGTATTTTTTAAGTTTTTTTTATTTTTATTAACGGTTTTTTTTATTGTTTTTTTTTTATATTTATTAATTTTATTTTAAGCGTTAATTATATTTTTTTTATTAACTTATTAATTATATTTAAACGGTTATTTTATTTATTTAATTAAGTATAAATTTTTATTATTTATTTTTTTTTTATAATTTTTTTTATTTTTTATTTTTTTTTATTTTTAATAAAGTTAAAAGGTTATAAAAAATCTTTTATTTTTAAGTTAAGTTTTATTTTTTAAGGTTTTAATAAAAAAATTAAAAACATATTATATAATTATAAATATTTATTAAAAAATATAAATTAATATATTAATTTATTTATAAGTTTAAAAATTTAAAATAATTTAATATATTTCGGAATTAATTTAAAATTAATGTTTTTAAGTTTTAAATTTTTAATTAATAAATTAATTAAATCGTTTTTTTAACGTTAAAAGCATATATCGTTTATTATAAAATTTTATTTAAAATTTAATCGCGTGTTTTTAATGTTTTTTTATTTTATTAAAATATTTTATATTATAAGTTATTTCTTTTATTATCGCTTCGTTTATTTTTTTTTTTAAATTTTTTATAGTTTTTTAAAAAACTTATTAAATATTATCCACTTAATTTAATTAATTATTTTATTTAATTAAATTTTTAAAAATTAAATTTTCGTTTTTTCGAATTATTTTTTTTAGGTTTTTACCGTTCGGAATAACGTTAATTTAACTTTTATTAATAATATTTAATTTTATTTAAATTTTTTTAATTTTTTTTATAATTAAAATAATGTAATTTAAAATTTATAGGATTTTTCTTTTTATTTTTATATTTAATTTTAAAATTATAAAATAATAAATATATATACCATTAAAATTATTTCTCGTTAAAATTTAATTAATTTATAAAAATATATAAGTTTTAATAATTTAATAAAACTTTTATAATATATTTATTACTTTATAAATATTATTTTTAATATTTAAAAAATTTAATAATTATTATTATTTTATAATTTAATATACCGTAATTTAATTTCGTTTAATTAAACTTTTTTAATTAAAAAATAATAAAATAATATACCTTTTTAAATAATTATAATATTATATTTATTATAACGTATATTAATATATTAATTTTAAATTTAATTAATAATTTAAAATTAAAATAATGTAATAAAAAAATTTTAATAAAAATATTATATAATTTATAAAATATAATTATTATTTTATTTTATAATTATATTTTTCTTAATTTTTTATCATTAATATTATTTTAAAAAAAATTATAAAAAAGTTTTATTATACCGGAATAACTTTTAATAAATTTCTTATAAAAATTATAAAAACTTAAAAATTATTATATTTTTTAATACGTAATAAACTTTAATTATTTTAATATAATTTTTACTTTAAATAAATTTATAAAAATATTTATTATTAATATAATAAATCTTAAAAATTCGATTTTAAATTTATAAAAAATATATTTAAATGGTTTAATGTAAAAGTTATATTTTTAAAATCTTTATAAAATTAATTTTAAATATTATATATAAAATTTTTAATCTTTAAAAAATATTAAAATATTATTTAAATATACGATATAAAAAATATTTAAATAATTATAAAATATTTAATAAATAAAACTTTAAAAAGTAATAAATACATTAATTAATTTAAAAAATATCATTAAATATTTATAATATTTATAATAAGTTTAAAAAGTAATTTTTTATTCGTTATTTTATTTAATATATATCCGGTAATATATATTTTTAAAATTAATTTTAAAAAAGTATTACGCTTTAAAAATTTGGTTTAAAATTTCGGAAATAAAAAGTAATAAATATTTGTTTTTAATTATATTTTTATTAAGATTTTAATAATTTATATAAAGTTATAAATTTCCGTTTTTTTTAAATATAAAAAAAATAAATATATTAATAAGGTTTTTAAATTTACGTATTTTTTTTAATTTAAGGTTTTCTTTTATATATTAACGAAATATTTTTAATTCGTTCCTTATTAATAAATAAATAAAGTAATAAAAAAGTATAATTTCAAGGGGTATATTAATAATATAATTAATATTTTTATATAATAAAAATTTATTAATTTTTTTAAATTTAAAAACATTTATATAATTTTATAATTTCGTAAATAAAAATTCTTTAATTAATATAATAAGTAAATTTTTTTCGTTAAATAATAATATATTTTTAATAAATAAAAATATAATTTCTTTTATAATAATAATAATAAATATATAAGTTACGTTTTTATTTTTTTTAATAAATTTATAAAAATTTAAAATTTTATATTTAAACATGGTTATTTTAAATTATCATTAATTTTTATTTAAGTTTAAAATAATTTATTTTTCCTTTAATATTATTATTAATAATAAAATAAAGCTTTTATAATTTTATAAATTTTTATTAATTATTATATAATCGCGTATAAAAATTCGTATAATATTATAATTATTAATAATAATAATTAATATTTAATAAATATTATAAATAAAACATATTAATATATTAATAATTTTAACGATAAAAGTTATACGTTTTATTTTTTATAACTTTATTTTTTTAATAAATTATACGTTAATATAATTAATTTTAACGTAAATATTTATATTTATAAAAGTTTTAATATTTTTTTTAACGGTATAAATAATAATTTTAATATAAAAATATATAATTACCTTTATATTATTATTTTTTAATTTTATAATTATAAAAGTAACATTTATAAAACTTAATTTTTTTTTATTTTTTTTTTCGGTAATTTTTTTTTTATAAATCTTTATTTTTAACGTTTTCCTTTTTATTTTTATTTTTATTTTTATCGTTATTTCCGTCCTTATTTTTATCTTTATTATTATCTTTAAAAAATTAATATTATTTCGGATAATAATTAATTAAATAATATTTATTATCGCAAATAAAATAATAAAAAATCTTTTCGTTATTTTTTTCTTTATTTTTCCATTTTTAACGATTATTATTATTTTTATTTTTTTAATAAAATAATAAATAACCGCGGTTATTAATGCGTTAATTTTTATTAAAAAAATTATTATTATTATTTTTTTAACGTTTATTTTTATTTCCCGCTTATTATGCGTTTTATTTAATTTACGTTTATTTTATTATTTTTATTTTAATTTTTAATTTTTTTTTTATAACTTTTTAAATAAATTCGAAAATTTTATATTAATTTAATATAAAAAGTTATAACTCGGATAATATTTAATTTTAATTTTAATTATTATTTAAATAAATTAAAATAATTATTAAATACTTTTAATTTTTATATTAACTTTTAACGTATATTTTTAAATTATTTTATTATATAATATTTTTTATTATTAATATTTTTAAATAAAGTTAATATTTATTTAATAAATCCGTTATAATTTTAATAAATAACATCGCGTTTATAATGTAACTTTTTTTTAATATAATATCGTTATAATAATTTTAATTTTTAATTCATGTAATTTAAAATATATAATATTTATTTTTAAGATTTTTTAAAATTTTTAAATGTTTAATAAAATATTAAATTAAAATTTTTAAACCATTTTTTTCGTTTATAAAAAAACCATTTTAATTTAAAAATATTAATATTATTAATTTTTAAATTAAGTTTTTTATTATTATTATTATTTAATAATAATTTAAAAAAATTATCGAATTTAATTTTTCGTTTTCGTTTTCGTTTATTATTTAATAATTTATTTAATTCCTTTTATTTTTTTTAATTTAATTAAATAATATTTTATTTTAAATATTTTTTAAAGTTTTATAATATATTAATTAATATTAATTATAATAAAACGATTAATTTTAATTTTAATTTCGGTAATTTAATAAGTTATATTTTTAAATATTAAATAATTAATAATATTACGTTAAAAACCATTTAAAAATTTTTCTTTAAATCGGGTAAATTTTAATAAACCGGTTTTTAATTTATTTATATTAATTCCTTTTTAATTATAATCATTTAAAAATAAATATTTAATTTATTTTTTATTTTTATTCGTTTTTAATAAATTTAATTCTTTTTTTTATATTTTAATAATAATTTATATTATTTAATATAATTATTTTAAAAAAAATTTATATAAATAAATAAAATTTATTAAATTACACGTGAAAAATAAAAAAAATAAAAATTAAATAAAGTTTTTTAAATTATTATTATTTTTAATTAATAACTTTTTATAAATTAAATTACCGGAAATAACTTAAGTATATTTTTAATAAATTTATTTTTTTAATATATTATTTATTAAATAATTTTTTAAAAAAACTTTAAAATTATAAAAATAAAATAAATAAAATTAAATAATAAATAATAAATTTATAATTATTTAAAATTAAAACTTAAAAATTTAAAAAAAAAAATATTTTTAAACGTTAATTTTAATATTTTATTTAATTTTTCGTATATAATACACGTACTTTTTATATAACCGCCACTTTTATCGTTTATTATATAATAACTTTATTATATATTTTAAAAAAAAATAAACTTTTTATTATAAAATTTTTTTTTAATTAATAAACCTTTAAGTTTTATAATTTTATTTATTTTATTTTTATATATTAAAAAAATATATTTAATTATATAAAAATTTATATAATAATAAAAATACCCGATTTATATTTTTTTCGAATAAACTTTTTTAACGTTATTACGCAACAAAAATAAACAACATTATATTACGCGGCTAACATTATTTTTAATTAATTATATACATAATTTTTAACTTCTTTATTAAAAGCGCCCGCGGTTAAAGAAGAAACGACGGGCGTAGGCGGACTACAAGATGATATTCGTCTTGCCTCGGCATCAAGGTTAACAGTGAACTCATTCATCGTCAACCCTCCCGTGTTGTTCTCTTCTCGTATATCGTGAAGAGTCTTGGACATGTTTTCTAACAACCCCTTTACCACGCGTAGCCAAGCGTCCCCGTTCTCCTCGAGACGCTGTATTCTCCCTTCGATTTGTTGTTCGATATGTTCCCCTTGGGATTTCTCCATCTCTCCTTGATTGGACTCCCCAGGTTTAGTTGCATTGATCGTTTTTTCGACCAATTCGGATATTTCTTCCTCCCTGGCCAACTTCTCCCTCTGCAACCGCTCCTTCACTGATGCAACGCGCCACTTGTTTTCGTTGCCTTCGTATTGACCAGTAGCACTCGGTATTGACTGTCCCAAGGCTATAGTAGAATCCCAAGTCGCAGGCGACTGGGTGGACGAGAGAATTCCAGGCGGGTGGCTCCTTCTCCTAATCGACGGAGAAGTAGGGGATGGTGGCAGCGATGGCATGCTAGTGAAGCTGTGACGATTGGCTTTGCTGGTGCTCGATACAGTACGTTCAATATCGCCCGTCGTAGGATTTCGGTGCATCATGATCGACACGGGCCTCGGTCGGGTCTGTGGTATTATCTTGAGCCTATGTTTAAGGGCCGGCCTGGAAGACGCATACGTATTTACTGGCGAGTGTATCGACGATACGGATAGTACTGGTGAACCCGGCCGAGACTGTAGGTCGGCAACAACCATGATAGGTGATATAGTAATTCCGTTAGTTGCCTGTCGTGGACCAAGAACGGAAGAATACTCCGGAATTATCTCTATTGTCATGATAGGAGAGAACGTCCAGTCATTGCTACCAGATGTCGCCGAACTGGTCTCGGGTACATCTGGGGTACTCTTGGAGGCCATCTGCCCCGACTTTGACGGGGCCGGATCTTCTCTGGGTGGAAATGAATCGTCACAAGATCCATTTCTAGCAGAGATTACGTGATCAACGTGCGCATGGGATAGTTTCCGCAGTGATACCATTCGTTGGTGAGCGGCACTGTCAGTAAACCATCCTAGAATGGGGGAATCTTTAGACTCAAGCATCATCGATCCCAATGATACAGCTCTAAGAGCAAGTTTGGCTGCGTCTAGGTCTCGTCTCTTGTAGGCTTGTACTTTGGCCCTCCGTGCTATTCTTCTTTCCACTATACTCTTTCGCCCGTCTGCATCGCGGCTTGTGAAATTTGCTATTTGCATGTTCGTGATAGTCTTGCCACCTGAGTTATAATTACAAATCCGCAACGCTAAATCTGTTGAACTCAGATCCTGCTTATAACAGGACTGTCCTAGACTTGGACTTATTGCCAGAAGTGATGAGCAAAAGCGGCGGGTCACCCCGTTAGGACACGACCTGCTCTCATTTATATCAACAGTACACGTCCTAGAGCCAGCAGTGGTGGGGGATCCTGGGCGGGAGCTTGTCACCGTGATGTCACTCATCAGGGACTGCCGTTGCGAATTTGCGTTATCACTAGTCGCAGGAGTGACGGAATCGTAAGCAGCCCCGGCTGGCATAGAAGATGCACTGGACGAAGGCCGAGATTTTAACTCGCCTATGACTAATGACGTATCATCCTGTCCTGTAGCTATTGGCGGTGAGGTGCCAACGATGCTAGTTGTTAGACATTTTCCTGGGATCGAAGTAAGACGCGAAGCGTCGTTTAGCTCGGCAGGCTTCATAACTGGCCTCGTAGGTTGCATTAATAGTTCATCAAGCGAAGCCGTAGGCAAACCACTAGATGTACACGCGCGCTTACTCGATGTACGAGGTCGCACCGTCGGAGGGTCAGTGGTACTTGCTTGACAAGGTGTTGTTGAGCCGATACTTCTGTCTGACGAGGGCGGTCTTGAGGTTGTAGGTGGGGAGGGGAAGGTCATTGCTGCTAGCATCTTAGGAAATCCAGGAGAATCGGGCAGCAGAGGATCTTTAGGAGGTGCGAGAGTTTGTTGTGAAAGAATCCCTCTGCCAGCTGCTTGGGAGGGGGTTGAGGTTCCCAAGTAACCCAGGTTTAATTGCTCAGGTTGTTGCCCGTGGTTTTCGATCGATATTGTTAATGAGTTCTTGGATGCTCCCCTGGAAAGCGTGGGGCGATGGGGATCACCGGGTCTGGACTGGGTCGGGACTTTTCGCGAGCTCGCTCCATTCCTGTCATCGAGCCCACTATCCGATGCAGGTTGCTTAATCTGAACCGTGGTTTGGTAATCATAACCTCCCCCAGTAGGTTCGGGAGCTACCCTCGTCGATAACCTAGACCGACTGATGTCTTTTCTGACCGGGGATTGGGTCTCTGGCGTTGCTTCCTCCGAACAGATGATCCGTGAAAGAGTCCTTGAGGAAACGCTCGTCCTTAGTGGATGTCCCCAACCTTTTTTGGAAGAAATTCTCTCCGGCCATTCTTGATGAACTGGCACCCGACCGCCGAAGAGGATGCCAGAAGATGACTTCGACCTGTAGCGCGAGACGTGGCCATCGCGGTTAGGTAAATACGTCGCTGGATCACGTTGCTCACTACTCATCTTATTTGATACTCTGCCATCGGGGAAATAAGACAACGAACGGGCATGGGTCCTGGCTTTCCACTCCCTTTTTAGGGATTTAATTGACCACCTCCCGCTCTCACTTGGCGGCGTGCCAGTGTGGTGTTGAGACGATACATGAGAGCCCGATGGTGAGTTGGTCCTAGGAGTGGCGAGAGAGCTGTTGATGACATCGAAAATGTTGGAGGTCGACCGGGAGTGAAGTAATCGCGAAAGCTTCGATGCTCGCTCCTCGGACAGAGGCGAGCCCATCCTCGCGAGAGGACAAAGCGACAATGCAGGTAGGGTCGGCTATTGATGTCGAGGAAGACGTAGCACGGTCTTTGACATTAGGATATCACACAAGCCACCATGCTGACTGGCTATTCTCGGCTGTCGACGACGCAGCGACTGTGGTGCAGCCACAACTGTGCGACATTCCCGCCCCGATATTCTCACACAAAACCGGTCGATGAAGAAGATCCGAACAGAGGAGTCTGATTAAAGTCGTGAGGAGCGCTATAACTATCAATGAAAGATATGAATAGGTGAAGATATGCGAGGCGTCGCGGGTGATTTGTTAGATTAATCGAGTCGCGCCTCTCACCCACATCTATCAGGATTCGTTCTACTACCACGACTTACTCCTACTACCACTACCAACTACTACAAATAGTACGACAGGCAAATTACCCAGGTACATGGTGATTGGTGGATTCGGCTCATCTTCCTACGGGCATACTATCGCTTTCTCTCATCTCCAAGATCCCACGGCCCTGTCCTTTCCTTGCATCTTGGGGAGTTTTTGAATGATGTAACATGGGTTAATGAACGCCGTCGATCTATCGTGTTCATTCACTGGTTGGCTTCACTTCACACCTTACCCGTCCGGGGATGGCGGGGGATGAAGATCTGCAACGCCTTCCCTATTTGCCGATATGGTCCGTTGGTCCCTAAATAGAAGCCTCAGTCTAGGATTGATAGCTACAGTCAGTATCCGAATCTCGTCTTCTCGAATCTCGTAACGTCTTCGGTGACTATGTCGTAGTACGAGTATGATAGATTGTTTTCACTCATAAGCGGTACCGGTAACGACATGATCTACGTCGTCTATATTGACTCCAGTCAAGGTCACCTCTTGCTGGGATGTATGTACCCTAATTAGGTCTGCTAATAGATGTTAGCTTAGACAATCCGGTAGCTTAATTTCTTGTTGGGTTGTGGGTAATTATCCTATAGATCTTCTGATAAGTGCATATACAAAATGGAATGTTAAAGGTTATCGAGGTTAAATATAAAAGATGTGATATTATGTAGGTACATAGGTAGGCATTAGTTTACTAGTATCAAAAATGATGAAATTTACGGAATTACCGCCCTAACGGGGCCGCCAAGATCTTACAGGGATGACAGTTGCTTTTTTCGCTCTTTGGCTGCAACTTGTCCATAACTCCCCTCGTCACCAATTAAAAGCAAGGTACCTACATACTGCTATTCTATGTTAGGTACACAACAAGAAACGACATTAGAATTCATTCCATTCGCACCACCCCGCCGAGCCAGTCTGTCCTCCAGCTTCGAAGTTTTGAGGCCTGTAGAGGAGGCACAATTCATTGTCGTGAACCTGGTAGAATCCATCTCCTTGATCTAGTTCTAGGATTCGACCTACGAACGACATCGTAGATACGCCCTAGGATCGGCGATTGCTGCAGCTGTAACTGATCTCGACGGAAAAGGAGCTTGGCGTATTATCGCAAGCATCCCGACGATATGGACTATGAAGCCTTAAAGGAGCAATGGAGCGAGGTTGAGGATCGTGATGGTGTTCGACTTAGTTGGAACGTTTTCCCCAGCTCTCGGATGGTTAGTTTCCTCTCTGCCTCGTACACTTTTGACTATCTATTCCTGAGCGCAAACATGCTGAATCCTTGTCTAGGAGGCATCTCGCCTTGTTGTTCCCATCGGTGCCCTCTACACCCCTCTAAAGGAAAAGCCAGACACTCCTCTGCTGCAGTTCGAGCCCGTAACGTGCAAACAGCCGTGCCGCTCCGTCCTGAATCCTTTCTGGTTAGTCGGGTCCCGATCCCCTAAACAGTTCCTTGCGATGGCAGGACTAACGATACAACGATACCCAGCCAGGTCGATGTCCGAGCACGCCTATGGATTTGCCCATTCTGCCTCTCGAGAAACCCCCTCCCACCTCACTACAAGGACATCACCCCTAACGCCATCCCGCCCGAGCTGCATCCCTCTAACACCACTATCGAATATCGACTTTCACGACCCGCTCCTAGCCCGCCAATCTTCCTTTACGTCGTCGATACGTGCCAAGAGGATGATAGCCTTTCGGCCCTGAAGGAGTCGCTCATCATGAGCTTGAGCCTTCTTCCCGAGAATGCCCTGGTTGGCCTGATCACCTACGGCACGATGGTGTGTTCATTCTACCCTACCTCTGGGCAACTGTATCGCTGACTAGAGTCCCTAGGCGCAAGTCCATGAGATAGGGTATACCGAGTGTGCCAAATCGTACGTTTTTCGCGGCAGCAAGGATTATTCCGCCAAGCAAGTTCAAGAAATGTTGGGACTTCTCGCTCCCAGCCTCCGCCCTGGCATGCCGCAGCAGCAACCTGGTCGACCTATGCTTCCTATGGGACCTGCCACCAGGTTCCTGTTACCAGTCCAGCAGTGCGAATTCCAACTCACTAAGATTCTCGAGCAGTTACAGAAGGACCCTTGGCCCGTCGCTAGCGACAGGAGAAACCTCCGTTGTTCTGGCGTAGCACTTAGCGTAGCTGTAGGACTTCTTGAATCGTCTTTCCAAAATGCTGGTGGCAGGATCATGCTCTTCGCCGGCGGCCCCGCCACTGAAGGCCCAGGAATGGTCGTCGGGCCTGAGCTCAGAGAGCCTATTCGCTCGCATCATGACATCGACCGCGATAACATCAAGTATTATAAGAAGGCGTTAAAAGTTGGTGACCTCTCCCCATTCCCACTCTTTCGTATTCCGGTTGTCTGCTTCAAGCTAATACGCCTCTAGTTCTACGACAACCTTGCGAAGCGAACCGCACACAATGGCCATATAATAGACATATTCGCCGGGTGCTTAGATCAAGTAGGATTGCTCGAGATGAAAGGCTTATGTAACTCTACCGGTGGTCACATGATCCTCACGGACAGCTTTACCTCGTCCATGTTCAAGCAGTCATTCATCCGCGTCTTTGAAAAGGATGCGGATGACAATCTGCTAATGGGCTTTAATGCGGTGCTTGAGGTCCTGACTACGAAGGAGTTAAAGGTAACGGGCCTAATCGGGCATGCTGTATCATTGAACAAGAAGTCGACATCTGTAGGAGAGACGGAATGTGGTATCGGCAATACGTGCTCGTGGAAGATGTGTGGCATTGATCCCAACGCGAGTTACGGGGTATATTTCGAAATCGCAAGCCAAGGCGGCCCTACGCAACATCCACAAGGCCAGCAGAAAGGCATGATGCAATTTTTGACATATTACCAACACTCGTCTGGGCAGTTTCACCTACGCGTAACAACTATCGCCAGGAACCTAAGCGGCCCTGCCGGGGATCCTGCCATCGCCCAGTCTTTTGATCAAGAAGCGGCTGCGGTACTTATGGCTAGAATTGCCGTCTTTAAGGCCGAGGTCGATGACGGTCCTGATGTCCTTCGTTGGGTAGATCGCATGCTTATTCGGTTATGCTCGCGCTTTGCCGATTATAGAAAAGATGACCCTTCGTCGTTTAGACTGGAGAAGAACTTCACTCTCTATCCTCAGTTTATGTTTCATCTCCGGCGAAGTCAGTTCCTCCAGGTCTTCAATAACTCGCCTGACGAGACTGCTTTCTACCGCCACGTATTGAACCACGAAGACGTGAGCAATTCTCTCATCATGATACAGCCGACCCTGGACTCGTATACCTTCGATCAGGATGGCGGCCAGCCAGTCCTTCTGGACTCGACCTCCATTCAACCCACGCATATTTTATTGTTGGATACATTCTTCCACATTCTGATCTTTCACGGCGAGACTATCGCGGAGTGGAAGAAGGCAGGCTACCAAGACCAGGAGGGCTACGACAATTTCGCCACATTACTCGAACAACCGAAGGAGGATGCAAGGGTGAGTATAGGTTATCTTCCTCTCGGGGCTTTATGCTAATGCTTCATTAGGACCTGATCGCGGACCGCTTCCCGCTCCCTCGCTTTATTGTATGTGATGCTGGCGGTTCGCAGGCGCGGTTCTTACTCTCGAAACTTAACCCTTCGACAACCCACACCTCGGGAGCCTACGGAGGTGTCGGCGCTCAGACTGCTCAAACCATCTTTACCGATGATGTGTCATTGCAAACCTTTATGGATCATTTGATGAAGTTAGTAATATGCCGTTTTACATTCCGAATATATGAAGCTGACGTCCTCTGGCAGGCTGGCTGTGAGTGGTACGAACTAGGCCCAGAGTTGTGGTTCAGTGAGGGTATCGTGTTTGCCCGGCTAGGGGGGACTGTGGCGATAGGACCAGGTGTTGAGGTTAAATACCAGTATAATGGACCAGGCGGACTTCCTATCCTAGACTTTAGTTTTGGACTGCGATCAACTTATATACAAAACACAAGTCGGCGCAAAGACGTCCGTCACCTCATTGTTATTGTACACAACCTTGTATCGATGCTTATCATGCCCCTTTGACCGTTCAACGACAGCGAAGAAATAAACAATTCCAGCCTGTTAGGCTTACCTCCTACCTACTACATAGTCACAGATCTGCAAAGACATTCACGTCTTGTTTCTGCTTGTTATTTTCGTAATGCTCACTATGTACATGTGAAGCTGTATGATGCATCAATACCTACCAATATAGGGGTAAAGTTGAATCATTAGGTAATGAGACGCTTTCGATTATTGCATAATCCTTTAGGGCTAACTTAAATTTACCTGATACCTAGCAATCGATTACCGTTTTGATTGAAATTTCGGGCTAGCCGAACCATGGCCAATTAGCTGCTAGATACCGTTGCACGTCCCCACTATCTTCGCTCCCACATACACTATCCTAACTTCCCTAGGGCAGTACGAAGCTACAAACCCCACCGCCTAGGGTTTTTCGCCCACAACTGAATTTGTTCGACATAAGTTTCTTCAACTTGCGTCTTCCCAATTGCAAGCGTTCCTCACGAGGCTCAGAACACCTTACGCGACAGTCTCTGCACGGTTTAGCAAGCAAACTCCCGAGACTAGAAACCCGAGCCAAAATGCGTAAGTCTTGACAATACGCCCTTTTTAATGCTTCATATAGCTAACCATTTTGCGAAACTTAGCTCCCAAGATTGATCCCAACGAGGTTAAGGTGATGTACGTCAAGTTCTCGCAACCCTTCCTATCTTCAGCAAGCGAGAATCGAAGCTATGATCGTTGCATAAACGCGACTGACCAAAATATCTCATAGTCACCTTCGAGCTACAGGAGGAGAGGTTGGTGCCTCATCCGCGCTCGCCCCCAAGATTGGTCCCCTCGGCCTATCTCCGAAGAAGGTTGGAGAAGACATCGCGAAGGCCACTGGTGATTGGGTAAGCATCCGATCGACCTCATATAAGGTTGGTATATTAGGCTAACGCATTCGCGTTTAACAGAAAGGCCTACGAGTTACCGTCAAGCTTACAATCCAAAACCGTCAAGCCGCTGTCTCGGTTGTTCCCACAGCCTCTTCTCTCATCATCAAGGCGTTGAAGGAGCCGCCCCGCGACCGCAAGAAGGAGAAGAATATCAAGCACTCGAAGAGCGTGCCCCTTGACGACATCATCGAGATCGCCCGAACGATGCGATTCAAGTCTTTCTCCAAGGATCTGAAGGGAACGGTCAAAGAGATCCTAGGAACGGCGTTTAGCGTGGGATGCCAAGTCGATGGAAGAAGCCCCAAGGATATCAGTGACGACATCGAGAGTGGCGAGATCGATAGTGAGTTACAGCTTGCAAAACATTCTTCATTCTCAGGTTCGATACTGACAAACATTAATATAGTCCCGGAAGAGTAAAAAAAAAAAAAAACCAGGAACTGGACGGGCTGAAAATGGGCTTCTTTTTTATTCTGCTGCATGTTACAACAGGAGTTCAGGAATGGCTTGCGATAGTTCTCGCCGACACGCTCTGAATTGAGAGGAATCAACCAGTTTTCAGTGCCCTGAGACTTGTACACCACCCCTAACCCCGCTACGTCCTTGCCTACACTCTGAGATAAACCTAGCTCACCATGGTCTATTTCTATTTTGTGTCAAGGGAGATTGAAGTTCGACCAGCTACTCACCGCGGCCTCCTTGCTACTAAAGCGTTGGAGGTTGAGGTCCATCTTTCTAGGCCAACATTCAAACGACCGATTCCATTGTAGAAGCAGTCTTCTAAGATGTAGCTTTCCATGTGCGTTGTGAAGTAATGGACTACTGCTTACGCGCATGCATCCACACGGTACCTTGCGCCCTCAGGGAGAATGGAGCACTAAGACTAAAGGCGCGAATCCGTATCCATTTTTGGTATTTGACTACAGATCAAGTAAAACCCGTCAGGGAAAGACATTATGCACTTGACACATACAGATCTATTTCCCCTCTTATTTTCTTTTGCCTCTTATCATTTAGTACTTCGGTTTTATTAACATTCGACTCAATGGGCTTAGATAGATGCTGGGTACCATAAACCCTGCCTACACACATGCATATATGTAGGTTAGGTACACATATGGGTACATACAGTAGTCGCCGACATCCATCGGGTCTCGAGGTAGACTGGTACTTTGCAAGGTGTGGTACTTGACCACATTATAAAATACCGCCCACCCACACACGCAATATAATACGTAGGTACTCAACGAATCTGGTAAGGCTTTGTTTAGGAGCGTTTGATTTCGATGATGCTTACCGGTATGTACATTTAGTATTTCTCACATCATCTACGTGTACATTGTATATATATATCAAGCGGTGAAGTATGTACTTTCCTTACTTACTCTACGTAGTACCTTAAACAAATTACATTATTATTATGATGTATATCTTTCAATCTGATCCATGTAATCATGTATAATAAAGTTACATTATAAGCGGATTTAAACTGCAAGGCAAGTAAAATCTACTTATGTTAAACTCAGCTATTATTAAGGTACTTAAACGTAAACTACCTAGTACTAGCGTTCCCAGCCGATGAAATGTGACAGGAGCTAATGGACTAACGTGTACCAAAAATTCAATTTAGACTCAGCCCCCCCACGTATATCAGCGCCGGGTCATTTCGACCCTCATTATTCTCATGTTTCCCTCCACTTATTGCCTACAAAGAACTACCATACACCTCGACGCTGTACCTTAATCAAAGGCCATTTGTTAACGTCGACTTGAAACGGGAACCGCCCGTCTCATTCTAACTGGCTTCTTTTTCACATTGTTTCAAAAGTCCTTACTCTTCCATTCTATCCTACTCGTTTGCGTTTATTTCGTCTCCGGGTCTACCTTCGAAAGCCGTGTCCCTCTTTTCGCATCCCGACTGCCTCGTCCGTGTCCCTTCTCTTCCCTGCCTCGCCCACGTTCTCGCGCCTGGCTGGCCCCCGGAGCTCCTCCGTCGCGCGAGGCAGAGCAGGGGGTGAGGAATCGCTCGCTTAAAATCGTGAAGGAGGGGGGCGAACTTGACCTTGCCTTCACACTTCGGATGACAACCTCAGGTCAGCTTCCTGGTTAAGATATTTTGGCCTGGCTTTTCAGTATTGGGCGACCTATTTCCAGATGTATATCAGCCAGCTTTCCTCGGCCGCGCTCTAACCAGCAGGCTATAATGAGACCGACCATCGACTCAGGCCTCGACACATCCTTTCCCGACCCCGGTCTGCTTTTGCCAGATGTTCCCTTCAGTCCAGATGCACCAGATGGTGCAGGTCCCGCACCATCTTGACTCCCCGTCTCCCTTTCAACTAGATCGCAAACAAGATCGGTTTTCCTTTTCACATCATCCTCGTACTACAGCGAGAGCACCCGGATCGCTACAAGGCTTCGGTTTCGGCTCTACGCACCGTGCCTTTCCCATTCGTTCATCGCAGCCGACGCCATCGCAGCCGATTCATCCGAGGTCGAGCGCTTTTATGTTTCCATCTCACTTATCCGATCGTGACGAACATCAGCTTCGACGCAAAACTCCGAATGGCACAATAGATGCCGGATATGATGGCAACCCTGCCCAGCTCGCCTCCGGGCCTCCGCCTCTGAAACACATGATCTTACCTATTTCTTCCAGCCTTATATCCGCAACCACCTACTCACAACAAGACCATGCAATGAAACATCATATTAAGCCTGCGGTCGACAACTGGTCGTTTCAACCACCTCCGCTTTTCAATATTTCAGATCATGGTGGTCTTGCTGCTCCCGACTCGAATTCGTTGGCCTTGGGAGGCGGCTGGCGACGCGGTTTCGGGAGCGACTCTCGCTCCCTTATGGCCCTCGACTGTGTCCCTAATGGACTTCCCACTGCCTATTACCCTTATAACAATGGCGTTGAAGTGCCCACGGCACTGCAGCCTATATACCAGCATTCTCCATGTCCTACCATATTTGACAATGGAGGATTACTTCCGCCTTCAGCTTGGCCCGAGACAAACCTACCCAGTTACCATCCTACCGCGCATCCAGGGGCCCTAAACTACCAAGGTTTGAACCACCAGTTTATGCCCCATCTTCGGTCATCCAATACCCCAATACCGTCAAGAGCACCATTCAATGCTTTGTCCCGTTATGAAGAAGGTCATGTAGGTCTACAGACACCATCGCAAGGACTTGAGTCTCTTACGCTTGAGCCTGGTCAATATCGTAGACCTGGACTCGGGGTGAGTGAAAACTCTGCACCTACAAGATTTAGGGAAAAGGCACTCGCGAGTGCTCATCGATCTTATATCGAACTCCTAGCATATCTTCATCGCAGCAAGAAGTCGCATAATCGTTCTTCCCAGGAATCTAGGTCTTCGAAAATGGTCATATTTCCGAAACTTCCAAGACCGTCGAGTCATCCCAGCTGTGCCCTTCCCCCGCGACCATCTCAAGATACGCATGTCTATAGGGATCTTAATGGTGGTAACAGCCATGTAGTTAACCCTCGGGTTGACGCGTCGTCAGATTTATTTAGACAGCATATGATGAAACAGCAATTCCATAGCGGTGAAACACCCCACTCAGCTTTTTACCATCTATTCAATACCGAGAACTCGGGTGGTTTTGGTGCTGAGTCGGAACGTGGAAGAGGGCCTGCTACGCCTTTTACCAGTGCTAAGGCCGCTGTCGAGATGTTGACACATTTATGCGAACAGAGTGGCTGGAAGTGGGTTGACGGGATGCTGCTTGGAGGCTGCTTACACTATGGCCTCGAGCATTACGAGCAATCCTTAGAATGGTTTCAGAGAATCATTTCCGTGGATGAAACGTGAGTTCTGAATTTCTCAACACCTCGCTAAAATACTTTGTGGCAAGTTGACTGACTTCCATTCCTAGCCATGTTGAAGCGATCTCAAACGTAGCAGCTACTCTATACTGTCTTAATCGACACGAAGAGGCCGAACACCATTGGCTACGAGCTGTCCGCTTACGACCGAGTTATTTAGAGGCTGTCGAACATCTCGTGGGGCTCCTTTGCTCTAGCCATAGAAGTAAGGAGGCTGTAGATATAATTGACTTTATCCAGCAATCCATTCGCCTTCCCGAGGGGCGGATTGATTGTGACACAACTCCTAGTGCGATGAACGGGGTTAGCAGTCTTGCATACGGTGCGTCTGAGCCGCACATACACCCTCGTTGCGGGCCAATGAGTGGTACTGATGGCGCAGAAGAATCGAGGCTGCCTGGTTTTGGGTCAAGTGGTTATTGTGTTGCCGGAAACGAGAACGGCCGCGTCATTGCATTAATTCACGCGAAGGGCAACATGTTATACGCCTTAAAAGACATTGACAGGGCATCTGAAGCATTCGAGGAGGCTGTGCTTATTAGTACTGGAAGGAAGCTCAAGTGCATCCACGCCCTAATCCGCAGGATACAGTCAGTTCTGTCTCCCGTAGATCCTTACGGAATGGACGGACAAAGTAGCTCTCCTACCGGGCCCTTGTTGCTACCTCCTGAGAGAGCAAGACGCACCGCTCAGTTGGTTTTTGCTACCCACGGCGATCTTCCAGGACTACGTTTTGTGACAGACGGCGGACCGAAGAGGTCAGCAATCTCTACCACCAGCAACTCGTTGTTGTCCTTAGCCAAGATATTTCAAGATGCCATGTCAAACGGAGGCTCGTTCCCGAGGCTTTTGCGCCAGCCTTCTGGCATCGGCGATATTCTAGCGCTTTATTATTTGTCGCTATCGCTTTCCGAAAGTCCTTCGACAGCCAACAATGTAGGCATTCTGCTGGCCAGCGTTCAGCACACTAGTTGCGCTCCGCAGTCCCAAATGCTAGAGAGTGCGAATGTACCGCAGATACCTGGAATTGCTCCCGGCAGTGGCCTTGCCCTAGCCCTTGCGTATTACAACTACGGTCTAACTCTGGACCCGAAGCATGTCCATCTTCATACGAACCTTGGAAGCTTGCTTAAAGACATCGGCCAGCTTGACCTGGCGATACACATGTATGAGCAAGCTGTTGCATGCGACGGCACTTTCGACATTGCCCTAACGAACCTAGCCAACGCAGTCAAGGATCGCGGGCGAATTAGCGATGCGATCATGTACTATAGGCGAGCCGTTAATTCCAATCCCGAATTCGCGGAAGCGGTTTGCGGCCTTTCCACAGCTCTTAACTCCGTGTGCGATTGGAGTGGCAGAGGCGGTGTATTACTGTATGGCGGAACATACGATCGCTGGCACGTTGACGATCAAGGAATGATTCGAGATGTCAAAAACGAAGGTGTCGGCAGCGGCTTAATGAAGAGGGTCGTTGACATTGTTTCCAAACAGCTGGCAGACTCGTATCATTGGGGCACTGGTATCTTGCGAAATGGAACCTTAGAGCTACTGAGCTCCCAGCTTAATCTATTAACGGCGGGTGAGATTAGAGGGCTCGATGTCGAGAACGAACTTCGTAAGTGGGCTGGTCATCCGTGGGAAGGCTCTAGAATCCTCCGGCTTGTGGAACGATCGATGAAAGCTACTACGCGACGCTGGTATCTGGATAAGTACGTCCACAGTCGGCCTATACAGCTAACATACCCTCGACTCAAGTTGCCAGCATCTCTTGCCGTGCCAGCAGCACCAACTGTTCTGCCCTTCCATACTTTCACATGCCCGTTGACAGCCAACGATATACGAATGATCTCTCAGCGGAACGCAGCCAGGATATCATGCTCGACCCTGAAGTCTGCATGGCTTCCCGCTTCCGTATACGTACCGCCGCCACCGCCTAGCCCGCATTTAAATATCGGGTATGTGTCTTCGGATTTTAATAATCACCCGCTCGCGCATTTGTAAGTTTCACGCCTATCTATGTCTACACTTGTAGGCGTTCTCATATAACCAACTAACAACACAGGATGCAATCGGTTTTTGGATTTCACAACCCATCGCGCGCCAAGGCCTTCTGCTATGCTACCACTGCTAGCGACAAATCTGTCCACCGGCAACAGATCGAACGCGAAGCTCCCGTGTTTCGCGACGTAAGTAATTGGTCTTCGGAAAGGCTTGTGGAACAAATTGTCAGGGACGAGATCCATATTCTTGTCAATCTGAATGGATACACGAGGGGTGCCAGAAACGAGATATTTGCCGCTCGACCCGCACCGATACAGATGTCCTTTATGGGGTTCGCCGGTACTCTTGGAGCCGAATGGTGTGATTATATCTTGGCCGACGAGACCGCCATCCCGCCATCTACACTGCGGCCTATGAGAAATAACACCAGCCTTGAAGATGTTTTTCGGGACGGCGAGTTCGGCGAAGGCGGCGACTGGATGTATTCCGAAAATATCGTTTTCTGCCGCGACACCTTCTTCTGTTGCGATCATGCTCAATCATGTGATCCAATCGAGAGGACCATGACGTGGGCGGATGAGCAACGGCGAAGGTGGAGGATGCGCAAAGAACTTTTCCCAAACCTTCCAGAAGACACTATTATACTTGGCAATTTCAACCAATTATACAAGGTACGGCTCAAATAAATTTGGCGTGTAATCCGGGCAGGCATGACTAATCCGTTTATCTAGATTGACCCATCCACATTTCGCATGTGGTTACGCATTCTTTCCAATGTACCTAAGGCTATACTCTGGCTGCTTAGGTTCCCCGAACTCGGTGAAAATAACTTGAAGAAAACAGCTAAGGTCTGGGCTGGCGAGGACGTGGCACGCCGGATCATCTTCACGGATGTGGCGCCAAAACAGCAGCACATTTCACGAGCGCGTATCTGCGATCTTTTTTTAGATACGCCGGAGTGCAACGCGCACACGACTGCGGCAGACGTCCTATGGTCTAGCACCCCGCTGTTGACTCTGCCTAGGTATCCGTATAAGATGTGCTCCCGCATGGCAGCGTCAATCCTCAAGGGGGCCTTACCGAAGACACCGTGTGGAGACGAAGTTGCCCGGGAACTCATCGCTTCCGACGACGACGACTATGAAGCCCTAGCAACTAAGCTTGCAGGGAGCTTAAGTTACCGGAACGTTGACGGCCGATATTGCGAAGGGCACGGGCGATTAGCGGATATGCGGAGGATTCTTTTCGAGGCCAAGTGGACTTGTGCACTTTTCGATACACACAGATGGGTTGCCGATCTCGAGAGAGCATATGGGGAAGCGTGGCGGCGTTGGGTGGCCGGAGAAGGCGGCGACATTTACCTATAGAATGGCGAGGCATATCTGGCATAAGGCTAGATCCGATACCCTTTCGTCTCATACAACATCGACGGGAAATGGAGTCGGGAGTACTTGTTGCTACCAAACCTACATTATGTCATTGGATGTGGCGCCCCTTCAGCCAATCCATCGGAAAGCAGGGAGTTTATGGATGAGTTTATGGGTGGCTTTGGGAAGTCAGCTCGTTGTGCCTTTCAGGCTGTCGACGAGTCTCTTGGTTGCAATTTCGAACCTGACTTCGCGAGGCTTTCACGATGAATTCGAGGGTTTTTTTTCTACGATAGAAATAAGTGGCGGACTCGGACCAAGTGCTGGCAGGGTTTCCGTTACTTCGGGACAGGAATATGAAGTCGTTTCAGTAACGGCAGGTCGTGGCGTTTTGGTAATATGATAGCATGAATTTTATTTAGGCCGTGCTATCGATGGATTCTTGTAGATATACCCAAAGCTGACGCCTCGATAGGCATGGCCAGCGTTATCCTAGGTTATGATCTTTTTTTCCGCTATCTTTTTATTTTATTTTATTTTTTCTTCTCTTTCTATCATTTCATTTTCATTCTTGGATCTTTTGTTGGCGTTATTTTCTCTTTTCTTCATTGTGGCTTTTGCTCGCGTCTTATTAGATATGAGCCCACTTACTTTTTTATTACCCTATCCATCAAAGATTGCAGCAGGCGTTGTATTAACCGTTACATTATCCGTCCCGCATCGTGGTCACGCAGAAGGCTCGAAAGAGTACAATGATCTACCGTCCATGGATCTGCTTAGATACATAGGGGTAGGCATGTCCCCACAGTACCGATGGCCGTTGCTCAATGGAAAAATGCCGACTCGTCCCAGCCTGTTGGCTAATCGGCGGTGGCTGGTGGAGAAGTTGGTGTGGAGTTTATGTATTTAAGTTTCAGCCGGTGAGAAAGAAATGGGGTGCGGCTGAGGTAAGTCTTTTCAACGGTCACGATGGGATGTCTCCAATTCTAGCGCATACGTACAGCAGGCAAGGGGTCCCCGGCTAGTGTTGGGAATGTCGGGTTCGCTTGGCTTTACCGTTTCAAGATAACCACTAATCACCGACGAATATTAAAGAAAGGTAGAAAAGGAAGAAGTTAGAAGGAGGGAAAAAAAAAAGCCAAAGCCGCCTCCCAATATAGTTGATGCCTGCAATAATGTCAAGCTTTACCAGCGGGTACCAAACTGAGACTTAACGTATAAAAGTAGTTTTCAAGATTGTTTTCCACACAGGTTTTCGCCCTTTTTTATTTTTTTACCTGTTGCCCTTTCGTTTAAATATTTATGAGGCTGGACTCTTTAAAGCTTTCAATTACTTCCTTTCCAAGAAAACGATTAGTCAGCGTAAATTTTAAAGATTTATCTTTTACAATTAACGGGATCAAAAAAAGCCTTGCTAAGAAAAAAAGTAAGAAAATAAGAAAGGAAAAAAAAAGAAACAACGAATTATAAACTATAGCCATGGCGGAAAGACCACTTATATGATGTCTTTATTAATCCAGTAGACATATATTGAATTAATGCGTTAATATATTTGCGGCATAAAGAAGCATCAGATCACAATTCAGCCGGTCGGGAATCAGGACGGGGTGGGTTTGTATACATAGCTGGACTAACTGGACTGGCTGGATAAGATCCAGACGGATGGGTCGCCAAAGAAAGCCACACGTGAGGATCGCCATTCTAACGAACGAACTTTATGTAGATGACCGGGATCTCGGTACCAAGCTACTAAACCTTGGAGGTTACCAACACCCAGACTCGAGCAGGCAAGCAGGGCCGCTGGTACGCTGGCAAGTACCATGTATGTATGTTAGCAGGGGTACTTCATACGGGAAGCTAGTATCATGTACATAGACATACACCCCAGAACCCTGGTCGGATCTGGGGTTCGCAGATGCGTACTATGGTACTTTGTACGTATTGGCGACACATTGAAGAAGATTGGCGAAGATATACGCTTAAATTAACAATGTTTTCTAAGTTGTTGCCCGAAGAAGGGCATCTGTGCGAAGAAAAATTGACGCCCGGCTCCCGAATCTAATCCTCAATCGGCATCTGTCATCTGAAATCGGAAGCATTTAAGCCTCGTGGCTCTCCACTCCTTTCCATTAGCTTGGGGACTAATCACCAGAGCTACGTAACCTAGTAGCTTATTCTTGTAGCTTATTGCGTACATAACTACCACGTATGTAGCTAATGATAATAATACCCGTAGGCTGGCAACTTTGATACCTGGTGAGTAGTATAGTCAAGTGCCACCGGGCAAGAAGATAAAAGTAAAAAGAATGAGAAACTCGGGAGTTAAGTGCCTCCCTAGGACAAGGCCAGAGCTAAACAGGATGGAAAAGGGCAAGAGAGAACAGACTCTGACTTACTAGAATAGTGAAGTACAAAAGTATCACCTATCAACCAGATGACATTGAACCTACAGGCCATGACTCCCGGACTAGAAGGACCCCCTAATCAGCATATTGTAAATTTGTACCGTAGTTTACCTACCCGACTTAGATCAAACCATGTGGCTTTAAGGTTGGTTCCTTCTTTTACTTTTGTGCAGTGAGTTGTTACACCTAGCAAAGTACTTTTCCCTCTCTTACACATTTATTTATTACATAAATACATAGCTAGGACTGTTACTTTGAATATACTTTTGCTTTTTTTCATTCTCTTCTACAGTATCTACGTAGGGGTTTTGGGCTAAGCCAAAGAAGACTGAAGCGTAAAGAGGTGCCACGAACCTTCCAAAAGTACCGACCAGTCTAAAACAGCTCAGCTCAGCCTACCCGCTTGCTTGCTACCCATCTTAGTGCAAAAGTTGTAAAGGCGTAAGAGCCTGAGAGTGCAAGAGCGGATGAAACCTTGGAACTTTGGAAGTTACCTGCATATTGGGAAAGGATAATGTAGTGTAGAGTGGGTCTTTCTAAGACTTACAGATCTACGTCAACGCCCCATGGACGGATGATGAAGTTTACTATTACTCTGTCACTGCTACTGCCACTGCTGATGCTGCTGCTTCTACTGCTGTTGCCATTTCCGCTGATACTGCTGCGGTTTGATGCTACACAACCACTAGCTGCTGCCAACTGCTGTTCGTTAACTTAAACTCTATCTCAACCCGTCCCATCCCATCTCATCCCATCTCTTTCCATCCTATCTTGTCCCATCTCACTCATCCCATCTAATCTCAGCCCCGTCTGTTCCTCCTTAGCTCGATCGATCCACCCTTTCGTCCATCCATCCACACACCCATCTATCTATCTTACCATCTTGCCTCACCCACCCTCTCCAAATCTACCACATCTAGCGCTTAAATCTAGTACCTACATCTACCGCTAGGTCGGTCCCTTTCCCGATCTCATCCCGTCACCTGCGTAACTTGGTCCATTGGTCTATATCACAACTCTATCGTCTGTTCGCGCCTGGCCTCCACCTTCACCGAAACTAACTTCAATCACACGGGAGCCCAAGTCACCGCGGTCTTAGTAACTTGACGCTTCAGCCTACTTCTTTGGCATATTAGAATTTTTGTCCATGCTCTTACCACAAGTCGGAGACGCTATATCAGAGTTCAGCCCTCGACTTACATCATACACATCGCGCCTCTCAACGCTGGGGCGGCTTCGTGCGTGCCGTTTAGGTTACTGTCAGGACTGGTTGACTGGCAGAGAACGGGATGGGAGTTTCCCAACGAATTCGTTCCAACTGCTATTTAACCCCGAGTATTGCTGCTACCTGTCCCTGGACGAACCTGCTCCCGTTATACACAAGTTCCCTCCCCTCCAGCCTATCTACCCTGACAACCCACAACTCAGATCAACTCGAATTCACTCATCAACCACCTTGAACCGTAAAGTGCATCGTATACCTATCAGATATATACCTACGCATATATGAAAGGGTTGCCGATGGAGTCACAGCCAGAACAAAAGCACCAGAGGAGAGGACCTTGGTCCCAGCGCGAAGACGAACTACTCAAGCACTATGTCGCCGTCCAAGGCCCCCTATGCTGGGTAAGGATCTCTGCCCAAATAGGCACGAGGTCCTCTAAGCAGTGTCGAGAAAGGTACCACCAGAACTTGAAGCCTTCACTGAACCACAATCCCATCTCAACCGAAGAAGGAGCCCAGATCGAAGAAATGGTCAGCAAGATCGGGAAGCGCTGGGCCGAGATCGCAAGATCTCTCGACAACCGCAGCGATAATGCGGTCAAGAACTGGTGGAATGGCAGTATGAACCGCCGAAGGCGTCTGCTACGCAGACAAAACTCAACTATCCAGGAAACCCTATCCCCAAACCAATCCCAGTCTTCTTACTACTCGCAAGGTGCTCCACAACTGCCGCTACCACAGCATCAGCTTCAACTTCAACTTCAGCATCACCAAGCGGCGGCAGAACCATCGCCATTAGCGGCAGCGCAAGAGAATCGCCCGCCACTAGTAGTATCGCCATACCCCCTTCCCACCTTATCGAACTCAGCTTATCCAAAGAGTCACGGTCAGACGTCCCCTTATAATTATAGCTCTCATCACTCTTCTCGCCATTATTCTCACCACCCACTGGATGCTTCTAATCAACAATCGTACCAACCATCTCATCAAACCACCGGTTCACGCGCAAGCTTCTCGGAAGGACTGCCATCACCCTCTTTAACCTCGCCCAGCGTTGAACCACAGGATCCACCTCCTGGATTGGCATCAAGTTCCAATTCTAAGATTGGTGCCGCTCGTCTCTCCAGCATGTCCCGCGAACATCCACCCAGGCTGCCTCCGTTACGAATTGGGAATGGAGAATTGCCAGGGAGTCAGCTATCGTCCTTAACTACAAGAGTATCTCAACTTCAATTCGACTATAGCAATGTTCGGCTGCCACCGATTAGGGATTGCTCGGGCAGCAGCCAACTGCCAACTGCCCCTAGTTCACCCCAGGTCCGCTCGCCAGGGCCAGAGCCCAAAGAAACTGCCCAATCGCCTACGCACGAAGATGAAAAGGGAAACAGCCCCTCGCGCCGCAAAGTCTCGATACACGATTTGCTGTCCTGAAGGGAATAGGTTTATGTTTGTTTTTTGGTGTATTTTTGGCTGTTTTCCCCACGTATTTGGAAGACTAGGAAAAGGAATTGCGAAGGGGATTCGTTGACAACATGAATTAGTTGCAAGCAGGGGTTGATAGAAAAAGGGAATGCGTTTTGTATCTGAAGATATCTGTGTACTGCTGTCACCCAAGGGTAGGACTAGGAGCTGGGAGACAGGCCTCGTGAGCGGCTCAAAGACTTGGTCCTCTCCCCTACCTGGTTTCCCCGACGCATATCACGTGTAGCGATTTGATTTATATTGGATTGTTTTTTCTTATGGGCCATGATGGCTTGATTGGCACCTACGGAAATAGGAGGGATAGCGATTCTGAATGGGTTAAAGGGAAAAAAAAAGAGGAAAACGGGAAAAGAAAAAAAAGGCATTTTTGCCGTCACTAAATGGTTTTTGTACTGTGGAAGTGTTACTCGTGCATAGTAATTACCTGGCGCCGCAAAGTGATAGCGCATGCGATTAATTGACATACCTAATACCTACCTAAGCTATCTTGTTGATATCTAGATAAGTTCTCAGCATTCAATACTCGGGTGCTCTAAGATGGCAACTATAGCTGATAGTGTGAGAGAACCGGGCAGTGTCCTACCCTACCTAGACTGAGAATAAAATGCTCAGATATCTCTCTGGGAGCATAAAGGCATTCATCCCTTAGTGAAAATTAGGTCTGGTGGAGACTCGTCTTAGGTTAGATTAGACTACTAGGGTTGATTCACCGTGTGCGAGCAGGATGGATCCCATACGGGACTTCGCAGAACTTATACTATCCTGCCAGCGAGACTGGATCACCATAGCACAGGACTGTTGTATTCCCAGGTGACCAGCGGTCAAGATTGTGTTGAAGTTGTTCTGTCCAGGTCTCCCTCTCTCCCCCTCTCTCTCGTTAGTAGCCCCTGTAATGGCTAACAATGCGTGGATGACACTACGGAGGGGGCACACGGTCTACTGGGCGAGCGACTTACCTAGCAGATGTGGAAGAGGGCTTTTCTTGCATCCGTGTCGTCCCCTACGGAGGCAAAACTCGAGCAGACGTTGCGGGTTATTTTCAGGGTTGACCCCTATTAAAAGAAAACATCCGCTTTGCCGTGTACCGAGAGAATTTTACGGCAAGAACAGGGAGTTTAAAGACTCTGTGCTAATCTACCGTAGGGGAATGTCATGTCGTACCGCCCGGTTATGCAGCCGCTTATCAGAACGCCCCTTCGCTGACGGAGCGTAGGCAGGCGAAAGGATGATAATATAACGTTGCCGCCTAAGTCCGAGCATGTTGATACACAAGGCAGGCAAACCCCTTGTTCGTGCCAACCAACCAACCGGCTCTCCTGTCTCGCAGATCTCTGATCTTGATGCACCCAGTTGGCGACCCAATCCCTTCTCCAGTCATCTTGCTGTGCGACCTCCACACGCTTGGGCATCGCTCACAACGAAGGAGACGGCGGTGACGACGCCTCGCCAGATAGGCAACGGTACCGTGCTACGAGGTGGCAACACACAGGCCTCATATGACATATACGCTTACCATGGCTAAGTGGGAGCGCGCCAGGTAGTATGGTAATGTGTCCTTGTGCCTATATATACGTGTGTGTGTGTGCGACAATACGTTGTCAACTTGTCTGTTCGGAGTCGACGGAGGCCAAAACTTCGCCCACTGTTGGACACCACAACCGGCCATGTGCCCTTGCATACCTACCTAGAAACCTAGGTATCTAGATACCTAGGTACGTACAGTAAATCGTTCCATTGTGTATGTATGTATGTATGTATGTACCCTCCGATCTTAAGCCCCCTTTCTTGGATCAATGCGGGCGGGCGCTATCGGCACAGAGCCAAGGCCTAGGTGATATAACGTACAGAAGCGAGAAAACGGCCTCCGCCAAGATTCTAACGTCCTTGGAACAAGGGGTGGGGAAGGGGGAACTATAATCGAGAAGTTCCCCTTCCCTCTGCCTTTCCGACTTCTTGCCTGCTCCGAGCCTGTTCGTGCACAGATGTACGTATACCTATATCTATGCCCACAAGGTACATACGATCAGCATGCGGTCAGCCGCCTCGCAGACCGCTCTGGTAGTCATCTCTATAGTTGGGAGACAGCGCTCACCGTACCAAGCCGCTGGGATAAGCTGGGACGGGCCTCGATATGCCTCGATGAGGGTGTACGGAAATAGATGGATATGGGATGTACCATGTATCACGACTACTTCACGCGTAACACCGGCGAAAAGGGCTAACCAAATGAAATAGGCCGTACATGGGACTGGGACATGGAGGCGAGGGAATTACCTGCTGTACGTACATACATACAGAGAAATTCGGCTGCCTCCCGGTCGATTAGAATCCCGACCGTTTTGAGGTCAGGGAGTGTTACCGGCAGAGCGGTACTGATGACGACTTATACAGGGGTCCCTTCTCATACCTTAGAGCTTCCTTTTTCTTTTCGTTCAGTACATACCCATGTATATACACGTACCTTGTACTAGATACTGCCCTGTCACACGAGCAGCCGGAGTACGCTATGTATTCACTACATCCCCGTATCATACAATCCAACATTGAATTTGATACACGAAGCGGACCGGGGTATTGGGTTCGATCCGTGCCCCTGTCGGTACTCGCGATTCCATTACCCATACATACTACATAGCAGGCATGGCAGGCACGGCAAGCATTGTAACATACTAGGTATCTTGGAGTACTAGGTCGCCGATGAGATGCAAGATCCGCTACTGAAGATTGTCATACGTGGTATGTGCTGAGTGTGAGCTATATTCCGCCATCACCCAAGCCTTTCTCTGCCTACCTTACCTGTATGTATAAAATCCTAAGACATGACGAGTTCCGCTGAAGAGGCGGCTTACAGGACGGTAGGCTTTATAGTATGCGTACTGTACAACGTTATGTCTCTGCTTAGTAGAGAACACGGCGGGAAAATGAAGACGGGAATAAAGTATTGGGCAGAGAGACGGACCAAGGGGAGGAATTCTTGACACATTCCCCGATCTCCACGGCCTACGCAGACCCGGAGATCTGGTTCAAGCTGTCCTCGGCTATCGAGAAGTATCGCTATGGCGACGCAGGGAATGGGACAGGGACACCGTGGGCCTGCTGGCTGCCGTATTCATGCCCCCTAGCGCACGCGCCTCACGGTTAGACGCCTTACTTGCTTTCGCGTTAGGTTAGCAATGAATATGCTTTACCACACGTAAAACCTAGCAGACGCCAGTTGCATATACCACGTTCCTGGATCTACGTACGACAAAATCCGGGAGAAGCCGGTTGTCGTTAAGTGTCCTTCCTTCTGTTCTTGATATTGATGGCCCAGGTCCTCCACAGCAAGCCAAACAAGCCACCTTAATCTGCCTTCCAACTAACTGATTTCCCCACCAATTCGCCTTGACACACAACAACTGTGACGCCTCTTCTTGGTCTATTGTCCGTGAGCAGGTTTTCGGCCGAATCGTCCTAGCCCAGCGAGCACAGGGCTACAATGCGAATACCCTGCGAAATCTCGTGCACGCACCAGGTACTCCGTGCCCCATCTTCACATCCATTTCCCCCGGTCACCTCCCTCACATAGGCATCCATCGCCAAGGGGGAGAAGGAGGAGGAAAATAACGTTCATATGACTTCAGCTAAGTTTGGCCGATGAGGAATACAGTCAGGATGGGATTGGAAATCGCGTAAACTTATGTGGGAATGGCTCGTGCCGATCGCCCGAAATAAGTGCTTGCAAACCCTTCTGGACCATGCTGAGTGGCGTTTTCTTTGCAGAATCCATGGCTGTGATTCAGTCATCAGATGCCACATCCCCGGTCCGCTGTTGCGGTAATAGTTTCGCTGGTCCAACGCTGAACTTTGACGCCGAGTTGAAATTTCGGGATCTGTCCTCATGGTAGTCCACTAGCGGTGCCGTGCGCATCTCTGTTGAGGAACTGCGCTGGCCGGTTACCGACTTCGTTTCGTTGACAGCCCAGATCACTTTGCCTTCTTTTCTCGCGGAGGATTCTTGCCCACTGACCCTTTTTACAACTAGCGGTCTCATTGACGTTGTCAACCCATGCATGGAGTTTGCCTTATCTTCTTGGGCGTATTGCTGTAATTCGATTATATCCTTGTTATAGTCGTCATTATCGTTGTGGCTGCTGCCACCCTCCCTAATTGGAATCGCAACTGTAGTCTCGTCTCTAGCTCCACTACTCAGGAGGATAGGAGAAGCATCATCTCCAGGTACAAAGGAGAATCCTGACATGCTCGACAAACCTCTCAAATGTCTGGAGTCTAGACTGTGAATGCTCGGGCCTTCAAGCGCTTGGTTAAGCCCAGCTATACTCGATCGTTTGCCCACTTTCCCTCCAATGGGCATGTCTTTGCCACTGCTCTGGGATGTCTCGCAATCCAATAGATTTTCTAGTATATGTCGCCTACTCTGTCTTCCGTGAGGTGGAGACTCCTCTGACTCTCTTAGCTCCTTATCATTCACATTTGCTACGTCGAATACGTCATCCGAGAACAGAGGTTGTAGCTCAGTGTCCCTAACTAGAGAGATCGGACGCTCTGTCTTCCTCTTAGTTACCAAAGTGTTGTTAATCGGCCTTTGAGCTAGTACTATCTCATGACGTGACGACCTATCTTCAGCGCGGGCCATGGTGGCGTTGGTGGCGGCATCTTGTCGTCGCATCTTCTCGCTCACGAGGAAGTCGTTGGCTCTATCTAGAACCTTGGTTGTGGGATCAGACGTATGCTTGTCTGCCACGTAGGGTAGATCACTCGACATATCTAGAACGCACGGTGTTAGACATTAGACATTGCTTTCAAAGTAAGTTTCCCTCAGTGAAAGGGTGAGTATACTTGCCTTGAGTTTTGTTCGTACCGAGACGCTTCAGTTTAGAAACGAATTGCTTCGCCTGGGGGCCATTCCTATCAATGACACTGTTAGTTCTGGCAAGAGTGACCGCTTCTAGTCCATCACGAGATGTTCTTGATAGTAGGACCTCGAGCCTCTTGATTTCAGCTTTATACTGGTGCTCGCGCTCTAGCCACTCATCAGCTACTGCCTTGAAGTGTTCCAGGTGATGCTCGAGCGAGTTCCTCGCCTCGGCACGGTCAATGTCAGCCTTTTGAATTTGCTCCTGGGCATCAGCGAATCCTTCGATCAGGTGTAGGATATACGAGTTATACTCAATGGGAATCGGTTGCAATATGCCGCGAGTCCTAGCATATCAAGACACGTCGTGTTAGTTTTTTTGCTATCTGTTTTTAGGATGTACTAGATATTGGCTTCGTATATTTGTTTCACTCACTGCTATAACGTTAGCTTTCGTGTATATGAGATGAGAGAAACTTGAAGATTGTTCGAGGGGGTAACATATATACCATGATAGCGACTTGGAGACCCTCAACCATCTGATTTAATGACGGGTTGTACCATATCTTATCCTGCTCGCGGACAAGTAAGCTGGTATCGCTGTTGCCAGTTAGAGGCCCATGAGAAAAGGAAGAGTGGCTAGCTAGGCTCGGATGACTAGGAACTCGAGACGGGTCGGATCTAGGTGACGTTGGCGATTGAGGAGCGTTGGGTGCATAAGAACGCTGCCCCATCCGAAACCAACCAAAATCTGCCATGTCCTCAACCGCTCTTCGGTGTTTGGACAGATATGAATATGGCTACAGTGAATGTGTGTTGGTCACAAAGTGAGTTGCTAATGTGGAAATACGCAAGTAGTGCGAATAGAGTGGTTGAAAATTATTTGCGTGAGTAGAATAAGCACCAACGAACAGGACAGGCATGGGGATACAGCGTTCCTTCCGTAAGTGTTGAGAAGGAAGGGGGAAAGCTCGAAGAATCTAGATATAACCTTATAGTATGGAAGTTACGATTTACTAGTCCTTTTTGGCTGCCAGGAGACGCATCAAATACATCTTCATGTCACATAGGTACCAAATAACTACATAGAATTTCTTCTAATTTTTGGAAGGTACTTACCTACGTTTACGTACATAGTACATGCCTACAGATATGTATGTATGTAGGTATGAATACATACTAGGTATGCAATGGACATAAAATATCACAAAAGCATCACTAAGGACGACGCTGGTTCAGATAATGCTCACCTTTAAATCTGGAAGGCTCATTCTTTTTAAGAAACCTCGTGGGATGAATTGTCTAGTGGTATAAAGCAAGACTAACGCAATGCCGGCATACCTTTTCCTTTCTTTCCTATCGCCATGGATATCCCAGAAAGGATAGCATAGAGAACCTTTCGTAGCTCCTAATCAGTCAAATAGATCACCTGCTCTCTGCCTTTGCCGTAATCTACCCTCGAGCCTGTCCGCGAATAGCTCCTTCCCCGAATTGACACCAAGCTTTTCGGGAAACAACTCTTTCGCTGTCTTGCCTGCATTTCCCTTGATTGCGAAGCCCTGCTCCGTGCTTCTCTGGCTTGCCGTGCCACGAATGCTGAAGCCCTGGCCCCTCCCCGGGAGCATAATCCTATCTTCTAGTTTTCGGGCCGCAGTCTTCGGCGCGTCGTTGCTTCCATCCATTAGTGGAAGCATGATTCCTTTCGATAACAAGGTAGTTGCATCCTCTATGTCATCTCCGAGACGTCCCGCCTTGGATGTTGGCTCATCTGGGAAAAGCTCCCTAGCCCGATTGGTGCGAGATATCCGGCTCTTTATCGCGCGTGCTCTGTCACGATTTCGATTCGCCGAACCGCCGTTCGTAGTTTCACCCATCACTTCATCTCCGTCCCGACCACGAGGAGAAGCTGACCGCTGCCGTTGAGACCCACTCCTACCGCTCGAAATTCCGGGAAACAATTCCTTGCCCCGATTTTCACTCTGGTACGAATCTCTCCCCCGTGTGTCATCACTTGTATCCGACGCATATGATTGCCTGCGGCGAGGTCGTGATTGCAGTGCTCGATTGGATAATGTGGCTTCGTCATCATCGTAAAGACTGACATCAAAATGATCCTCAACCTCTTGGTACCGGGACTCTCTTGTTCGCCTGCGACCATAGCTGTCGCCATCCCGGTCGCGATATCTCCTAGCCTCACTCCGCCGCCATCGCTCCTCCGGATCGTATCCGGGGTTTAAAAGGTAGAACCTGCTTCTCGAAGCGGCGCCTGCCTGCTTCTTATCAGCCACCACAGCTAATCGTATTTGTAGTGTGACCTCCGGCTTCTTCGAGAACGGCTTGGCAGCTATTGTTTTCCGTGGGGGAAGTTGGGTAACGTCTTGGACGTCTTCGACTGTTAAAGAGCTAAGAGCGCGCGCCGCTACCGAATCTGAACTGAACAGAAGATTGGCCGAAGAATCGTCTATCCATTCTATCTTTCTCACGGTTTCGTCCGGGAAATGCTCGGCAACGTAAGATTTGACGTCGTCCGGGTTCATGACATCGAGGCCTCTTATGTGGACTTTGCTAGGTACCAGAGTATCATCGTCGGCTACGTCGTCTACTTCACCGGGTGAGCGATTTCCCTAAGGAAATGGTCATTAGCAGTTCATCTCATTTATACCACGATTTAATATATGCGACGGGAATAAATCTTACAGGGGTATCTTGCAGCTCAGGTTCCGGAATTATTGGCTCGTCAGGCACGAGGTCCACATCCACGTCCATCTCAACATCGAGATCCATCGTGTCCATTGCGTCTAGGTCGGGCTGTCTTTTCTGCAAATGTACGTTGTTTGGCGGATATGCTAATACGATTATGGACGAGACTATCGCAACGGAACGAAGCTCTAAAATTAAGAGCCCGAACCTCTAGACGAGATGAAAATGATTGTGTAGATAAAAGTAGGTAGAGCTGTAATACGTGTGAATGGAATAATGTTTGCAGTCCTTTCTACTGCATTTAATAATAGAGTGTGCGCGGTCTATCCAACCCAGCATGTGAGTAGGTATGTAGTGGTTGTTGTAAAATGGAGGCTGAACAATTGAAGCTCTCAAATGTTAAAGATACAATATCGAAGTACTATTTTTGGCTAGTGTAGCTGACTAACTCCGCATGCGGGTGCTTAGAAGTGGGTTCTTCAGCTAGGTACCGTAACGTTATATTAAGGCGAGGCAGGTACTTACCTACGTACTTGCTTCATGTCTAGATCCACTGTTCAAGATGGAAAGCACAGGTCTCATATGTATGTATGTAATTAGATTGCAGCTTACAAGTAGCAGCGGCTAAAACTATGATATGTAGGTTTGTATATAATGAAGGAAAATAAGGTAGTTAATCACTTCCTCCATCCCAAGTGAAATCCTTTTTTTTCTCGAAGTGCGTTCGGTCAAAAGACGATCGAATATGTTAGATATAGGTATGTGCATGGCACAAGTGCAAACTGCAGTACCTAGGTAGGTACATAAGCATATGTGAAACCGGGCAAATCAGCCTGGTTTTGTGTGCGGCCGCGAGAGTGCAATGGTTGGACAGGTGGATTTCTCTGCTCCCTCTTTCTTGACATTGTTGGACCATGTTCCATATTTATATTCAACTAAGTATTTCTCTTATCCTCTCGTCTAGATGCTCGTATCCAAGACTCCTGGACCCGTCCCTAAGAATATTTGAACATTCTACTACTAGGCCATTGCACCTTGGGAACATTTATCGTCTTCCATCGCTACTTCACTGCCGGAAACATAGGCCCGATCAGGTAGGACCAGGGCTATGCCTAATGTTGGATCGCTTACATCTTCACTAACTGTTATTTTGTAGAAGAGTAGATTGGAAGATATGAGAACAATCGGAGTTGTCGGAACCTATTGGTATTTCTCTCCAAGGCATCTTCTTGCGCCTTCCTCTCCTCGGAAGGCCAAAGAAAAAAAAAGAAATGAGGAGGAAAGTGAAAAAAAAACAGGAAGAAAAAAAGAAAGAAAAAACGCCCCTCATTCTATCCGCACTTTGTTGTGCTCTATATGGTATATCCAAGCGTCAAGTCTAAACCGTCTCAACCCCTCGTCTACGAAGTTCCATAGCTGCTTGAATACAGGTCGTTCGTGGTAATTTTTGCCGCGAACTATCATTTCCTTCATTTGCGGAGGCGGAACTCAAGCTCGGCGTCCGAGACATCTCGGACGCCGGGCGCTTTAAAGACGGCAAAGGCGGTACAATCTCACCAGCAGACCGTCCATCCCCCACGTCGCTACTACAGTATTCGAAGTTGTCGTTCGGGTCAAGCAGCGGATCGTAAGCCCAGCATTCCTCGAGGCCTTCCAGATAGCATGGTGACCTCCTCAAAAATTGCCAAGAAAACGTATCCGTCAACATAGCAATATACATGGATTCAACCTTGCCGTTCGGAAGGCATACGGCACAATATTTGCGTAAGAAGTCGAGATCATAGGTCGTGCCGATTAAAGCTGGGTCTAGAGGTCGGAGCATGGGAAGGCCCTGCAGAGTTGCAGCGTCACATAGACGAGCTTGTAGCGGAACCCAATCTCTCCCTCGAAGGAGGCTGCCAAAAGCCTTATTAACGGCCTTCACGAAGGACTCGCCGTCCGTTCCTCCAACTGCAATCATTTGATGAAGCCCTCTAGACAGGCATCGCTTATATGCATTCGTGTCCTTCTCGAATGGGAATGGCTGTGACGCTGTCGGGAGAAGCGAGACATGCACAGTCCATGATCCTCTCACCTCGATTGGTCCAACTTTCGGAACCTCACAACGAGAGTCTGAGGCCGATGTCGACGCGGAATGCGCTGCAGCGCTATGATCGCGGTGGTCTAGCGGACGGCTTCGCCGTGCTACAGCCCGCTTGCCATTTTTTGAGTCTTCCGAGCCCGACGTAGACCTTCGCCTGCGCCGACGGAAAAGAATCCCAGCGTTATCCTGATCTTCCAACGCATCCACACGCTCTTCGAGCACCATGGATGCTTCGTCAAACTCCATTAGCCTGTCCCCTAGGCCATGCAAGGTGTCGTCGTGGCCATCCAAGCGTTCGTCAAAAATGAGAAGACGGTCCTCGTATCCGGCTTGTCGCTTTTCGAGCTGGGCGACGGACTGCCACATGCGGTCGACATTTCTGTAACAGCCTTTCACTTCTAAATTTGTCTCGTCCCTATTCTTCTCAACCTGTTCCTCTAAATCTCCCAATCGCCGAACCACAGTACCTAGTGCACTGCCGAGACCACCGTCGTTCTCTCGGTCTAGCTGATCTTCGAGTAGCTTGATGCGCCGTCGAAGCGTGTCAACCTCATTCTTATCCGGAGGCGGTTCAGCCGACTGGATGTGGTAACATGAGAGATGACCGCAATCACAAGTTACGCCTGGTAAAGATCGGTTAAATGTGAAGCCGACACAAGCGCAACGCTGCCCCTTGATCTCCGGGTTTAATAGAATGTACCGGCATTGGCCGCTAGGCAGCTTGTTCTCATCGACGTGCTGATTAGAAGTCGCAGGCTCAGCCTGCGGAGACCGCGACGAAGGTATAGACATGTCTGTTGCTTGAACTTGCAAAGAAGCAGATCGAATAACTAAAGGACGCCTTCAGAATGAGGCCTCGCCTTGAGGCCACCCAAACGTGGGGACACGGCGTTATGCTGAGTATGAGAAGGACACGCCGAGGCCAATCAATGTTATCGAATGCAGCGCGCGAAATACAAGAGCTGGTTGGAGGGGTTTACTTGGTCCATGGAATGACTCGAGAGACACCCATACACCGGACTTCCAACGGGTAAGCTTGTGTCTTTTTTTTTGTTTTGTTTTTTTCCCCTGGTTTTCTTCTCTCACGGGCGTGGGGAAACGCGGCTCTCGATTTCCTTAGCTCAGGAGATAATGGAGTGATGAGAAGGGAAGTAGGAAGGGGTCCCTCGGGTCATATAATAAAGGAGACGACCTTGATGGTGTATGCTGATGAATGAGACCGGGTCCCACAATCTGTTATCAAGCTGCCCGCGGCGCTCGAGGCCAGAAGCTGGGCTGGTAACCAGTGGAGGCCGATGTAGGTAGGTCCCTGGGTATAACAAAGGTTGCCTTTCTGGTGTAATGGGTACGTAGCGACGAGCGTGGGCGCGCCACTGACGGAAGATAACAAGTACAGGATGTGTATTGTATCACCGGGGAAAGAGAGATGCGCTTAATGGATAATAACGATTCGGCGCAGAGAAGGAAAAAAACAGCGACAGAGAGACAAGAGGGAGTACTTAGGCCAACTGTAACAGAAATGCGTGGACGGATGTGTTAAACGGGGATCCGCTGCAGATAAACCGATAGGCTAGAAAGGTTCGAGATATCAAGATACCGCGTGCGCACGCAAGCAAGGATCTCGAGGGACTCGAGGGGCCGGCGCAGTTCGGATCGCCAGTCCCTTGTTCTTATCCTGCTCTGCCTTTATTAAATGGATGGTAGGCCAGATACGACCAGATGAAAGACCTGTCAGTATTTTATTTATTGAGAGTCAAGCATAGACTCAAGAGCAGAATCGACGGCAGTAGCGTAATCAGAGTCTTGCCAGCCGAGTAGGCCCGAATCGGAAGATATAACGTATTTGTGTTAGCTTTAGAATATAAGTAGCAACTAGGTACTATGGGTAACTAGTAGGAGGTGTGGGAAGAGAGAGTTTCTTCGTGGAGGGGAAGAAAAGAGGAAGAGAGAAAGAGAGGCAGAGCGCGGGAGGAAGGAGCACTAGCGACAGCGACAGGGGAGAGGCACATAGTAGGTAGGGGTATGTAGGTACTTAACAAAGTGTAGTTGCCCCTATAATATGCGCGTACCTGTGTATGCGCATGCACACATAGAATACTAAAGGATATCTGGCTATCTACATATAGTATAGAACTGTGGAAGATTTGACATGTGCTGCTAAGTAAAGAGTTCGAGATGGCCCGCATTTCCCTTGCTGCGACTTTAATCAATCATCAGAGATTTGATCACAATCCCTGCAGAGAGTCATTGGTGATTCAGCAGCATGAAGTCTGCTACCGGAAGCATGTAAAAAGCTACAATGCCCAGAATGCCACAGGGATTCCAGGGATTCCAGGGATTTGCCGCGGGTGCTTGTTATGGATATGGAGTCTTGGGGATAACAACTTGCTCTGTGGGGGTTCTTCTTTCCTCGCTCTGGCTGTCTGGTGGGCTGGTGGGCTGGTGGGCTGGTGGGAACCGATAAGGAGACACGGGAGGAAAGAGCTGGGAAGAGCTAGGACGAGAACATCTGGGCATCATTGATTGGACCGGCTGTTCCCATCTGGACTTTCCCCCCACACCTCTTCTGGAATAGACACTCAGACCTACATGTACAGAGTATATCCAAATGCGACAGCAACCCATACCTGACAGCATCTTGGTGTCCGTCTTACTAGTGTATACTACCTTACCTAACTCAGAAGAGGTTTCTGTCATTAGAAACGCAGCCGTAAAGGTATAAGTGAGAGGTGATGAATGTTGACCGGTGAGTACGTAATCATAACCGGTGTGAATGTCCCCGGGCGTATCTTCATTTTCAATTTGGCGTAGGTGTTATCTGTGAAGATTGGTATGATGATCAGTAGGTATGTAAGTGTAGATAGACATTATATACGGAATACCTCGTCCGTGTCGTCTTGTGTAGGCAGCTCGCTTGCGTTACCTATGGCGTGCATCGACCTACGTAATACGCAACAACTTGCGACATCCGGGGATGTAAGAAGCGTGCTTTATTCACTTTACCTGGATGCCTGGGTAGACTGGCAGATATCTAACCGACACAAGCGACCGTTGCCCTATTTTTATTTTTATTTTTATTTTTATCCTAGAGTACCAAGGAGTAAGAGCGAGCACAACGTAAGTGGGAAGATACACAGATATCCGGGATGAATATCCCAAACGTGTCAGCACTTAGACGATGTCAAGGCCACCTGCACGTCAGCAGTATCAAATCCCGGTGCAGTACTGTACCGCGAATGTACGCGCTTAGGGCTGGTGGAAAGAAAACATGATCAGGTATATGAATGTACTGCCTAAATAAATATGGAACCCCCAAGGCCAATGGCGAGGGATGAAGGGATGAAGGGATGATGCAATAAATAGACTAATCCATCGAATCTGTTGCGTAATAATGTCTCGATCGTAGTTACCAATGTAGATGTAATACCTCTAGCTAGATATAGGACCTGAACTATAATATATCTACATATACCTACTCTTCAAAATGCCTCCTTGTTCTACATGTGCAGTATTCCAAGGCACGCATACACATTGATATGATAGATACATACCTACCTACGTTGAAGTACATCACCTGCATTGTGATAATTCCAATATTGCTGGAAGGCTTTAAGCTTGTACGCGACACTAGGATACTAACCTACAGGTATGGTACCATTGCGCACGCACTCAATAACCTCATACATAAAATGCGGGCAATAAATATGTACTATTAGTACCTAGGTATTCTGCGCATAGCAGTCATCAACTTCAACATTATATTAGAACCTACCTACCTACATACATACCTACTACCTATGCATGTATGTATGCAAGATGCCCAGTGCCCCCCACGCCGAGGAGGTTTAATGTCCTACTTCGACAAGGATACCTGGATACTCTCTACATACCTACTTACATACATACATACATACAAACAACTTAGGTAGATATGTACGTCTCTGATTTATTTAGAATCCCGCTCCTCGCCTGGCTCAGGCGGCAAACTTATTTGCTTCTATTGAGGCGTATTCATTTCCTTGCCTTCTCTCAACCTTCAGACAACCTACCTAAGCACGTTTCACCTTCCGATCCCCTACTGCCCCTACCAACTTGCTAACTCGGATCGTGTTGCCGAGATTTATAAGATCTACTAGATTACACACTTAACGTTACAATGGACAGAATGAGTAGCCCCTAGTCATGGAAAAGTTGCGAGATATTTGCATCTATTAACATTTGACGCGCCCATATCGACTTTGCCAGTGTGGCACTTTACATGTAAGTAGTGAGATTAGCAAGAACAATGACCCGAAGTCTCATTAATTACTTGCAAAGCTGATTGCCATTACCTGAAACCGAACCCCACGCATTCTAGACTGAGGCTGCTAGACCATCGCCTCATGCACTACTAAGTAGTTTGACTTTGACTGCTGTCGAGGACATAATAATATGGCAAATAAGGAGTAAATCTAGAAGGTGACGACCCCATGTAAGGCAGCTGGCCCCAACAAGTATATTTCTTTTATATATAGGTAACTTATGTAGATGGTACCTACCTAGACGTTTGCAAAGCTTAAGGTTTTTAAGGCTATCATAGAAAGGAAAGGGAGACTTTATATATATACATAGCTCAAACAACTGACTGGTCGTGCATACACCTACGTACATAACCCCCTTGATAAGATAAGATACAATTTTGTAAAATTTCCCATCCCACAAAATTGGGTCTATGTATCTGGGAAGTTACACTGCAATTTACTTAGGTAATATGGTACTTAGCACAACCCCACCATCACCATCCAAAACTACCTACGTACTGCGACTTCAATGTGCGAATAATCAAGGACGTGGAATCATCACCACCCTTCTTCATTCCAAGCTGGGGAAGCCAAGGAAGTCGAGCTTTACTCACACATGTTGAATCTCCAGTTATAATCACCGTGGCCATGGCGAATCCCGCAGCCGCTCTCACATCGCTCCTGCGCGCCTCGACTATCCAAGACCACGACGAGATACTGAAAGCTGCCAACGCAGCTATCAAGGCATCTAAACAAGACATAGATGCCCAGCGCACCCGCGTCGTTTCCCTATTGAAACTAGATCGCTTCGACGACTCCCTCCGAGCCATAGCCGAAGGCGGGCACAGCCTAGAGAAGGAATGTCTCTTCGAGAAATCCTATGCACTTTACAAGTCCGGCCAGCTCGAAGACGCGGAAAAGACACTTGACGCAGCTTCGAGTACGTACAAATCATCTCGTGCATTCCGCCATCTTGCCGCTCAGATCGCCTATCGTGCCGAGAAGTTCTCAGATGCCGCCAACACATATCGCCATCTCTCCCAAGGACCAGGAGGTTTGCCCGGCGAAGAAAATGATCTGAAAATCAACTTCCTAGCTACAAATGCTCAGCTTGAGTGGAACGGCCTCGGTCATATATTGGGAGAACAGGAAAGACAGCCATCGCGTGATCATCTCGAAGCTTTCGAGACTGCCTATAATGCTGCTTGCACTTGCATAGCAAGAGGCGACTTGACTCGTGCCTCCGTCTTCCTCAAACGTGCACAAGACCTTTGTGAAGCTAGCGAGGACTTGTCTGCCGACGAGAAGAAGGCTGAGCTTCTACCCATCCTCGTCCAACATGCCTACGTTCTCACGAGGTTAGGTAAAGAGGCAGAAGCAGTAGCTCTACATAAATCCATAGTGCCATCTGAGTGAGAACAACCGCTACTCTTGCTCGGCGGTATGTGCTAATATCGTCTAGAATTCCAGAGGCACCGACAAAAGCTGTTGCGCAGAACAATCAGGTTGCGATCGGCGTCGTGGGAAGGAATCCTTTCCTTACACAACGTCTCCTCCAGTCGACTACGGAACTATCTGGTAGTGACAAGCTTTTTGTGTATCAAACCACTGTTCTGAGACGTAATAGATACGCGTTAGACCTACAAACACAAAAGTTCGATGGCATTGAGTCTTCAACCTCGAAAATAATTACGGAGAGTCCGTCGCCTACAGCTTCTGTGGAAACCGCATGCCTTGCTGTCATCGGTGCTGCGGCTCATACCCATATGCGGACTGGTGGAGAGGCGCTGAAAGAACTATTACCCCTTCTTGAAAAACGCCCCACTGATATTGGGCTTCTATTAACGATTATCCAGCTCCACGTGCAGATGAAGAATCCTGGACCGGCGCTGGGCCTTCTAGACGCCTTTTTGAAGCGGCTTGAAGCGTTTTCGACTCCCGATTACGGCAACGTTCGATTCGCCCCGGGACTTGTCGCCGCGGCCGTGGCGCTGTATCGACTACAGGGACGGCAGAATTCCGTTCGGGCCGAATTAGCGAAGGCTTCCGCATACTGGCGCCCCAAATCAAAAGAATCTGCCACATCCCTCTTGCGCGAAGCGGGTGTAGAGCTTCTTAGGTCTTCTAACCACGAAGATATCGCCTCGGCTGGAGAAACATTTGAAGCCTTAGTGGCTCGGTCCGAAAAGGATCCAATAGCGGCCGCAGGACTTGTGGCCTCGTTTGCGAATGATGATTACGCCAAGATCGAGTCATACCTACAGAGTCTCACGCCCGTAGAAAGGCTTACCGCCGGGGTCAACGTCCAGGAACTTGTTAATGCCGGGGTCGCTTCAGTTCCGACCTCCTTGCCTGTAAGTAAGAAGAGGCTGGCAGAGCGGGAACCAGAGAAGGTTACGAAGCGCCGTCGTAAGACTCGTCTGCCTAAGAACTATGAAGAGGGTAAACAGCCCGACCCGGAACGATGGCTCCCCCTTCGCGACCGCAGCACGTATAGGCCAAAGGGAAAGAAGGGGAGGAAGCGGGCCCAAGAAATTACCCAGGGCGGTGTTGTCAGGGAAGAAGAGACGTTGGAACTCGTGGGTGGTGCCGGTGCTGTTAAGGTAGAAAGGGCGCCAGGCGCACAGGGAGGTAAAAAGAAGAAGAAGGGCAAGAAATAGGAACGAAAAAACATTTTAAAAGGCATCAATTCGAGAGCTCTATGGGGATATTATGCCTAATAGCCGATGTAAGTTGGCTTGGGTCTTAGTAGAGTAATTCAACGCACGTCATCTGGGGCATCGGAACGATACAAATATCCATGCCAAGGTGGTCTGGATTATCACGTCACGATAGGACGTATGAATATGACAATGAATCTAGACATAAATGAGTGCTGTTAAAAATTCCCCACGTATATACAGCATTACCACGACACGGTGCTTAGACTCCCCCTCCTTCTAAGGACTTCCTGAAGAAGCACCTAACGCTAGCAAGGCTGTTCTGAAGCATCTTTTTCCTCTTTGAGCATTGACGCCCTTCTCTACCAGTACATATTATGTTATGTTGTGCCATCTCTTTTGAGTGCTTGTAATCCGGGTGCTTCCCCAGTTTGCCTACTGATCCGACCTCTGATAACTCCTACGCAATGGTGGCTACAAATCCTTTCCCTCACAACCGAACCAATTGCTACATTGTCCTGGTCAGTGACCAGCTGCAAATACTACGCGCTGACTGTCTGAATCACGGGGCTGGGCAGCCGCTCAATCTCCTGAGAAGCATCCTCGTCACCCCCCTCTCCTGCTTCTGGTGCTTTCTGTTGGACAGGGGAGCCAGGGGGTTCCGGGGTATAGAACCGGGCTTGTGTCGGTGGGTCCATACCCGGGGTTTCGTCTTCATCATCCAAAGGTGGTAAGGGCGACCTCCGACCATCCGAGAAGCTGACGGCTGCGTCGCTATCTTCATCCGAAGGGACTGCTAAGCCTCCCGAGGCGAGGCGGTGAGCCCTAGATGACGAATATTTCCGGTGTAGGTCACGGAAGGACCGAGCCGTCGCCGTGCTTGCGCTGGCACCCGACCCCCGTCGATCGGCCCGCTCCTGCGCATCCCCAAGGAGAGAGTGGAAATCATCAATGCTGGCCGGTGACGCTAGGCCATGTTCGTCACTCTGATATGATTGTTTGCGTTGCCTTAGACGTTCGTCGGTCGACATGCTCTGCAGTTCGCTGCCAAAATTGATAACGGATGCCTTCTTACCATGTACGGTGAAGCTTCCAGTGCCGCGAGTAAGTACCTCACTTTCCCGAACAGTTTCGTCCGACATGCCGCCACTCGATGCGGAGTCTTTGCCTTTTCTGCTACGGTGGTGTGATAAGTGACCCGCGCCATCTCTAAGTGTTCGTTGGAGGCTGCGGCGCATTTTGCTTCGATCAAGCCCGTCCTTGTCTGACGCGGGAACGCTTGTACGCTTAGGCCGATCGGGACTATCGTCATGAGCCTTGCCGGAAGGACTACGCTTGTGGCTAGAGGAGCGAACAGACTCCATCTCAAGGAGACCGGCCTGCTCGAGGACTTGACGCTCGCCCTCATCGTCTTCACTTTGCTCGTCAATGGCATCATTGTCCTGTCCAATGACTGGGCTTGATGCTTTTCGGGGCGGCGTGGACATTACAACTGGCTTTGACGAAGAAGCAGCGCTCGAGACCGATGTTTTCCTGATACCAAGGTGGTCGCAACTGATGGGGGCCGCGTCGCGCGAAGGTTGACCATTGTGGAACAGCGGGTCAGCGGCACTGGTTGGCGGCGTTTGAAAGTCTTCTATTTCCGGCGAGTCTCCATCCATCTGCTTTATTGACGCGGATGACTGAACTAGCGAAAGCGGCGCTGGAGATCGTGGGCTCTGTTGTTGAACTTTTTGAGAACTGGCTCGAGAGCCTTTGCCTGCAGAAAATGGCCTCTCGGCAGACGAATTGGCTTCAATCCCATCTTCCTCCAATTCACCATTGACATCCTTTTCCTCCTCTAGATCTAAAGCTAGAATGTCGCGGTGGCACTTCAGTCTCCAGATTTCGGTTCGAGACCACTTTAGCTGGGCGATGATCTTAGCGGCACCTCCCCGGACCTGGTCCCTGGTTTTGTCCTGTATTGGGGCCAAGATTAATAGGTGCCTGGCATTTCTTAACTGCGTCTCGAGGAGTTTCTGTGCATGTTGAAGTTTCTCGTCGGCTTCGTCAATCTTGTTACGTATTATTTCACGGCGAGCGACGAGGATATCTCGAGCCATCTGATGGTCGATACGACTCCGGTTGATGCTGACTTCCCCGCTAGGAGTTTGAATCAGCTGGGTTGCATCGGTACTGTCTAACCTTCTAATGGCACGTCGACTCTGGCCTTCGTAGTTGCCGCCTACGACTCCTCGCATCCGGACGCCGGACGTCCTGAACGCGGCAGCGTAGTTCAGTTTAGCAAGCCAGTCATTTCTATCCTCCTCGGTCTGAGCAAGTAGCACTTCTTCTAGCCCACCATGTCTGACGTATACGAAGGAGTTCTTGTGCTTTTTGTAACTGTTATCCCATAGGGCAACTGCGCCATGGGTTGACATTAGAGCGTCGGGCTTGAATTGTTCAATAGGTGGGTTGAAGATTAGTGGAATACCATCATGCCCTGACTTGATGTGTGTTTCGTACTGATGTATCAAATTCTTGACCCAGGCTGTATTGCGAAAGAAGTATAATTGGGCGCCCGTTAGAATTGCTCCCCATTCTTGCCAGGGCGATCGCGTCTTCTTTTTCTTGGGGTCTTTACGCCATAGCAGGCCGACTTTGGTCACTTTGATATCCACGATGCCGGGATGGGCTTCTTGCGGGTTGTTTGCCGTCTTCTCTGTCATGAAAGCGTCTGGGCGGGATCGTGCGGATACGATCTGAAGGACCCCCGTCTTGAAAAACGTGTTTTGCAGCTCTTTCAAGTTTAGATCATCAGCAGTACCCAGATAACTATAATGTTCCTCTAGGGGAATCTGGTCCTTCAAGGGTGGCCTGAGCGTATCTAGTCGCCCATCCAAAATTAGTGTATAGGGATCAATCGGATCTTTCGACCTTCGCAGCGTCTCTGTCGTGGTGTTTGGAAATGTGATTTTCTTCTTCGACCTCAAACTACCCGGTCGGTCTCCGCTCAGAGCAAGATCATCTTCAACATGAATAAACGGCGTGTAGCTAATATTGTCATAAAAGCATTCGAGTATATCATCAAAAATGCCCTCTCCGTGAGTGTTCTTCAGATAATCGGCCTTTTGCATCTTGTACTTGTTGTTTTTGTTGAAAACATCCGTGTGTAATATAAGAAGTGAAAATGCTATAAAGTAAGCTTGGTCGGGGGTAGAGTAGATCCCAGGATTACATTCGTGGTATCGATTTGCGAAGGCCTGCAAGCAACGGTCGATCTGCTGCGTCTCCTTAGGGAGTTCTGCCTCCATCAGGAGTTTGCGAATGGCCATATCCATAGGTTCTTCAAAGAAACTGAAAGTACGCATATAACTCCGCAACACCGCTGCAGAGAATGGGTCGTTTTCTTTAGATAGAGCACTGGCGATAACACCCCGACTGAGCACCTCCTCTATACGCGCTAGATATTTCGCCGGGGTATCGTCTTCCCGGCGCTCCGGCAGAATGATAGGTTCCCTATTTATCTGCAGTGAGTTATTCTTCGAAGTATTAGAGCCCGGCGTCGCCGGCGTTAAACTCCCATGTCGCAAGCTATCAGGATTTTGTCGCATGCGGCTGAGTCCTAAAAGGTCGCCGAAACTTTTACGACCGGTAGAGGACGAAGTTCGAGTGGTCCCTGGGTTTTGGCGATCGTCGATAAAGCTCTCACCAAGGGAGCTCATTGTGGAAGATCTACCCCTCAGAGTCAGATGTACTCTTGTTGGGGAAGACTGCCCCGAGTTCCTAGACGTAGGTCTGAATAACGCCGTGGCGGGCGATCCTGATGGCCTCCCAGGGTATCCTGCATGGTGGGAAGGAGAAGCCAATGGCGTTGAACCATCGTGTCCGGTAGACGGGCGGGAAAGATCAGTGGCATTAGAAGGGCGAGAAGAAGTTGATGTGCGCGAGGCAGAAGAAGCTGTCCCAGGTAGTGCGGGCGTCTTAGATCTCTGGGGGAGATGGGATAATGGAAAGAGTGGTTCAGGTTGTTTTTGTTTGCGGCGAAGGCGGAAGAAGGACGTCGGGTTCAATCCAGCTTGTTGTGTGAGAATGGCGTGTTCGTTCAAGCTACTGTCGGATCTAGACGATTCAGATAAACGTTCAACCGGAGGAGCCAATGCGCTGTTCTGGTCATCACTGTTGGTGTACGTTTTATCCAGTGTCCCAGGTTTAGAGGGCTCTTCAAAAGTCACCGTCTGCTTGCTCGAAGACGATATCGTTCGCTCGTTCATTGGCCTTTTCTTATCCTTCTTAGGCGTTATAGAATTTATGAGCCTTAACGGTAGCTCTTGATCGCCTCTAGGAAGGTCGCTGGACCGGCGCATACGTAAGGGGATTTTCATGCGAGGTTGTTTCTTAGCCTGTGTACCTATATCCATGGTGGGCGCAGTCGTGATGATGGAAGGGGCTAGATAAAATAGCAAAGTGAGCGAGCGAATACAAGCCAAGAACCTCGAGCCCAAGGCCAGGAGTGAAGAGGCGGAAAGGTCAACTTACGCTGTGGCATAGGTGGCAGCTTTTCAGCTTGCTGCTGCTGTTTTAATCGAGCCGACAATTGAGAATCAGAAGCATTGCGGAATCTTAGCATGCTGAACCTGCGATGTTTCGGCGATTCGTCTTGAATAGGAGGAGATTCCGGACGGCTATACGGATCTTCGCTGTCTCTGGATGGGAACATGGAGGTTGACGAAGATGTGGCGAATGTATCAACGGAGGACTTGTTACCGTCTCTATTCTCGTCCGAAGCGCCATTCGTTGTTTCTTCTCCGTTCTTCACGGTAGCGTCGGGGTTGGGCAAGACTTCTGGCTGAGGCCTACGCGAAAGCGGCTTAGGGGTCACAGGCGCTGGATCGACTAGAATCGTATGCCTTCTCATGTCGGTATCGCTGGCATTAACGCCGCGACGGCGTAGGAACGGCATTGTGATAGGCGATGGGTGGTGTCCGTCTAGGAATATGACAAGCTAGGAATCCAACTTGCGATAGGACATATAGCAGAAACAGCCGATGGTCATCACGTCAAGAATTGCAATGGTGAAGGCCCATTGTTCTGAAGACGATCGCGAAGAGGGGAAAGAAGGAAGTCGAGGGATTAGTAGATGGCGTTGGATTTGTCCAAGGGGACGGGAACGAGAGCGAAAGGCGACAGAATATTCTTTTTTTTTTCTTGGACGGGTTCTTGTCGCCGAAGCTGTCAGATCTAGAACGTTGAAACCGACTGATCAAGTCAGCACCGCTGGAACCAAGTACTAAAACCTCCCTACAAGACGGGTTTGTTGTTGGCTATCTAAACGCTGAATCGGATTAGGTTGGATTGGATATATCAATCGGCAATCGATCGATCAATAGAAGCCCATTGAGAGGATACGCATACTTCATGAAATGTCAAGTACAGGTTTTGGGTACTTGCCCAGGTGTTGGTGTAATAAGTTCGGTTCAATGTTGCTGGTTGCTATTTCTGTAGGTTGCCCAGGTCGCCATGTGTAGAAACAATTAAAAGTTGGTTAGGGCCCCTTGGGGCCTTCCAGGTTCCTTAGCCCGTTCCTAGGATATTGCTACCTGGGCCCCTTCCACCTCCCCGCCGAGAGCCCCAAACTTGCCAAGTGCCTAGGTAGGTACCCAAAAATAGTGAGGTCGGTTTAGCTGCGAGGTATACAAGATGTACCTACCTAGACGTAATCCATCATGTAAGTAGTTAGATAAGTATGTACACTACCTATGTAGGTTACAGGTTATATTCTGCTTCGTACCTACATAATTTCTATGGATAAAAGCTTGGTCGATGTTACCTAGCCTAGTAGGATATGGTGAAGATACGATACAGTGCTCTACTTGGCACGTACGCACCTCGTAAAGAGTGAAGAGGACAGACATTCAATGTTCTCGATATTCGAATGCACTTGGTTATCACCATAGCAGTATAGATAGCTTTCAGAACTCTTTCTTTATATCTTAGTATTATATATACAAGGTACCTAGGTATTCGTGACTTGAATATGTACTACGTACTATAATGACATATATAGTACCTACCTACAGTACATAAACGTAAGGAGTCTTTACTAAAAGAATCTTTCAGAATCATTGTCTATCTATCTATAAGTTTCATATTGCCTGCTAGGTAGTACGTACAATCGTACATGCGTCGATATACAACAACTGCTTATAGTACAGTTCTTTCAATGTTCTTAAACAGCGCCCTTTTCCCCCCACTTCTATCATTTGAAGCAGCTACCTACATTCAAGTGTAGCTAACGGTTACATACCTGTACTATGTAGTTAAAGTATATCCTAAAGTTAGTGTATTGACCTAAAGCTACCTAGTTAGGTATGGTACCTGGTCTATTTGCTAGGCAGCCGTATTGAACCTCAACGTCAAGCCAGGCACGGCCGTTGACTAACTTTATCTCCATGTTCTACGGCATCGCTCGTACACTCGCAGCTCCCGAGTCTCCCGCTACAGGGCTTCTGTCACGATGGGCTCCAACTGTCTCCTCCGCCGACCCTTTATATTCGTCCTGCTCTTACTATTCACGATATGCCATCCCTCCACTGCGACAAGTCTCCCGCAAGCCGCCCCATCCCAACGCCACAATGGACTTTCATACATCAACCGTCTGCTCAACCTTCCTTTTGCCTGGTCTTCGAAGAAATCTAGAAAGAATCTAAACCAATGGCTCGATACGCACCCGAATCTCCTGCGGAATTTGCGACGATATGAAAACGAAGTGGTTATACGATTCAACGTCTCAACAAACGCACATGAGGCAGCCTTGAGAAAGGCCATTGATCAGATGCTGCTCGATGTTTGGGATTTCACAGATAATTACACTGATGTGCGCATTGAAGCTCGTCGCATTCGTCCGTTGATGGGTATCCTCCCGCCCTCTCTACACGACAACCATTTCATCCTGATTCCCGATCTGGCTCGTCTCGTTGCCGCTACCTATCCATCAGATGCTTCCTCTCACTCGATCGTCCAACCCCCGTCTAATGGCCGGGGCATCACCCCCGCGAATGACATCCCCCCGCCTAAGAGGCGAGGGGTCGATGACATGTTCTTTCACGATTACCAGCCACTCTCGGTTATTAATTCTTGGATGAAACTACTAGACTCTATGTTTAGGGGCCGTGGTCTCGTTCGGATGATTAGCATTGGAAAATCGTACGAAGGGCGCGATATACCAGCGTTAAGGGTGGGCATACCAGCCAGCAGTGCGGCGCCGGATAGCTCAGACGGCCCCAAAAATACAATCCTCATTACTGGTGGTATTCACGCGCGCGAGTGGATCTCGTCAAGCACGGTGAATTACGTCGCTTGGTCCTTCATCAGGTCTATCGATGAAGACCCGATGATAGTCAAAATTCTCGAGAATTTCGACATTGTCTTTGTTCCTGTCCTGAACCCGGATGGGTATGAGTATACATGGGACGTTGACCGTCTGTATGTGTTTTATTGCTATTATAACCCGTTACAGTGCAATTAAAATATGATACTAATGTTTACCATCAAAGGTGGCGCAAATCTAGACAGCGCACTAAGATGCAGTATTGCCCTGGATTTGACCTAGATCACGCCTTTGGATATAGATGGGATGCTACGCAACACCAGACTGAGCCGTGCTCTGAAAGTTTTGGTGGTTACCAGCCATTCGAAGCCGTCGAAGCAGCCCAGCTAGCAGATTGGGCCAAAAACGAGACAGACAATGGTGTTAAGTTCGTGGCTTATCTTGACCTCCATTCATACTCGCAGCAAGTCCTATATCCTTATGCATATTCGTGTGCCGTCCGTCCGCCAAATATTGAAAATTTACAAGAGGTAGCTATGAGTTTGGCAAAACATATGAGACTTTCCAATGGAGAAGTATACACTACCACTTCTGCTTGTGAGGGGGCTGTGGCAAGCGCAGGCGATGGAACAAATGCGGAAAGAGTACGAGTTGAGGCGGGTGGAGGCTCAGCCATCGACTATATCTTCCATGAATTGGGGGCTCGTTACAGCTATCAGATCAAACTACGAGACACCGGGAGCTATGGGTTCTTACTTCCGAGCGAATACATCATCCCTACCGGCGAGGAGTTATACCAGGCAATGAAATACCTCGGGGACTATCTTCTTGGCAACAACGGTCATGAGTCATGGGATAGTGCTAGAGTTGGCGAACAACAATCCGAGCAGACTACTCTAGTCGCCGAGGAAGACGAAGATATTGCAGAACTTCGAAGGAGGCGTCGAAGGAGATGTATCGGATGCACATAGGGAGGGAGTCTTCTCAAAGTTGAGAATGAGCCTATATAAGGTAATTTGCACATAAGTTAATGCGTTCCGGGCGTTCTGGTCGATATGGATTGATACTTATGTATATCATTTCCCATGAATTATGATGTTAAAATGGGCAACATATAGGTATGTAGCTATATAGGTATGTACATATATGTATGGGATAAACATGTTGGTTCTAAGAGATACCTTTGGTACTACCATTAGGTGGGTCTCTAACTCCGTTATTTCGGTACCTACCTACATGTAAGTACTGGAAAGGGCTGTCTTCGTGATCTAGGGATGGTTACACCTGTGTAACTAGACTACTAGGTAAATATCTAAATAAAGAAAACCTAAAACTTTATTTATTCTTAAGATATCTCCGTGCCTCTGTCATCCCCATTTCCCCAGTGCCGTACCAGCCCGCTTGGAAAATCCCTACGCACTCGGGAGCATCTTCACACCGGCAATGATAGCCATAAATTTCAGAGCCGCGTCTGAAATCACGCTCAAGACGAATCCCTTGAGTCTACCTGGCGGGCCAAATGACGTATAACCGAGAGCGTACCAGATACGCCCGAAAACCCAAGTTGCGCCGAGTGCAGCGCTAGCAGTCGGGTAATAGAGACCGGATATGAGGAGGGCACCAAGGAAAGGCGTCAAGTTCTCTGTGTAATTGGCATGCGCTCGCTGGGCACAGTTGAATGCGTATGCTTTAGGATCCTTTTCGGCATGTTCCTTGCTCGCGTACGGAATCGGATACCCCAACCCGCTTGCCTGGCGCGCCTTGGCTGTTAAGACAAAGTGGAGGGTGTTGATAAAAAACGACGAGGCCGCAACGGTGAGGACGTATCTAAAACACGGCGAAGTTAGTTTTAAGTCATCGTAACCAGTGCCAGGATGTGGGGTATGCCAATCGGATGAGGAAGAAATGGCATGCTGGTAGTTTATCGCTGATATATATATATCAAGCCATTGTTCTACTTACCCATATTCGCCGGGAACTTGGAGTGAAGAGGCCATGGTGGAAAGATTCTGATATTACAGTGATGATTGGTGGGAAATAGATCTGTCTCTGAAAGGTCGGATTATATTTATGTTTGCAGAGGGAAAACTTGAGGGGCTTTTTATATGGCGTTACGGGTGAAGATGGAACTCTTTTGCCCCTTTATTTATGGATCTCAGCTACTACCGTCCTTAGATATCCCTACATATCCCCGTACCTAGAATTGAACCGATCCGTAAACGAGATGGGCATACGATTCATGGCGACGTACTAGACTAGGTTGCCTATAGTGGGAATGCGGGTAAGATGACACTCGATATAGCTATTACCTGGTGAAGATTCGAGTAAATAGGTACATATTTGTCAACTATTGAGTTAGCGGCAAGAACATCTTTCCGACCACCGGTGGATCGGGAAGACGTTTCACACCGTTGATACACGTAACGTCGAAAGTCGCCGGGTGAGACGCTTCTAGGGCTAGAATCAAGAGATATGTTTAATAACCCTTGGAACCCTCTTGTATCAGCCTATTTTCTACACATATGTACAATCTGGGTTGGCTCGATATTGTAAAATGGAGGCTATGTATTTAGCCATGTATATGCGACTACAGGGATATCTGGGACTACCTAGGTAGACAGACTAGATCAGACCGGATAAATAAGCTCCTACTCCGAGATATATCTAGGATAGGAAGTATCTAAGTACTCATGCCCACCTCCTATGTACCTTAGGTATTGGCAAGCGCAGGGCTGTCAAAGTGGCCTTTGAGAAGTTTGGGAAGTAACCTTGGAAGATTAGATATACATAATTCATTCATACACCACCGTCGAGGAACCGCGACAACCACATACAACAAAGTTCTATGAAACGCCTATTTTCGGAATTCAATAATCTGTATTCCACGGCTTCGCTTCTGCCCGAAACTGGCTATTCTACTTCAATAGGCCCTTTCAGGGCCCGTGAAGCTTCATCATGAGTTCTCGTAAGTTACAATACTATAAAGGGGTTCCTTCACCGGTTCCCCTTCCCGTCGATAATTGATAGCAAACATTCTTAAGTACCTTGGCAAGTAGCTGACTGACGGCTTCTTCTGTAGTGAAGCAGTTTATTCGCAATGTGCGTGCAGCGAAGACGATTGCTGACGAACGAGCGGTCATCCAAAAGGAGAGTGCTGCCATCAGGGCCAGCTTTCGCGAAGAAAGCGGAGATCACAATGTGAGGTACGCATCAAACAACGACGAGTTCTGGGGCATTGATCTTTCGCTAACCGACATTGATTCATAGGCGCAACAATGTAGCCAAGCTCCTATATCTGTTCACGCTGGGGGAGAGGACCCATTTTGGCCAAATAGAATGTATTAAATTACTTGCATCTCCACGGTTCGCTGACAAGCGACTTGGTCACTTAGCTACGAGTTTGCTGTTAGATGAAAATCAGGAGGTTCTCACACTGGTTACAAACTCGTTAAAAAAGTAAGCTACAGCTCTTGAGGAGCTCTACACTAGCCATGGCTAACCTCAGCTTCCCCCAAATAGTGATCTAGGTCACTCGAATCAGTATGTCGTTGGCCTTGCTCTTTGCACCCTGGGAAATATTGCCTCGATCGAAATGTCACGGGATCTATTCCCCGAAATCGAAACGTTGGTATCGACCGCAAACCCTTACATCCGGAGAAAGGCTGCATTGTGCGCTATGCGAATATGCCGAAAGGTACCGGACCTTCAGGAGCACTTCGTCGAGAAAGCTGCTCAGCTATTGTCGGATAGAAACCATGGCGTCCTTCTATGTGGTCTGACATTGGTCACGAGCATGTGCGAAGCAGAAGAGGAAGAGGGCAGCGATGAAGGAATCATCGACAAGTTTAAGCAGTTTGTGCCAGTATTGGTAAGAACCTTGAAGGGGCTTGCTACGTCTGGTTACGCCCCCGAACATGATGTCACAGGCATCACCGATCCCTTCTTGCAAGTAAAAATCCTTCGGCTACTTCGAGTCCTCGTCCGTGGCGATGCAGAAGGGACTGAGCATATTAATGACATTCTCGCACAAGTCGCCACCAACACCGACTCTTCTAAGAACGTAGGCAACTCCATCCTTTATGAGGCTGTCCGAACCATCCTCGATATTGAGGCCGACTCGGGACTTAGGGTTCTTGGTGTGAACATCCTCGGCAAGTTCCTTTCCAACCGCGATAATAATATCCGATATGTTGCTCTCAATACGTTGATCAAGGTTGTTGCTATCGAGCCGAATGCTGTCCAGCGGCACCGAAACACCATACTCGAATGCCTACGGGACCCCGACATCAGTATCAGAAGGCGCGCTCTCGATCTCAGCTTCACCCTTATCAACGAAAGCAACGTGCGAGTTCTAATTCGAGAATTGCTTGCATTCCTCGAAGTTGCGGACAACGAGTTCAAGCCGAGCATGACTAGTCAAATTGGTATCGCCGCTGACCGGTACTCTCCCAATAAGCGATGGCACATCGACACTATGTTGCGGGTGCTGACCCTCGCTGGGAATTACGTCAAGGAGCCCATAATGGCTTCGTTTGTCCGACTCGTGGCTACGACGCCAGAACTCCAAACGTACGCCGTGCAGAAGTTGTACGCAAATTTGAAGAAAGACATCACCCAGGAAAGTCTGACTCAGGCGGGCGCGTGGTGTATAGGCGAATACGCCGATTCCCTTCTCAGAGGTGGGCAATATGAAGAAGAGGAATTGGTCCAGGAAGTTAAAGAACACGAAATCATCGATCTTTTCACCACCATCCTCAACAGCAGCTATGCCACGCAAGTAGCCACCGAATATATTGTCACGGCTCTTGTCAAATTGAGCACGCGTCTATCAGATGGGTCACAGGTGGAACGCGTTCAACGCCTCTTGCAGTTTTATCAAACCAGTTTAGATGTTGAGGTCCAACAAAGGGCTGTAGAGTACGGCAATCTATTTTCGTACGATGACATACGTCGTGGCGTGCTCGAGAAGATGCCGCCACCGCAAATCAAGGAGGAGTCTAGGGTGCTTGGCGAGGCGACCAAGAAACCCAAGAAAGGTGCCAATCGCAGGTCAAAGCTTATTGCAAAACCTACAACAGATCAGGATCTGCTCGATTTGATGGGAGATACCACCACGACACCGATAGCTTCGCCTACGAACGGATCCCAGAGCAACACCGATCTGCTCGCCGACATTCTCGGTGGCAGTACGATTTCGCCACAAGGGGCCGCATCTCCCCCGCCTCAACCAAGTAACACGGCGTCAATTATGGATCTCTTCTCTCAGGGCTCAACCCCAAGCCCAGCTCCTGCTAGTTCTGGCTTGGGTGACCTCTCGTCACTCGGCACTCCTCCACCCCAGCAACTTGCAGCAGTCCCGCCACCGAGTGGTATTCCATGCTATGATGCCAACGGTCTCAATGTAACCCTCCAGTTACAGCGTAACGCCGAAGGAGCTGTGCAGGTTCTCAGCCGTTTCCGGAACTCTTCTGGTGCTCAACTCTCCAACGTGGGCTTACAAGCAGCTGTGCCAAAGTCTCAGAAGCTCCAGTTAATGAGCATCTCTAACTCCGAGATCGTCCCCGGAGGTGAAGCAACCCAGGTCATGAGGATCACGGGAAGTAAAGGAGTAAGTGTTCTTTATATATTCTCTTGTACATATCGTCCTGCTAACATCGCATTTCCAGCCTCTTCGCTTAATGTTGAGAATTGGTTACTCCCACCCATCAGCAGGCCAAGTCATGGATCAGGTGAAATGGACAGAGCCATCGTAGTCGATAGAGAGACCAATAAAAGGCGACATGATTATACTCATCCCATATCTTATTATTTCCGAAGAGAATGTAAGCCTTCAGCACGGTGCTCTTATCGCCCGAAGGCATTGGTGACATCCATACAAGTGACTATTCGTCGGAGTAATTCGCTATCCAGCTAGTATTGTCAATTATGTGATCCGGTTGTAAGGCACGCGAGTCTCTGCATATACCAAAAATGCCAATCGTCCAATGCTGTTATTGCCGAATATGTGGTCGCAATGTATGCAATAAGTGTGTGCCGAGAAAGGGCCTCGCCACACCAACGACTTGTGTCGTCCAGCAACAACATGAAAGCGAACAGCCATTTGACCGTCACTTACATAATAGCAGAGCGTAATTTCTGAGAATTCTGTAAGTTTGCAACGCATCCGCCATCGTTTGTAGTAGACGAAAGGATAGAAGAAAAACAAAAGTGCACGAATCAGGATTAGAGACCACCATATCAATGGGGTTTGCCATCTAAAGTACTACACAACTCTAGGCTCATTTTATACATGTAAAGTTGATGTTTCCTAGGAGCCTTGACTACCACCACCTCTCACATAGCACCCGGTGAGGTTCCATCCCAAAGCCGTGCTGTGAGTCAGCCAGCTTCTGGACAAACTCATCCGTCATGGTAGGGACGCCGCATACATAAACCACAGCGAACCTCCTCTCCGAAGCGTCACCGACGGCGGCGGCCACGTCTTCCATCGTCATTCTACGGCGACTAAACCGCACGCCGCACTTTTTACCCTCTCCTATTCCGCAGGACACCACTCCCTCCTCACCCCCCTCCCCCACCCCGCCCGTCAGGAATAGTCGTAGCCGGCCTCTCACTCTCCCAGACGCGAAGATCGAGGCCAGCCTCTCGACAAACAACATGCGTCGCGCCTGCGCGCGCCGACCTCCTTCGTCCCTCAGGGAGTACAGGAACTGCACCTCGAAGGGGCACTCCTCTTCCGCGAGGCTGCTCAGCATGCTCATGAGCGGGTTGACGCCGACGCCTCCGGCGACGAAGACCGCCTTCCGCAGGGTCCGCGTGTCGACACCCGGCGGCGGCCACACGAAGCTGCCGCCGACGCGGACCCGGAGCTCGGCGTAGGTGATGGAGGCCGGGTCCTGCCACAGCCACGCCGCGGGCGGGTCGGGCGACTTCTGGACGGCGAGCTCCAGGAAAGGCCGGCAAGGGGGTGATGAAGGGTCATCTGATATAGGCGGGTGCGCGCTCGAAGGGGAAGAGGTGATGGTGTACCCGCCAGCCTTCGAGACGCCCGGTACGTAGACGTCAAGCCATTGGCCTGGCAAAAACTGCGGCAAGGGGGGAGAAAAATGCGTGAGTGGCCTAACGACCTACCTCAAGTAAGGGGCGAGGGAAGGGCAGGGCTCACTCGAAGGGGAGTAGAAAGTTCAAGGCGGAACAGCCTGACCTGGTCGTTGACCTCGTTGACCTCGGCTAGGGTAACGGTGTGCAACGACTCCATACAGTTACTATGAGAAGCTGGTCTAGTAGTTGAAAGGTCCCCGATAGCAAACATACCTTGTCTCGTGGCTCTGCCGCCGTCCTTTCCAGGTGGTCCGTCTTTGCTGCAGCCATATCAAGCCTAAACTCAGGCGGGTAGTGTTGTGAAGTGAGAAATTGTCAGCTAAACTGAGGATGATTATTATTTATGGTTTAGAAAGCAGACGTTAATCCATACCTAGTGCTGAGGAAAGCGAAGGTTCACTGTTGCGTAGTAATAATGTATACAACTTCTAAGGCTCTACTAAGGTCCCCAATATAGTAATGGCGGGGTCGGATTACTATAGTTAGTTACACCTGATTTTAGAGCTATACTAGGTACTTACTATATGTAAAATAGCCCCTGAAGCCCACCTATATTATCAGGTACCTCATCACTATTGACGATTCAAGGTAGGCATCCATGATTAGAGTCGTAGATATTCTAGGGAAGCTCTTTTGCATTTAGCACGGTTAATCTTGCATAGCTGGGCCACAGGATCCAGTGGTACATTGTAAAGACTATGACCTCCTAGGCACGAATGTAGCCAGAAAGCTAAGATGGCTCGACACCCTGTCGCCAACGCATACAACAGCCCATCTAGATCCAGTTTCCTGCAGGGACTTCATCGGTGTAACCGTCATCACCTTCATGTGCATTCCGCACAGCAGTACCGTCACCAGAGCGTTTGAGATTCGTAGCCTCACTTTTGCGAGCAGGAAGCTCTACCATGGAAGAACGGCCGGGGCGTTTCTCTGGCCGTGGGCTCCAAAACCGTTTTATCAGGTTGCCACTACGTCGTTGTGGTGATGGACTCTGTCTTAGCCACTCCGCCTCTGTCATCATGAGCGTGCTAGCTTCTTGAACGTGCACATCACCAACCAAGGCCCCCTCTGGTTGAGAAATTGGCGACTTCGTTTTACTCTTTGGTGATGACTGATCAACGGGCGAATCGAATTGATTAAGTTGGCGCTCAAGCACGCTTCCAGTAGTTGGAAGATACCCTTCCGGGGGAGGAAGTTCTGGCGAATGTGACGTTTCTGTTGAGCTTGGAGAAACTGCATAGTCTGAGAATGAGTTGTCCCCTTGATCATGGATATTCACGTCACCCAATTCCAATGCCTGCATTGACTCGGATGGTATGAAGACTGGCTGCGCCATACTTAGCTGTATATCTTCCTTCTCGAATTCTTCGCTCTCGACATATTGTTTTAGAGATGGTGTTAACGATGGACAACTTGATCTGATTGATTCCTTTGACATTTGTTCTGAGAGCGTTTGAGGGGGGTCGGGTAGCGGCCTCCGTGCCAACTTACCCACTGCCCCATTTCGACCCTCTTTAACATCTTCAATAGCCATGCTAGTTAGACGGGTTGGTGAAAGTCGTGGGTGATTTTTTAAGGAGTATTCTCCTGCTTTGGATGGGCTCGAAAGAGCCATACCAACGGGTTCGACGTCATTATCAAACAACCGCCTATCAGATGATGAAACCACGCACGCAGTATCCTCTTTACGGCCAGGGACTGTTGTGTTGTTCTGATTCATCGACGCTGGCCGGTCTCTAGCCTCGTGCGAAGGGACAATGTTGAGTTGCTCGAGATACTTCATAGATCTATAGTGAAAGCAGAAGGTCGCGTAAGGCGAATCACGCGCGTCCTCTAGGTGGTACTCGTAGAAGGAAGCGTCTTGGGGATCATCTACCAAGCCACCACTGGACAAGCTAAGTAGTGTTAGCTAGAGGGACTAAGACACGCGGAGAAATGAGTTTAGAGTATCTTACGTGATGCCATTGCGATCCCAATTGCGGTTCGGGCAAGGATCTAGTACAACCGCAATGCGTTTTCGTCCTCGGCAGCGAAATACTTGAACTTCGACCAGGCCGCCATCTTCGTCCCCGGTTTTCCTTTCGGGATCACGCATGAAATGGAGATACCGCGCCTCTATACCCACAACAGGGTCGCCGTTTTTATCCCTGAATTTCTCACTAGGCTCGTAAAGACTTCTCGTCACGCTCCCAAGAGAGGAATTGCTGGCGTCGATGCCCCACGAGACAATATGGCGGCCATTTATCAACATCTTGAAGAAGACGAACTTAGAAGGTAGCGACGATTGGTTGATGAAGTATCTGAGCCGAAATTGTTCACCTGTATGATAGTCAGGATTGGCTGACTTTGAAAGTGGTGCGTGAAGATAGGGGCTTACCGGGACTTGAAGGAATGTAGACGGATATACGAGGATTGACTTTCTTTTGGCGAGTCGGGTCGGCATCAGAGAAGCTGGAAACAGCAAAAGGGTGAGGGCTAGTTCGGCCCCCATTTCGTAAATCGTTCAGACCAGTACCAACTCTCATAAGGCGAACAGACGATCCATCTGGATGGGGATATTCGGGTAGCTTTCTAACATCCGAGGTGGTTATTATGGATATCTCAATTCCACGAAAGGAGGGCATTGTGGCAGGATGGGCGAGTGCAAAGAGTGTGATGGTGTTTGTATATCAGGAATAGGAGACTATGACATCGAGTTTGTGAAGAGAAATCGGGAATAGTTAGTATGGTGTCAATGATAGAAAATGTGAAGACAAATTAAATGCTATGTACATAGTTTAAATCCAAGAAACGTGCCTGAATCCTTTTCACAGTTACCGGTAGTGACTTCCTTCAGATACCGCAGATACGTAACAAACAAATGTTTGACATCGTACCTACCCACGTACCTATATTCTATTGTCAGTAGGTACGTACATACCTGGGTATCTGAGTATCTGTACATTTCAATGTTCAAGGTTTGATATGATCAAATATGTACATACTAAGGGGCTGTCATGCTCATCGCCTTCTTTTGAGCTCTCCACTACGTGTATACACCTACCTAGGTAGCCGGTCAGCTCGGCTCGGCAGTAAGCTACGGACATCTGGACCTACAAATCTTTTATAAATGGATAGGTACCCTTGGAATATGTGTACATGCCATTACCCTACGCCAGTATCCCATATTCTCAGAGAGACCCGAAGTTGAGTTCCATAGGGTGGAATAAGTCGAAAGCAGTTATGTAATGCAATAAACCCGCTTTATAACGCGGCTCCAAAAGAGGCTATACTTAAATAGGGCGGTCGAGTCCCCAGCAAGACGACTGTGCTAACATCCGGAATCAACTTTGTTGGATCCCATAGGTGTCCATGGATATATTTGGATAATACTTTGGCCCTATCCTCATACACCGAGAGCCTAATACGTACACGGTAGCGTCGGATTTCGAGTGAAGGTATCATAATCATCCGCCAAGGACATGTTTGGTATCCTCTTCCTTGCCCAGTAAGCCCAGATTTCTTATTTGTCCGGCGCTCGGTGCGTTCTCTCGTGTTGACGCTGCTTCTGCTTTTCGATATGCGGCTTGTAACTGTTTCACTCTTACGGCCTATTCAACAAGTCTCAAGTCAGTCGATCTACTTGGAATAATGGTGGCCGTTGGTGAGTCAAGTCAGATTCCATCTAACCTCTTTCTTATGATGTAGACATTCGTAATAATCCTCTAGTGCGGGCGCACACTTCTTCTTCCCCGAGTCATCCTCGGCAGATGTGTTGACTACATAGCAAGCTAGAAGCTCTTGCCAGAATCCGAAGCATCGCGATGGGCCTATTTCGTCAATCATGTTAGCAATATGTAACCATTGAATTATTTTGGAGGTACAAACCTCCTTGGAGGCCATATCCAGATGCCATGACGTCGGTTCCTTTATGGGCGCAAGCGTCGTTGTATGGTAGAAGGGTGGAATTGCGCGCACGATTAATAGGTATGAGGTTCGTTTGGGCGAATGAGCGAATGGTGCTGTAGATACTCGGCATGAATTAGGTAAGCCGTGGCCTGACGAATTAAGACATAGCAGTTTTTAAGCTCCGGATGTCCATCCAGCTAACCTTAACTTGCTTAGCGTTGAATAGGAGTGACAAATTGTGGTCAGTGCGGTCATCCACCTTACCTGTACGTCATTACGTACTTGTAGGTGATTTCCTCATATAGTAAGGCCAGAAGGCTCGATGGGTATTCTCAATGGGTACCTTACCTAGGTAACACGTTTGAATATGAATAATACTATCGCATCTATGAAGACTCAACTTTCTGTTTTATCTCTTCCAACAAAGATCCTGCCAACACAAGGAGTCTCTTCACGCTCCTAGCTGATCTGAATTCGTGAATGATGCCATAGCTATAGTATTACGAAAATGAACCCACTTCCCTCCGCGTCGCGCATTGTATTACTCGCCGCGCATCTCGCTGCCAAATGCGATATCGAGAGCTTGACAGCGCTTGCAGCTCAACATACCAAGATCTTGCGACAAGACTTACTGCTTCGAATATTATTAACGTGTCTACCTGAGACACTGCCGCCTAAGCAATATGTCTCACTCGTTCAAAAGATCGAGTCTGGAAGCTTAGAAACGGAAGTTGAACGACGAGAAATTGACTGGTCTTCGGTACAGGACATCACCGATGATGAGGCTGCGAGGAAAGTCCGCAAGTTACGGTTGCTCCCCCTCGCCCAAGAGAATGCGACCGGAGACGAACTAAACGACCCTATTTCTCTCTTCTTAATCCATCGTGCGCGTCGTGTCGACGAAGAGGCCGGTCTGCTTACTCAGTTGCCCGACCTAATCGTGCCATTCCTAGACCATGCACCATGTATTCGAACCTGGATGGTCTCAGTTTTGCTCCCTCTTCTTCGGCGAAACCATGAATATTACCCACATTGCCCCGCCACACAGACCTTGTCTGACTTCGAGCGGATGAGCGACCAAGCAGCAGTAGACTTGCTCTTGTCGCAGACTGGCGCTCGTCAAGAAGATCTGGCAAATGTTGGGAGAGACCTACGTGGATTGATAGGCCCATGGTTACATAACGAAGCGAGGTGGGTGCGTAGTGATGAGAATGGATATTCTTCGGAGAATGGCCAACCCTCGTCCCATATCACCTGTCCAGGATGGGAACATGTTCTCGAGTGGATCACGACACAAGCCTCAAAGTCGTGGAGAGTGGCTGCACGAGCTATAGACCAATGGGACGGGCCGGACGATGTCGATTTGGGCGGTTACGCATCTATGTGGCTAGAAGACGAGGAACAGGAGTATCTGGAACAACGATACGCTCGTGCTGCGCTCGCCTCGGCATATCTAATACCAGAAGCTTCAGTCGAAGCCCTAAGTGGTGTCAACAGCATTACCGCGAAGATCATGGCTTTGCTAGGTCAAGATCCTTGTCCGACGCTACAAGTTGCTTCATCTTTACTTCCGCCATTTGCTGGCCTAGCTGCAGAACAGCTTCTCCGTGCCAAAAATGCTACGTATATGCGCAATGATTTACTCGCCGAGTCAAACCCGCTTACTTCACCAAGTGAGGCTTCTGCGCAACTCTTGCACATTTTAACCCTCAGCGCCTTTATTCTTACTAAAGGTAGTGTTCCTTGTACCGTTCGAAGAGCAGGGGAACTAGCTTTTCTGCAAGATCAACGGGAGCAGAAGATAGAAGCCACAAAATTTATACATTCGTTGAGTAATAACGGACCTAAAAGCGACGATAAGTACTGGATTAGAGCGAGGAATGAGCTTTTATGGCTTCAAGACTGGGGCGCGGAAGAGGTTCAAGGTTCCTCTTCCAACGTTCGAGCCCAAGGCGTCTTTGGCCAACTAAAAAAACAGTTTCTCGAGGTCGAATGTCTCAAGGCATTCCTAAGCAACACACGTAAGGCTCACGATTCCATTATTTTCAAATCTCATGATGCTAAAGCTAGTAGGCTATTCTCTGGCAAGGTCTATATACGAAGATGCCCCCGAAAAGCCTCTCGATGACGATACTTTGCGGGAAACTATTGTTTCTTCTGCAATGAATGCGTATGACAATGCCACTAATCCACATCGCGGCCGTGGCGGTCTTTTAAAATGTGATGACATGTAAGTCTCCCACTAACCGAGGCGTAGAAATATCTTCTAAATAATGCTAGAATACACGCGTTCCCCCAAGCTCTAGGGGAGACTCACCCTGCGTCAAAAAGGATCGAGGCTCTCTTGAAGGCCACACATGCACTAAGCGAATACCGTCTCATATTGAAAAAGGGAGAGCCATTCACGCCCGTAGTGTTGAGGGTTCATACAGATCCTATCTCCATTATAGGGAAGGTATTGGAGCAGAATCCCAAAAGTTATACCCGAATCCAGGATTTCCTCGAAATTGGGTCTAACATGCTTGATGCCGGCCTATTAACCAATACTAAGTCCGACCAGTCGCAATTCGCAGCAGAGCAAGTGTGGCAGCGGTCGATTGTTGAAAACCGGATTGTGGCTATGTGTATAGACGCTGCTCTAACAGAGGATGACTTTGAAACAGCATATTCGTACGTTGTCAATCGTTTGGCCGCAGATAACAGGATCGCCCCTCCGAGATTAGGACGCGAGCCTGCGTTGAAGGGCACTCTGGCAACGGATGATTATTCATGGAAAGCAGCGCTGCAGGCCGGTAAATATCGCCGTACCGCGCGAACTATTAAGCCTACACACATCGGGACGGCCAGCGGCAACCTTGACATCCGACACCTGGAACAGCGGATGGAATGTCTAGCGACGGCACTTCGCGTTGCCCCGCCCGCTACCCTCCAAGAGATTTTGAACGTCTTTCGCAAATGCGAGGAGGAGCTAAATGCTGCTGTGAAGGCAGAAGAAGAGCAAGAATCAGCTTGGGATGACCAGGGAGACCTACAGGTTATGCCAGGCGCTTTTAGCAGCACCGTGCCGGCCGGTGTTGTAAGAAGCGCAAAAGCGGCATCCTCACGACAAGCTGAGGAGGCACCCATGTCGCTCTTCGACTTATCCCGAGCGAGCATGGCTAGAGCACAGCGCAACTTGACGGCTTTGTCGAGTTTGCAACGGAGTGAGAATGCAAGATCAGACGAGACCTATGGCGAGACAGGAGATGGCTCTGGTCAGCAGAGAGTCAGAAAAAGAGATCAATTAAGGGAGGCTGCAGTTGGGACTTTGGCGTCCGGCGTTGGGTGGCTAATAGGAGCCCAGCCTGTTGATAGGGGTGGGGATAGGAGTTAAGGAGATTATCTAGTAAGGTGGGAATACCTACGTAGGGTACTCTAGTTATGAGAGGATCGTATCCCAATATCGATTTATCCTTTCACCTCCAACGTCGTTCGTCTCTATATTCAGCCATTACAGTATGCCCTTCTCTGTCAAAAGCAAGAACAAGAACGGTGATCAAATACTACGCGAGGCGAAGATCGCAAAAGATGGCGCCATTTATTACAAATCTCCTACATGACAGAATCAAGCTAAGTGAGCTAATAATCTGTGGCTACTAACAACCTTACCCGCTACCCGTCTTCTTAATATCATTATGTAGATGTGATTCTGAGTCGTTCACATCTTCAAAATGCCAAAATGGATTTTCCTTTTGCGCTTCATAGTACTGCTCCCAAACGTCCATCTTGCCATCTAAGTTCCCCATCTGAGCACTGAACTTATCGTTCCTGAACGGTGGCGTGCCCACTGTTTCCTTTGCTGCTCGTCTCCTTGCGGCATTCTCTCTGCGAATCGCTCTGGAGAGCTCCTCCTTGGCTCGCCTCTCGAGTTCCTTCCTCGCGTTTATGAATCGTTTTCTCTCAGCCTCGGTCATCTTGGTTCCAGGATCGCCAGGCCTGAAACCCGGCGGGGGCCGCTCCGACACGACTCCCGAGTGGTACGGTTCCTTCAAGTGGGCTGTTTCGCTCTCTACCTGCTTTCCATAATCCACTATCTCCTGACTGCCGCGGACTTGGCGGAGTTCGTCTAGCGGACCTGGCTTAAGTATGTCGGAGACTTGTCTACCATCGTTGAACTTGAAAGTCGAGACGGCGGGCGAGTCAATAGGGTAGTGATACTGGGCGATGGGTAACGGATTCTCATCAACCATGTTTAGGAAGTTCCACCTCCGTTCGTCGCGGTCGGACTCGAATGGGGGTGTAGGCTCCCTACCAAGATTCACCTGTCTGCCAGCATTTGACATCAACGGTAACCGCGGCGGTGCTGGAAGGGGCCCGCGCCTCATCTCTTCATCGCTCAACTTCGCGGGCAGGTCAAGCGGCACTCGCGAATATTCGTAATACATGGGGTTAAACTCTCGCCGCTCAAAGCCCCTTTGCCTCTCAAGCGACAACAGCGTGTTTATGTCGGCCTCCAGTGGGGGACGCTCGGACAAATTCATCTCTTCGTGGACCCTAGTCATCGGGTTCCATAACTCAGACTCGTCCTTTCTCCGCATTTTGAAAATCGAGTTTAGGACCGGGAAAGTCTTCTCTTGCTGCTTCCAGGTCATACGCCCCAATGGAGCATTGTCCGGATGATTTTTGAATTTTGTTCGGGTCACATCGTCCTTGAGCCACTCAACGTCGATGTCGTAGAGCCAATTCCAAAGTCTGGGGTTGTAGATGTCCGGTTCTTCGTCAGCTGGACCATATGGACGACTTGAAGCCTTTTCTGAAGCCATCAAATTTTCCCCAAGCAAAGGTGGCTCCGCATGGGTAGGTCGAATTAGCATAGCCATAGCCATTTTGACCATTGCACCACCATCGTCATCGTCATCACCGCCGTTGCCATCGCCAAAGTCATTGTTGGAATCGGAGTCGGTAATGAGCCCCCCTTGCCTGGCTGCTAGGCTCGTTTCGCGGTGTTGGTAGCCGGCGGTCGCAGCGACGAGTATCTGAACTGAAGTTCGCCTAATGCGATTCCGATACGAGGCGATTTTCCGATCAAGCAGATCAGTCGCGGTTTGCCCGGTCTCCGTCTCAAACGGTGATTCAAAGCTTCCGCGGCGCCGCCTTTTCGCCTCCCGTTCCCCCAATCTCCTCGCATGTGCACGTCTAGACACCCGTCCTTCCCGGGCCCAGGCTAGGCAATAATGTTAGTAAGATGACCATCTTACGAGAGGTTTGTCGGATACATACTGTCCCCATCTTTCTCTAGTTCTCCGATATCATGTGTGGCTAACGCATGGTAGGCTTTAAGTCGCCTGTAATTTTCTTGCAATCTCTGTAGTAACCCCCTCTTCTTCGAGAGGACTTGGTCGTTCTTGTCCGCCGACATGTCTGCGGTACGCTCAGAGCCCAGGTAACTCGGTGGAACGAATGATAAAAAGAATTTGGAGAGAAGAGAAGAAATGAATGGTTAATGAGACACAAGGCGCAAGGCGAGCAAATCTTCGGTCCTGAAGAGATGGTACCAGGAGACGCCTCCATTATCAAGTTAGTTGGTAGCTATCTTTGTGTGCTCCAAGATTCCTCTTTCGGCAGCTCACCACGATATTCGAAACTAGACGCTTCCGTCAATATTCATCTGCTTTCCCTATTCCTCGATATAGGACAAAGGCTACACTTAGAAACATGTGCTCGAACTCCTAATGTCCTAGCTCAACTTATATGTTGAACAAAGCAGCTTCGGGAATGTAAATTCCGTTCTTCGCTGGTTTCAGCAAGAAGTCCGATTTAAGACCAATGTCGCATAAATTGTCACCGACTCGAGACAAAGCGATAAATACTAGCACTATAAAGCATTGTTCATTAAAATTGACGCTATAGTATTTAATTATAATTATTATCAGCACCACGTGAACATAGAATCGGTTCACAAATTTATTACTTATCCTTGGATGGCAAAGTCGATGCCGTGCTGGTTGAGTAGGGAAATATATTGCTAGGCGTATGGCGCATTCCAGACATAAAAAACTACGAGCAGGTACTGTAAAATAGAATAGTAGTCAGTGGATGATACCAAAACGGGGAGGGATTACCTTGAATCTGCTTGGTAGCACAAAATATCAATGACATGGACCGATAGTCAGTGGCTGGTAGGGCGAAGGATAGATCTGCCGCGATAGAAGGCGTTCATAGATTAAAGGTTGTGTGAAGCAAAAGTGTCGAGGCGAAAGAAAAGATGCTCCCATTTACATCTGTCGGGAGCTTATTAGGTACATTAAGAATCGAGTCGCGTGGCGTTAATGGATATTGCTGGGTGCAGCGACTTAAGAATAAGAGGCCATTTTCATGGGATTTACGTAACATTAGTCGGTTCGACTCAAGGTTGCACCTTTAGGGAATTTGCGATCAATTATTTGTTGCATTCTGCGGGACCACCATTGCAGAGCTGTCTCGAATATCCGCCCGGCAAATGCTGAAAGATGTTGCACAGTCGTCAAGCCGTCATGCGCGAAGAGAAACCTCGGAAGTGAAAAATAATAGTACAAGCATCAGGTTGAAAGGGGAAAGGATGGTGTTGTTGTCCACGCCGTAGACGTCTTTGCTGATCCAAACGGGTAAGGTTGACTAGGTGAAAGGGGGAGGGAGTTGTGTCCATGCCATCATCCTCAAACGTCGTCGCAAGGCTGTCTGCAAAATGAAAAATCTCTTGCCGAGGAAATCCGCCCGCCAACAGGCGAGATCACTACGATAGCATCCTTCTGCCCGAATCTGTCGAACCCTGTTTAAGGATCAGATATCAAGGGAAAAACAAAATGAAAAGAGAAAAAGCAAAGAAAAAGAGAAAAACATAGTGTTAGAATGCCTTTTCCTTCCCTTTTACCTGCCGTATTAAACTCCATTTGTCACATCTTTTATGGTATCCGCCGAACTCGCATGCCCGAAGAGAAATGACCGAAGAAGGAGAGCCCAATGCTGTCGTCAGAGATCCAACCTGTGTGGAGACTAAAATGTGGAGAGTTGAAGGCCTCTCAGCGCATGTAGCGATCGTGTCCTGGATGACGCATTAGCAGCGGCAGGCTGGATATGTCGAGATGTTGTTGGTCGGTAATTAAGGCGCACCTCCGTATGTCTCGCGGGCGTCGGGTCGAGCAGCGGGTTCGCCGTAACCAGACGGAGCAGGGTCGCGAGCTCTAGCAGCATCCCTGTCGGGACGATCATAACGATCACGTTCATAACCTGGAGCACGTCGGTCTTCTCCTCCTCGAGCTCCATACCGATCTCGCTCTTCACGACCACCGGCATATCGATCGATTCGTCCATAACCATCATCACGCTCACGTCGATCATCTCGTCCGTAGCCACGGTCATAACCTCGCTCCTCACGAGCGCCGTAGCCGCCACCTCGACCATCACGGTAGTTGCGGTCATATCCGCGGTCCTCGCGGTAACCGCGATCACCGCGATCTTCATAACGGGTACGGTCATGGTTTCGGTAACGGTACGGGTCATCGCGACCGCCGTAGCCACCGTAGCCACCTCCACGACGTCGATCGTCGAAACGAGGACGGCCCTCTAAAAAATAATTATGTCAGACATAGAAGCAAACGTAGATTGATATGTACTAACCTCTCTTCGGGGGGCCAAAGTACTTGCCGGGAGTGGGAGTTCGAGGACGAGCTCGGCGAGCCTTCTCGATGCTGAGAGTTCGGCCCTCGATCTCTTCTCCCTGCAGACCATCCTTGGCCGCATCGGCCTGCTCAGATGTGACCATCTTAACAAAACCGAAACCGCGAGATTCCTTGGTGTGAGGATCCTTCATGATCTGGCACTTCTCGACTTCGCCGTACTTCTCGAAAAGACGAGTAACTTCGGATTCGGTCAATCTGGGATGGATTCCAGTTACGAAGAGGTTAGATCCAGGGTTAACGGAACCGTCCTCATCCCTGCTGCCATTCTCCTCTTTGGGGGCACTATAATTGTAAGTTAGCGATATCTCTTCGAGCACTAATTCAACCATCGTGTGGATCGTTGTCCCTAGAACTTACCGATCCTGGTTGGCAGCCGGAGAGGCAGAGCGGCGGCGGCTGTCAATACCGTCATCGCGAGAGGCACGAGGAGAAGCGCTTCGCTGGTCACGCTCGTAACGGGGGCCGTCGTCTAGAAAGTGGGCATAAATTAGTACCATTTCTACTCTTCGATGGAGAAAATAGTGTGTATACAGAATAGGACTTACCATCAAAACGATCGCCGTTTGCAGTCTCGTAATCCATTGCAGTGGTGGCCATGGCTAACAAGGCTTAGGTACTGCAAAAGTGGTAAGCAAGGACTCGCGACGCGAGAATAGTCGTAAAAAGTAATGCAAGAAAATACGCGTGCTTTGCAGGGAGACGAAGAATCGTATCGAGCAAATTGTCGCGCCAAGCAGCAGAGCAAAACCCAGGTTACAAGGCAATCGATGGAAATGTGATGAAGAAAGCGAGTAAAGAAATGGGGGATGGACGATGAAGAATGGGTGGATGTTGGTGTAGCGAGAGGCTTTTATGGTTGCATCGGATAATGGATAGAGAAAAAAGAAAAGGAAAAAGAGGCGCCGTGATTCCTGCTCACCTGCTATTTGGATGCACCTAAACACGCCAATCGTAACTAGAATGGCAATTGTAGCCTGGATTGATGCAGGCTCTGGTGTAGTGCACGCGCGAATGAGAAGGCACGTACGCAATGTGATGCTAGAATACCTGTCAGTATATCCCAAACGTGAAGACTCTTTTATAACGGCGAATCCGTGATTGTTGAGTCGGCTGAAAAGAGGGAGAAAAGATATGCTTTGCCGCGTTGTGTATGTAGTAAGTAGAGAAAGGAGAAAAAAAGATGGAATGAGTAAAAGGTGAATGGGAAAGTGTCCAAGGGTGGTCGAAAAGTGGGGAGGCAAAATTGTTCAGCTGCGGATGGGTTACCGTATGGTAGGTACAGTGGGTACAACATGCTTCGTACCTGCCTAGGCAACTACCTGGGAGATAGACGCTCTAAAACACAGTAGGAACCCCGTATATCAATGCTAGCGTTTAGAAGGATAGAAATAATTGTTTGTTATGACGGGAGCACTTGATACTTGAATACGTGGTAATATTGCAACTGGGGGGGTACCTACACACAATTGATTGTGATTGGTATGCTTGGATTTCAGTATATGTATATACCTTTACTTTATTTTTATTTTCTTATCGTAGTACAGGCCAATTTTGCCAGAGATGTCATAGCTCTGTACCACACTTCTTCCAAAGTACACAAGTCCATCGCGTCTAACGACCGAGTTGAACCAGCAACGAGTAAGTAGTCTTATATACACGAACAGCCTATCTAGGTAATCGTTACAACTCACCTATCTCGGCTTGATTCTCTACCATGTCCGCCATCAGGGCTTTCTCGACGTTGATGTTTACAGGGTCCACTTCGTCTAAGAACTTCAAACCCTCCATTGCTCTTCCGCCACAAGCTCTTTCTAATGCGAGAAATGCAAAATGACCTCCTACTACCGGACGAGCCATGAAATTGGGACCAGGAAACCCTCCTTCGCCTTCCGTTTCGTAGAGGTCCGTCAGTGGTCGATCTAATGAGATTTCGATTAGCCAACAGTAAAACAAAGATATAAGGACTTATGTACGTACCAGTCACTGTCTCATTGACCCACGTCGCGACATTCTGTAGGATTTCGGTCCGCACTTTCTTGCTTGTCACAGCAGCCGCAAAGAATTCCCAGTCGCTTTTCGTATATAAGTGGCGGCTATCCAATGGCAAGCCGTACTTTTGAAGAACCGCATGGTACCAGTCACTCTGCATCTGGTAGATTTTGTCTGGAATAAATGTCGACTTTGCGTTTGTCCTAGCCCCCTTGGCTAGGGGCTGTTGCTCCGAGCTCTCGGCTCCGCTGGATGCCAGGAATGACGTATTTGCAGGCAGGTGGAAACAAAGTAATGCGTCGGCAAAAATGTTGTAAAGAGTTGTCCATGACCCATACCAGGTGTACGCCAGTTTCGCATGCGTTTTATCTCTAGATAGTCCGAAGTCTTGCCACTTATCGATGTATTCGTCGGCTATGTCACTATACCACTTGGATTCAGTCTCCTTGCCGACGACATTAGCAATCTCGCTCATGGCCTTGATACCAATGATACCTTTAAGAGCCAAGTTCGTTTGATTAGCCAACCAGCCAGCAAAATCATCGGTGCATAGTTGATTGGCAGGGACGAGTGATTCTCGAACAAGATAGCCTGTCCACTGCTTCCACAGCTTATATGAGCGGTTTACCCATTTAGCTGCAGCCTTCTCACCGGTAGTACCCATATCTTCCCATGTACGATCCATTCCGTAGGGATTGACAAGGGTGGAGCGCTTTGCTGGCTCCAAGCTGAGAGGCTGAGCTTCTTGAGGTGCCGTTCGGGCAAACGCAGGCTGCGTGTTATCCCTCAAAGCATTGACTAATGCGAGACCCATGATTAACATATCACCGCACTCCTCAACGGGCATATATTCATCAAGACCATCCCCATGTCCGGTTGCGTTTGGGAAGTGGGTTCCAAGATCATGCATACTATAATCGTTGGGGTATTGGCCACTCAGTTGATGCTCGAGAAGAGGTTCTAGCAAATATGCTAACCATTGCGGGTTCGTGTATAAGAAAAACGGAAACGCTGGGAAGATAACATCGACAGTCTGGAAATTCCCGTTCGATGAGATTTCCTTGAGGAAGATGATGGGGTTGTCTGGAGTCCCAGAAAACTGTGTTGCTCCCAATACTTGGCGAGCTGATAATGCCGCAATGTCTTGGTAATCCTGAGAACCTGAAGCATATGCATCCTTGGCGAGCTGCTCGGAGTAATCACTAGCAAGGTAGACAGCCGTGTCATAGTCATCGTAGTGATATTGTAGCATTTCTTGCGCGGTGGCGAAATAGGAAGCCCACAAGGGTCGCATCAAGGTCAAGCCTCTGGCTGAGGCGAACTGGACGACAGGTTCTTGAGTCAAGGCAAAGGTAAAGATGACACTATCCTTGGTGATTCCAAGCGAAGTTTCCGGCTTCTCACTAAGCTTGAAAGTCTTGGAAAAGGCGAAGATAGGTTCATCTTCAAAAATCCCTCTATAGGAGTCATCAACCTTGTTCCCCAAAGATCCGTGCTCTGCAAATTGACGCCTTATATAATTTGATTCGCCAGATTGATGGTCAACGTCGGCTGGAGCAGAGATATGAATAGTTCCCCATTCAGCATGATCGAAAAACTCGGTTAAAAGTTGCTCGTGTCGTCGAGTGATGCTCCACGTCTTAATAGGGGTCCTCGCAGTGTTACTCTTTTCGGTCTTGGCAAGCGCCCACTCAATCTTGTTGTCACGGTTGCCGCTAGCCCATTCTCCATTTATGTCGACATAGAGGCTGACATCTGTCGAGCCTTCGACAATACATGTCAGGTATCCTGCCGGCAGGGACTGTCTAAGCGTCGAGGTAGGCGTAATAGGAGATAAGAACGAGAGGATAATTTTTACGTCAGAATCTGGGATTGTATAGGTGAGATTCGTAGTAGAGGCATCAAAGGTAGCACCATCGTATTGAGGGAAAGAGACGGTGTAACTGATACAGCATTAGCCCCCCCAAAAAACCAGGATCATATAAGAAGCTACTGCTAACCTAGAAGACTGCCTCAAAAAGTCTTGTGAGCGGCCTAGCAGAGGGTAGACGGTCTTGTTGTCGGGCACAGCAGCCATTATGGCAAAGCCGACAGTACTGCCAGTCCAAAACATCGGCCAACTCTCCCACGGAGCATCCCGGGAATGCGCGAACCAGAAGCTCAAATATGGATTTCGCACTATCAATGGCAACACAGGAGGCGTCAATGTTGAAGCATCGACGAGGGCCAGAACTAGGGCCACGAGGGCCGGCCATAGACACAGCCTCATAGCGACGGATCAAGCGGATATTCGTCTATTGCTAAGCTACTTGGAGGTTTGATATAACAATTGAACGAGGAAAGGCAACGCTGCGGTTGATAAAACATAAAGCTAAAGTATACGTATAAGGTTATTCGAACCCCTCGAGGATAAAATGATGCTACTCGAGGGATTTAGAATATGACAAGAATTGGTTTCTTAACCATATAACGGCTATGCGCAAAGGCAGTGGGTGGAATAACTCGATGTATAAATATCGGGGTTGTAGAGCTCATACGAAGAGCACGAAGACATTGGGGAGAGGGGGAGAGAGAGGAGGAAGAGTTGAGATGATGACTGCGGGCAGCTATGTAGGGACACGACCTACGACCTTGGAAGTAAATACCTAGGGATCCACCTTCCCCCAGGTTTCGAGGCATAACGCCCGGAGCCCGAAACAACCTGCAGCTTACTAGGTAGCCATTAACAAACGGAAGTGACGACATTTTCTCCACAATACCCACCCTTTTAAGGGAGGGCTACCACCTACAAGGTAAGGTACAGTGTCAAATATTGGGGTATGTGTAGCTGCAAGGTCCCTTACCATACCATTGATTTGGGAAGAAAGCGAGGCTGGTAGAGCTGATGCTGGGTGGAACGAAGAATGGAGGTGTAGGTACCTATGCATCCATGGATGCACCGTAGCCAAGCAAATACGCAAGTATATATACCTGGCAGCCTGGGTACCCCCTACCTAGGTACTTATCCAAGTGCGTACAATAGGTACTTTACCGGTAACTTCAAGTACCTAGTAAGCACCTACATAAATATCCGCCCCCGCAGTCTACGAAGACGGTATCCGCCTAGGGCTACTAGTATAAATCTCACCATTCATGATATGTTTTGAATATAATCTTTTTTCAGCAAATCTCCAACTAAATGCCTAACTAATTATAAGTAGCAACGTCTCGCTTTATGAATACCACTCACGTAAGCGGTATATATATGCTCTGGTGAAGGAGATAAGAAGACGAGTGTATAGGCACCTAAGAAGTATGCATCGCCCTCTTTAGCCTAAAAAGGGTATAGGGGCCTAATACAAGGCATCATGGAACATCGAGAAGAAAGGAGGGAAAAGCCCCGATCAACGGTCTTCTCAACGTTTATATAACTCGAGTTCAGTCCAGTTCGTAGAATGAGGCCATTCAGAATCGTGTGGCCACCCCACCCGCTTTCGTTCCTCCACAATCTTCTGGATGCCTTGGCTAGCCTAGGCTGCCCTTGGTGTGTTACCTAGTAGGGGTAGATGGTGTCTACCTACTTTCTGGGAAAATGCTACCCGAACTATGAGGGGTATTAACAACTACATAGGTAGTTTCGGGCTTCTAGTTCATTGTCATTCTCTCCAATACAACATCCTATTCCGATTGTCTGATATCTGGGGTTTTGCTTGGTCGATCCTTCATAGGAACACTGCTTGCTGTTAGCCGTAAGAAATCACCATCGTCTCTAAACCGATAGATAGGTTTGCTCATAATATTTCTCTTTACCAGCATTAAGTTTCACAACTCCCCAAAGATAGAAGCACATATCAGATTCTCTTGTCGCCGAAGTTGCTGGATCCGGTAACGGCACCCTGCCGACACTACCCGACTACCCTTCGACCTTCACTTCATTATATCGGAGGGTGATCATGACATCCCTCGAAGGCAAGGTCTTCGCAATTACTGGAGGCGCTAGTGGGATTGGATTCGCAACTGCGCAGATATTGTCCAAGCGCGGTGGAATTGTCTGCGTAGCCGATGTAGACCCAACAGCTATGAGCAAGGCAGAAGAATACTTCACCAATCAGAACACATCATTTGCGATTACCAAAGTAGACGTCTCTAAGCGTGAAGAGGTAGATTCTTGGATCGACAGCATCGTTCAGAAATACGGGAGGCTTGATGGCGCTGCCAACGTCGCCGGTGTCATCGGCAAACACCACGGAATACGAGAAGTGGCAGACCTTGACGACGATGAATGGCACAAGATAATCGCGGTTAACCTAACGGGGACGATGTATTGCTTGAGAGCCGAGCTGAGAAAGATCGTCGATGGTGGTTCTATTGTGAATGTTTCCTCTATTCATGGGCTTCAAGGTAATCAATGGTTCAGAGTTCCCGCATCTAACGAATCCCGGCATTGACCTCTAGTTTAGGGTTTGCCAAACATGGCGCGTATGATGCCAGTAAGCATGGTGTTATTGGCTTGACAAGATCAGCGGCAAAAGAAAACGGCAAACGTGAAGTTCGTGTCAACGCCGTAGCTCCTGGCCTCATACATACTCCATTGATGGAAAAGAGTTGGAAAATCCATAACCGGACACCTGACGCGCCATTCGATGATACGGTGGCTTTCGGTAGGTTAGGCACGGCGGAGGAGTGCGGTCAAGTCATCGCCTTCTTACTGAGTCCCGAGAGCAAGTACGTAAGCGGGAGTGTGTATTCTGTCGACGGTGCGATGTAGCAGGCAAGCAGAAACTCCCCGTCAAAAGACATCTTCAGGTTGAACTTCGTGGTTCCTTCCGTCTTCCCGGATGTGCTTTAGCGTTTTATCTCGTGACATAGGTTTCCGCATGTCGTAGGCATCTTCGCCGTGAGCGGTAGGATCGTTCACATTATCGCCATAGTAGTCCTTGACTACACGATAAACACTATAACCCATACCTTCGTAGAAGGTGATGGCTTTCGTGTTACTTTTCCTCACGAAAAGGTCGACAAACCAAGCGTCACCGGCCTCGGCCGCCACTTCGAGGTTATCGGTGAGGATCTTTCCAATCCCAAGGCGGCGCGCTTCAGGAGCCACCGTAAGAGCAGTTATATGCGCGTGCCATGGTAGGTAGTGCTCCGAGTACTGGAAATAGTCTGGAGAGCTTTCGAGCTTACCCATGACTATACGCAAAGCATAACCACGTCAGACCCGATAGTCCTAAGTCCCCTACACGAATCAAGCGAGTTCTGACTTACTGTAACCAATAATATTTCCGTTGGGGTCCTCGGCAACTTGAAATAGCGAAGGCCATTTGGCGAAATATTGAAGGTAGAAACTCAGATCGTAAGTCTCAGTCAAAGGGTCGAGGTTGCACTTAGAGAACTTGTCCAAGTCGTCTGGACGAAACCGTCGAAAGGACGCCATGCTTCCAGGGCGATGATTATCTCCCTCCTAAGAAATAATTTTATTAATTCCCGCAATGGCAATCTGTACTTGATCGTGCGATTCAAGCTATGCTGGATAAGATAGAGAGACGGTGGGGTGCAAAGAAGGGAATATGGCACCGATAGATAATTAAAATTGATGTAATTTTAACGAGTGTGTCAGTATTTTCCAGCTATTCCGTCACCAACAACGACTTTAAGAGATATCTGGCTAGGTAGATAGCATGAGTATAGAAGTCTTCGATAATGGTATAGGCACATACGTGAGGAGAAAATAGTGAGGGTTTCATGTGTTTATAATAGTACTTAGGTGAGAATTCATGCCCCTCCAAAAACACCCGGCAATACCAATTTCAATCTATATGTAGGTAAGGTACCCATGTACCTACCTATCTATCAGTACCTACTACATAATCAAATGGGGTGCGTGGTCTGTGCGAAAATTAAGACAGAGGGCTGATCATATGTAGGTGTGTACCTGCCCTAAATTGAACTACTACCTACTAAGTCGCTAACGGCGGGCTCTATATCTACAGTAACGGAATGTTTTACGCATGCGGGAACTGGCAGGAACGTCCACGGGTCTCCCACGGCAAGGTGCATTGCATTCAGTGTAATGTAGCTCTTGCCTTAATTTTTTATTTGAATTTGATGCATTTGGGCAGGTGCCGGGTTACGGTATGGGAGTCCCTGCTAACTTTCTAGGGTTAGTAAATATTATGTGGTTTTATTACTGGATCAGGCCTGAATATCGAACTTTTCGTTAGATTAGAATGTTCTAAAGTTCTAACCATTCTGGTCCGTAACGTACCTAATCCGCATTCCGCATTCTGCATCATCAGCAGCCCGATATCAAACTTTCTAAATCACAACGAAACCTCCAAAAATCCGCCTTCGGCCGAGTCCTGCGACCACGAATACCAACGTCCATTTTCTTGCTCCGTTAAATCTTTTTATAAACCTCCTACCGAACGTTTTAGTGGGATGCTACGCTGTCCCACATCCATGGTTTAATTCGACGCACAGTCGAGCTTTCACTTTCCTACAATCCAAGATTCTCTATCCAGTTCAACACACCAGTCAACCCACAACCATGGACCGGTTGCCATCGCCCGCGAGGCCTTCGAGTCGCTCCTCCAGTATCGAAGTGTCTTTCCATACTTACAGCCCCCCATCACCCAGAAGCCGACGACAGTCCAAGTCATCTTTTCAAGATCCCCTGACGCCCTTACGCAATAGTATGAACGAATCCGAGCTTAATGACCTTAGCGGCGGTGGTATGGGACAGGACAATGGGCTGGGGAATCTAGCGGATGAATTGGCAGACGCTTTGTCTGGCTCTGGTGATGACGAGGAATATTACGAAGACGAAGAAGGGTCATCACGCCTTGGTTTCGACCAGAAGAGAGACGATGGTCGGGATTCAGCAGATGGGATCAGAGATAGCGGAGTTGACGTGGCAAGTCAGTCAGGCCAGCATGGAAGAACTAAAAGCACGAGCTTGGGTATACCTTCGCCCCCCGGGCGTGGACACCGGCGGACAGCAAGTGCCTACGATGGGAGTGAATATGGTTCCGAATCGGATCTAGACTCGCCCGGCATGCCACCAAGCCTAGTTGCCAAGATCGATGCTGTCGAATCCTTGGCCCGAAGAGGCACTGAAAGCAACGGTGGACCTACTGATGGCGTCTTCCAACGGTTAACAGACGGGCTCAAGGATCTTGGGTCACAGTCTAGCGTAGAGGGAAGCACCACGAGGTGAGTGCTTACGTTATTATTTTACCTAACCAACTATCTTGGATCTGTTCTAACCTAGCTGCTGCTGAATTACAGATTGATTACCGCTCATTCGGCCTTGGCAACACATTTGGCACATCAGACACGTCAAATCCACAATCTCACATTCTCCTTACTATCGCCACTAGTTACGCCTCCGGACCCTGAGACGATCGACTCACTTTTACCACTGCTCACTTCCGTCTCGGACGAAATGCCGCGACCTGCGACTTCGGCATATAACTCCTTAACTGCCTTGCATTCTGTGACATCCGACCTGGTACAAACCCTTAATTATCTCTCAGACACATTGCACATGTCACGGCAAACTACTACGACTGCTACGCGACGTCTAAGGACAGCTAAGGAGATGGTGGCGGAGATGAAACGAGAAGAAGAACTTAAAGAGGAAGGGGAGAGATGGTTAACGAGAGGTAACTGGGGCGAGAGGTTGCAAAAGCGCGAATGTGCTGGTGTATGCAGAGAAGTTGTTGGAGGCTTTGAGGAAGTATGTAACGGTTGGAGAGCACGTCTATTAGCTCAGGCAGAGTCGGCATAAGTGCTAGAGGGCGCGTCACACTACGAAGCAAGGATCATTATTGTCTTCGAGAGGAGAGCCGGGTCTGACGTTGTAATATGTGGCTGGCGTGGCCTTACTAGATCGGATTTTCTTTTGTCATTTCAGCATTGCGGCGGATACGTATTGGTTGCGCTCAGAACCTGCACTTGGCGTTGATATTGGGTTCTTAACGGCTCTTATATCCACAGGGATAGACGTAAAGACTTGCAAAGAATTGCGGTGCTGGATGATGGTTTCGCCTCAGGAATATACATGATGGATAAGTTCATGTATCCTCGAATACGTGATTTTCCAAAAACCCCTTTTTTCGCAGGATCTAGCGGCTCTCCAATCATCTAGCTTCCCCGGAGCTTATTCTCTTAGCAAGTTCGCCTAACATACAAACCATGGCATTCACATGAAGTTTAAGGGAAATAATATCAGCTTTTGCTATTGTCCAAGTCGATAACACTTGGTGGCGGTAAAGTTGAAAAGATAGGCGTCAAATCAAAAGAAATGAATATACCCCAGTGATGACCACAAACTAATAATGCAGAGGTAATTATACACTATACATTACGCAATGGGCACCCATCGAGAGGCCACGCCCATCAAATACATAAGAATGATGCGTACGGGCAGCTTGATAAATAACGTGTACATAGGACCATTATAGCTAAACGGGGTTTGGTCCGATAGCCAATGAGGAAGTCTAGCAGCAGAAAAGGGGGTCCGAAGGCCGAACGCGAGATGTGTATCCAAAATAGGGGTCAACTCTTCGCGCTCTCTGAACAATTAGCGTAGTTATAACATGCATGATACATCCATCACCTCTTTAGGCCACACCACCAGACCCCGCGTGTATGCGCAAGCATTCCTAACTCTTCGAAGGGACACTCGTCGCCGACGGTGGGCAACTCTCGTCAATTTGTTCCTTCTCATTCACAGAGTTAGTAGGAGGGCACTCGGTATCATCCTCGAAGGATCTCCGTCTGGTTGTACGTAAATCCACCGGGGGCGCGCGTCGATCTTGCTTCGTCATAGCCACTTCGTCATCGTCGACGAGAATTACTATCCAAGCTCCAACAGCTCCATTAATCCCGAACAGAGGCGTGCAATGGATCCATCTTCCTTTGCCGTAACTATCCGTTTTAGTCACCCAACGAATCTTGGTAGCAATATCACGTCCATCGATAAACGCTTGGGTGATTTCTTCGCGGACAGACTGTGATCCCCCGATGCGTGACATAAAGCTACATTGTAACATGCCGGGGAAGCGCAGCGGCGGCGAGGCGAAAAGGACTCGCAGAGTCGGGTAGGGGCGTACGACGAGGTAGTTCTCGTAAATACTACGTAGCTGGCTACCAGACGAGGATGAGATGTTAAACACGAGATCAGCGTCACGGTGACTTGAATCACCGTCGATGTCCTCGTCGGAGCTTTGCGTAGCACCACTTGCTTCTCGGGCCGTTCTCATTTCATGGACGTTGAACATTTCCGCGAGTTGGCGGATCTTGTCTTTGCTACGTTGTTGGGGTTGCGCCTTTCCCCCGTCCTCTTGATCCGGCGTGTCACGTCTGTAGTGAACAAGCTGCCTGAGGGATTCGAGACATGTGCACTCCTTCGCCAATCCCGAAACATCTACTTGACAGCCCATGTGGTATCGAACGACACCACGATTATCGATTAGAGGCGCAACCATAATGAGGTTCATGAAAGGAGACCCATCACGTCGGTAGTTCAAAATGGTTTCACAGTGTTCTTTCCCTGCTTCCAGCTGCTCTTTTATTCTTTTGACGCTGGACCGGTTCGTGTACGGTCCCTGGAGGAAACGGCAATTTCGCCCCAAGGCGTAATCTACCCCGTACTGTCGCACCTGGAATTAGCAACTGTCGTCTGAAAGAGATTGAGAGCATAAAAATCCCCTTTGGGCTCCTGCTAAGCAGGTGAAGGATAGGGGCTGGGTTTAGACCGCATATACCCACCTGTGTCATCGTATGGAATCCTATACAATATTTAGCCATACTGCAGCTAATATGTGGTTTTAGTTGGAACACGCACCTTTACTAGCAAATAGAATGGGATTGTCAGGCCTCGATGGATCTGTCAAGCAAAACACCTCTGCCAATCCATCGGAGAGGTCTCGGAGATGCTCGGGCAACGTATTCGTGACTCGTCTCTTCACGACCATACCTACCATCTGAATCCACGTGTGGGTGATGTAAGCAGGGAGGTGATCATTAACCAAAGTTTCAAATGCGCTGTTAGCTTTTCCTAGGAGTGATTCATTGGTGACACTAGGAACGGCCTCCTGAGTGAACTCTAGCCCCTGGATCGAAGTCAAAGACCGAGAAATAGCGTTTGCGTAGTTAATTGCTTTCAATGCCTTCGATGCATCTAGATAATATATTAGGAGGGGGACAGACTTCGGCCTAAAAGCGTACAGGAAGTCTTTGAACCTCTGGAGAAGAAGTGGATCGTCAAATATGGCCTGTAGATGGGTTTTCGAGAAGAGTGCTTTTGATCTTGTCTCCAACGAGTATCGGGAGACTCCGCCGCTGCATGGCGAGACCAAACTAAATGAAGACGGGTCGATATCTTCCCCAAGTAAAGGTTTCAGTTCGTCCCGGTCTGACGACCCTTTGCTCTGCAGGCCGTGGGAGGCACTACTATTTCTCAGTGCAGGCGAAGAAGTTGAAGAGGTTCCCCTTGAACTTGTCGAAATAGACAACACTATAGATGTTGAGGTTAGATCAGAATACTTTCGACGTATATTCAGCTTGTACGCTGCGGCAGAGGGATTGGAACCACCGGGTATTTATGGTCAAGGACCACTTGTGCTATAATAATCAATGGCGTAGATGTACACTCACAACTCCTATCAGCGCTGGACGGTGAGCGAGTTTCAGCGCATTGAGGATCGTTCAATGGGGCCGTGGTGAGAATTTCAGACTGACTTCGCTCGGGATTGCTCCGAATACTACAAACAGATTAATGGGCTGTTTACAAGCTAGTAATGTGAGAGCCATCTCACCTATTCGGGCGATTCGACTGGGAACCTGGGTTGTTCGAGAGTGCTAAACTTGCTGTTTCTGCCCATATCTTCCGAAAGGTCGCAGGAGATGCAACTGTTTCAGCAACTGATGCCCCCACGCTTGGCCGTCTCCCTAGAATCTCGTGGATATTCGCTGCGTCCTTGCCTTCATCGTCGTCTTTTTCGAAAGCCGCAAAAGATCGTACACTCATCACGCTATGTCGATTGCTGGTCTTAGCAAGTGACGCTGGGTGTTGCTTGCGGCGCGAATCTGCGCGTGCTAATGTTGGGGGCATGATCATTCCCTGGACGATAGAAATAGATTTACTCTACCCGAGTACTTGTTAGTTCCTGGCAAAATGGGAATTCGGTAGTTAAAAATGGCTGTGCTTTGAAACCAACTCCCGTCTTGTATGTTTCTGATACCCATTCCCCAGAAAGTATGTTCAGTGAAGGATAATGTCTCGGGTAGTCTTTTAACTGCTATGATTCCAACCCCGTAACATATAAAACTGGGGGCAAATAGTAGAGGCCTGTGAGAAGTGTAGATGGGATTTGGGAGGAGGGGGGATGGAATCGTTCAAGTCACCTTCTAGATAGGTAACGTGGTAGTTATGATGGCGCATGGGGCCCATGAGAATGAGATGTGCTTCTTCCACCCGCTGATATGTCTGTCGTCTTACGTGGAAACTCTTAACTTGCTGTACCCTCTATACATGATTTAAACAAGAAGACCGAGCGAGCATTGTAGGCACTCAGTCGCCTTAGTGGTAAGCAAAGAATCAGTGACTACCCCAGTGAGTTGCTCTACCTACCTACGCATGATTGGCCCGTACCACTGTCCCGTACTATACAACCATACCAGAGTAGCCTTCATCGATAGAATGTTGCTGTCCGTTAATAAGTTTCCTTTTAGGACTTGCGTAGCGTCCGGCGTAATCGTGGGCCACACGGACTGGGTCACTTGCTACGACATCTCAAGAGTAGCAGTTTGAGAAATTGACATGTAGTGGAAAACATGATCATGAGCAAATGGCGATTGAATCGGGTTGAATGGTGCTTTAGAATAATGACGATTATAGAAAATTTTCTATTCGCTTTATATTCTGTATACTAGATATTGGATACTATATGTAGATGTTTAAATAGGGGTAAGAGTTATACTCACGATTAGATGTATATAAGTTACTACTAGTATAAGCTACCAGCTCTGTACAAAATTAAACCCTATATTAGTATAGTCAATCAGAGCAAATCATGAGAAGAGCGTAACTTAGAAATTAGAGAAATGACCCCTTTCTTGTAAACTTGTCATTATTGTGACATCAGCCAGAGCAGCCATGAATTCTCAAAACTTAGAAGCCCCCCTTAGGATTAAGAGTTCGGCCATTCTTCCTGCGAGTTTTAGTTTAGTGTAGTCCATGACGTATCAGCTTACATACAAGGAGGTACCCAGACAGGCATCCGGGTACTTATACCTTTCCAATATGTTAAATGGGAAGTTTGACAGCGACATAAGAGTGAGAGTTGTGATGAGGTTCAAATAGCCTTAGGTAAGTCAGTTTGATGCCAAGATTTACCCGCCATGGATGTTGCTGGTTGGTGTTTTCCATTTTCCATGCAATTGGGGCAATTCTTGACGCGCCGCTGGTAGATCCCATCGTCTAAGTAGTTAGGTTACCTACATATGTACCTAGTAAGTATATGGCTAGATATGTACCTGTATATGAATGTACTGTTAGGCACTTATTGACTCGTAGAGTAACTTGTCGGGTAAGCTCTAGTACATGTAGAGTTGGCCCCCAAGCTGCCCTATCATCGGGTGACTTGGGACGAGTCCAAACGCCAACCCCTGAATGGGAAGTGTTTAGCCAGTCGGAAAATTGGCCGCGCGCGTCCCTGGTAAACTCACCTAGGCCAAATAAGTAACAAAAACAAACAACGCAACCGCGCTATGTACAAATGCAGTAGTTTAACGAGCGCTGCGAGGGGCACTCCTGCTTTGCTTTGCTTTTCCTGTTATGAGCATTTGACAAAAAAAGGGAGGACGGCGCGTCTCGTCGATCCTGCATCGCGAATTAGGCCGCACAACAGGCCTCAGTTCAAGACGTGTTGAATTACTTACAGGGTGAAAAGACCTGTCAGGAGGCCTTTGTTATTGTTCTGCTCAAACCAAATGTTAGCACCCAACCTCCACAATCATGTGTTATTGATCCAAAGCTTTAGTGAGCGTGAATGTAGGACGGAAAAAGATATGAGACTTTGCAGAAGCTGTTTACCACACGCGTTTCCCGCCACTTAATGGAATCTAATCTACCTACACACATAACGTCCCATAATATTATAAATGTACCTCCATACATTACTAGAAATAGGTATGTATTGATTTTATAGACAAGCAATTTTCATCATTTAACTTTAAACGCATTGCTTCTATATGCTCATATAGAAGGAGTAGAGATAATAATTATCATTATAACATTAAACTGGTGAAAGACTATGAATGTACATGACAGATGGGTTGAGCAGGTTGAGTTGGTGTTTCTCAATACAATCATAGTGACATTTAATGTTGATCATGGTCTCCGGTACAACACATCTCACGCGTGCTAAGACGAACTGCAGGTACCTAGAGACTCACCAATATTACTTTGATAGTGGAGACTTGACTTATGGAGTTAGCACCTACTCCCCTGGTGTCATTGCTGCATTGTAAGGCGCGCGCCCGCACTCAAAGCAAAGGTATGGGGGATAGAGCCATGCCGTCCACCTTCCTTACCTTAGCAAGATCCATTCAGCCGTTGCCATCCAACTTCAATCATAATCCGCGAGAGTCAATCACCCACCTCTTTCCCACCTCCCTCCTGCCAAATTTTGTGATATCGACGACTAACGAGCAAACTCTACAATATCTCTATTAATTGGAATATTAGTCACTTATTGTTTTGGGTTTTTTGTTTTCTCTCACCCATTCATCACCGAGAGAACCCGTCGAATCGAAATCGAAGCGCTTGAATCTCACGATCACTACTCCAAAAAACGATTGCCCATTTATTCTTTTCTCAACTGCCACATTAGTCTGTTCAACATCGTCTTTCACAGAAGAGCATGCGCTAGAAACAAAATTGCGAACCCCGAGGGGACTCACAGGAGATTCTCACTTGATCACTCCATTATCTACTACTTCATATTCCATCACCTAGCACGCTGTTTTTGCTTCTCTCGTCTCCTTGTGACGAAACCGTCACCAAATTAGAAACAGACCCCAGAACAAACCGGCTTTGCGCCACTCACCAATTCACTTTTCAGAATCTACCCATATTATCCCTTGCCAGATAATCTAGCCTTTGCGATCACTACCTGAACACTAAGTGAAGAGAACGAAAAATGACGTTAGAGTCTGATCCAGTGTCTACGACACTGTCATCTCTAAAACGACAAGCGCACGATTCGACTAGTCCTTCCATCCGAACACCATCAAGAATAGCCACCCCTCCTCCACCATCCGATCGAGGGACACTTCAGGTGATGAATAATGGAGATGGAGGGAAGCTAAAAAGTGCTCGTCATAGTGGCCGAGGATCAAGTATCGGTGGTATTGATCCTGAGAATTTGACACGAGCCCTTTCCAGAGAGCTTTCCGGAGAGAGACGAGATAGCACATCTGGTGCTAGTCCGAGCAGAAAGAGGCAACGAATAAATGCTGACAGGTTAGTATACACAAATTTCTCACACTTGAAATTTATTTTTTATATTTTATTCTCTTTTACCAAACTTTTTCTACAATATCTTTATTTTCATTATTATCGAAGTTTTCCTTCACTTTCCAACCCTACGCTCTGGACTCTTCCAGATATGGGGTCTCAATCAAAAAAATCAGCAATGTATGCTAAATCTGACAGATTCATTCCTTCCCGCTCGGGCCAAGATCTTCAGGCTAGCTTCAGCCTCTTGCATGAAGAAGGTTCCCCAGCAACGCCCTCTAGGCAAAAGAAGCGTACGCCGCACGGCGAGCTTCACTTCCAGAAGAGTAGGTCAACTTAGCTGTTGTCATGAGTAAACGATACTAATTTTTCCCTCCCTTACTCAGCGGAAGAGGCGAACCGAATATTCTCGACGGTTTTAAGAGCAGAGCTCTTTGAAAACACGATACCACAGGCGGCTCCTCAAGCGTTGTCACCAGACAGCAACTTGCCGGGCTCGTCACATTCAACACACGTTCACGATGGCACGAGATCCCACACACCGCCAAGCAACCCCCCTCCTTCCTTGCCTTCCACCTTCACACCATCGACACCACACAAGAACCTCTTTTCTTATATGTCTCCCCGACATCATTCTAACATCGCTGGCCACCCGACGCCAAACCGCACCCCGCAGAGCAGACACGGCCCCAATCTAGATATCCGATCAGAGATATACAGCATATCTCCAGTTCGCTTTGGAAGCCAACAAATGCTTCTGAGTCCGAGACGTCAGCCACGTGCGGTCAGCAAAGTACCTTATAAGGTCTTGGATGCGCCGGAGCTTGCAGATGATTTCTACCTGAACTTGGTCGATTGGGGTAGTGCTAACGTTTTAGGTGTTGGCCTGGGATCAAGTGTCTATATGTGGAATGCACAAACGAGTCGGGTCAACAAGCTTTGCACACTCGAGGATGACACTGTAACGAGTGTGTCCTGGATCCAAAAAGGCACACACATCGCCATTGGCACCGGCAAAGGGTTAGTTCAGATCTGGGATGCCGAAAAGACTAGGCGTTTAAGAACGATGACGGGACATACCGCACGTGTAGGATCTATGGCCTGGAACACCCACATCCTCACATCAGGATCGCGAGATCGGCTAATTTACCATCGTGACGTGAGAGCCCCGGACCAATGGATGCGAAAGCTTATGGGTCATAAGCAGGAGGTGTGCGGCTTGAAGTGGAACTGCGAAGATGGCCAACTAGCAAGTGGAGGAAACGATAATAAGCTTATGGTTTGGGATAAGCTGTCCGAAACTCCTCTCTGGAAATTCTCCGATCACACCGCTGCGGTTAAGGCAATTGCCTGGTCGCCTCATCAGCGTGGTCTTCTTGCGTCGGGTGGCGGCACGGCCGATCGAAGAATAATATTCCACGATACAGTACGTGGATCGGTCATCAACGAAGTCGATACCGGAAGCCAAGTGTGCAACATTTCGTGGTCCAAAAATTCGAACGAGATCGTCTCAACCCATGGCTACAGCCAGAACCAGATCGTCGTATGGAAGTATCCCGCCATGACCCAGGTGGTCAGTCTCACCGGACACACGTACCGAGTCCTGTATTTGGCAATGAGTCCAGACGGACGAACTATTGTGACAGGAGCCGGTGACGAGACTTTGCGATTCTGGACCGTGTTCGGACGTCGGCCGGGTCAGAGAGAGGACAGTGACGGCGGCGGAGGGCGACTGAGTGACTGGGGCGTGATACGCTGAGGATTCCAGTTCCTCCGCCATGCATGCGTACGATAGGATGGTAAACCCCACGTTTGCCATACCCATCTTCGTACTTAAAATTTCCGGCATTTTCAAGGGAGTCACCTTTACAGTTGGGTTGCATCCACGGGCGTTATCGTTTTCACGAACTTTACATTTACGAACCTACGTGGAGGAGGGAAGGGCTGGATTCTCGGTTGCTCAGTTACTAACCGCGTCAGGAGGTTGACTAGCTAACTAATTTGCATTCGACCACCTTTATGATAATGGTGGTGATGGTGGGGCGGCGGCGGCGGCGGCGGCGACGGACAATCCTGTTATCTATGGGCAGCAAGGCGTTGAGGGAAGTGGGAGGCAGGCTCCTTACGGATAGGAACCCATTAGTAGGATCAATTGAGGAACATGATGATAAAATCCATTCGGCTCGGTAGCATCATCGTAGGTATTGTTACGAGCGTTGTAGGCTAAAAAGCGTAGTAAAAGGTCCCAAAACTAGCTGTTCGTAGCTACGCGTGTGATTTGATATACCTAATACGAGGTCTGTCAATCTGTGACGAGCTTCGCATATTCATCAATTCCCGATGCCCCCTTTCGAAGTATTACGTGGACGGGATGAATTTGCTTACGACTTAAGTCACAATATCCATTATGTGGACGGTCATGTGTGAGAATATCTTTATAATTTCTAGCATGTTATGGCATCAAACTCCATGTAGAGCTATTCCCCATTAAATTCCACTGGTCGTTACTCTTTCTCTGCCGCATCCGAACTCCGTGTTTTGTACTGAATAAATATGAAGGGGTATCGATATCTGCTGAATCAATCTTTGATGATAATAACGATGATGATGCCGCAACGCGTACCCGCAGGAACTCCGAATCCAAAGAAAAAGGGAAAATACCATGACCCGACAGGTTTAACCTCGACACTGTTCACGGCATGCTATGACGGAGCTGTCACGGCAACACCGACAGTCCGGCGCTGGAATTCGGGGTAGAAGACATTTAACCAACTGTACCACCAACTTAGGTTATCGGACATCCTCTCCTAACCTCATCCCCTAAAATATTTTCCACCTGAGAAGACAGTATGTCTAATAAAGATGGTTATTTCATGATGGGACTGCCCCCGTAGGTTTTCTTGCTCGAACAGCATCCTCATCGCCGTCATCAATTCCACTAGCCACTACACCTTTCTCTTCAGAAGAGGGGTTCTCCTTGTTTGATTTCTCCTCGTTCAATAGTGGAATCTCGTCCACGCTTAAACGCCGCCCACTGGCAGGGTCTTGAACTTGGACAGCCTTTTCTGCCCCCTCGACATCCGTAGTGCCGTTCTTCACTTCGAGTTCGGGCAGCGGCGTCGGTGTCATTGTCGGGGAACCAAGCCCATCGGGGCTATTCTGCCACTTAGCAACCTCGGCCTTCAACTCTTCAAGTTCCTTCTGGAATCGCTTGCCGAACACATCGATGTAATACGTCGAGCCATTATAGACACTCCACGTAAAAACAATCATGAGGAAAGTGGATGATGCCCATCGACTATAGAACCACAAGGGACAGGGCAACATGGTCAGCACGGCGTATAGGTACTGTATCAGCATGAAAGCGAACTCCTGCAGACTGTCTGGTAGCGAAAGCACGATTTTACCAATCCAGGTCTTCGAGTATGAACGACGTAGCCAGGTAAAGGATGTAGGCCGTCCAGCCGCGATCTTTTCGCGCCTTCGAACTGTGATGAAGAAATAATAGGTAAGCTGCCAAACGGCGTACGGGATGGTAGACCAGGCAAGCATCGATATAAGGTTTCCATAAGCTGTTGGTGAGCCTGGCGGAGAGGTTTTGACGGTCCAGAGTGCGGGAAATCGTTCGCGCTGCGCATCGGGAGGATACAGATGGGTGATGCAATGTAATGTGGCAACCGGCATGATGTGGATGAACAGAGACGTTACTTTGTCGAAGTCGTGGAACACGAGCGAATTACGCCACATAATGATTGCCACGGCGTTGTTCCCGAAGGCTAAACAGTAAGCGGCGATAAACAACCTCTTGGAGGATGGAAAGACCCATATGGTGAGGAAGAGCAAGAGGTTGACGAAGTAGCAGAGGTCGGCCAAGAAGTAATGATAACCGCGTTTGCGATAGGTATAGAAGCGGATAGGCATGAAATAGATGAGCTGGGCCCCGTACCAAAGATGGAAGTATTCGGGATAGGCGCCTATTAGGTAGCCGCTGATGAAAATATTCATGACGCCGCCGATGAAGGAAACCTTCTCGCGCAATGTGACAACTTTGGTATCGTTCCATCTACGGCCTAATCTTTCGACACTCTGCTTCATGCGTTTTCTATACCTCTCCAATTGCTCATCAGCTGAAGGTACTCGTCGCCGCCATTCTTCGACCATGCGCTCCCTTGCCTCTTGGCTTTTGGTTTTGAGGGCGGCTCGCGATTTGCGGACCTTTTCGGTCTGAGCTGAGATCCCCTTTTGCAGCTTTTCCAATTGTTGAGGCAATGCGAAATTGTCGAGCAGGTCTAAAACCGTCAATCGGTCCAGAGGAGGATAGGAATCCCAGTCTTCATGATAGGAGCTGCTCCCGGAGAAAGAGGGATTCCTCGACATTCGAGGGCTCTTAGGCCCATCGTCTAACTTAGGAGGATCAACCACAGCTTGTTGGAGAGGCGAAGAGCTTAGAGAAGGAGTCGTGGTATTATCAGGCGTTAGGGCAGTCTCATCGTCGGTCTGAGCGCCTTCGGACTTGGCCAGCTGTGCCTGTGTGGAATGGCTTGTAGAATCGGCCATCTCTGCTAGAGTGCGGATCGGGAATCTTTGGATATCGTTACGAAAAGACACTCTACGAAGAGCTTCAGCTCCCCTAAGAACTAAAATGTCAGCCATTGCTAAACAACGGGCGAAAGTACGTCCAAGACTCGGACCTGAGGTCTGGACGAGAGGGTAGCAAGAGATGCCAACTCACGATGGGAGCAAGGGACCTGGTTATTATTGCCGTCTCGACTAAAGGATGACTTCACGTTGTGCGTACAGGTGGATGCGATGCTAGAAGCCGATCCAATTAGATAAAGAGGTCGCAACGGGCAGAACGGGGTCGAGGCTAGAGGCAAAGGATCGAGGTGGGAAAACAAAGCGGGTGCATGCGGTTTTTCGTAGGTTGGTAGTCGGAATATAGTAAGACACGAGGTGAGTTTGCGTGACTTCAGAGGCCTGTATTAGGCAATGGAGAATATGTAGAGGTTAAAGTATAAAAAGTTAGGTGGGTGGGAATATTTGATCCTGTAGGTGGCTTTCGCTGAAGGACGTGTCTCAAGCGTCAATTGTGGTTGGACGAGAAGAAGGCGGCTCTTTTTACTGTGGGATCTTCAATCCGTCAACGGTAGAGTCGATGCAACTTTAGTAGTGTCTAGTCCTCGAAACCCCACTGGCACACCGTTTCAGAACTGGAACCGACTTATCTTTTCTTTTTCTTGTTTCCTGTTTTGGTGTTGAAGAGGTAGGTAGCTCAAACAGAATCCCTCATCGAGAGAATGAAAAAAATGGGATGGACTACTCAATCTTATTTGTGGGATGTAGAGCTGGCGAGTGTCAAGATTGGTTAATCTTGAAGGGTATTTGGAGGTATAATGACGCCATTAGGCATAACAATACACTTCAGGCTTGGAATCCATGTTCACATGTACCCTAGATATCTCCTATAAATGCCTACTAAGGATAAGTAAACTTTAGACTTACCGTATATGAATTCAACTTCGTATGAAAGTAAGCTCTGTAAGTGACGTCTAACTGCGGAAAGACAAGGTTTCTTGGAGAAACTGGTTAGGTAGCTTTGATCTTCAAGCTGTTCTAACTATAAATTTCAGGGTTCAACCTCCTATTAACATCTACCCGAAAACAGGAATCTTTACATCCATGGATGGTAGGTGCAAATGAGAAGGAGTACCTAGATTCTAATTGGCTGGGATACTTGACCACCTGCCAATCAATGCATGCCAGCTGCCAATGGGAAAGTGCACTAACATGGGACAGGCATCTTACCTTAGGTAATTCCCAATTGAGATGGAAGGGTCCCCGCGTATGTATACACACACCATCGTGCTCTTACCTACCCGCACACAGGAACACACGACATACAACAACCTTCACAACCCTCACAATCTTCACCAGAAATATAAGGACAACTTGCCAATGTCTTCCATACGTTAAGGCGCCCTAGTTTTACCAATATAACCCGCCGGTTCATTGAAATGCCATAAGTTAAATACGCCCGGGATCTAAAGATCGTCTAGCGACAACTGGGTCCTTTCGCATATTTCTCGCGTCGCGTCTCTAGTCTTGATCTATCCATCAACCACCCACCACCTACTTAAGATATAGGACTATAGGTCTTCCAACGCCCAAGGCAAGATGGGGAAGCTCATTCGCCTCGAGCTATTCAGTGCGTATCACCTTTTCTATAAGAACTTCCCATGCGCGCGACAAAACTAACTATTCCAAGACTTCAAGTCCTATAAGGGACATCATATCCTCCTCTTCGGCGACTCCTACTTCACCTCTATCATCGGCCCAAATGGATCTGGCAAATCTAATTCGTACGTCGTCTACTATCTCTGCTACTAGCTGCTTATGCGCTTGATATACTGACTTGGCGTAGTATGGATGCTATCTCTTTTGTCTTAGGTATTAAGTCGTCGCATCTCCGATCTGCCCATCTCAAGGATCTCGTTTACCGTGGCCGAGTCCTCAAGACTTCGAAGATAAACGATGACGGTTCGGCTGCCGAACCAACTACAAATGGACATACCAACGGTCTCGTTAATGGCGACGACAACGACAAACCGAATCGTAGCGACCCCAAGACTGCTTGGGTCATGGCCGTATACGAAGATGATGCTGGCGACGAGCAGAGATGGAAGCGCAGCATTACGAACCAAGGCTCGAGCGAGTATCGCATCAACGACCGCGTCGTCACGGCCCAGCAATATAACGAAGCCCTTGAAGCCGAAAACATTCTTATTAAAGCCCGCAACTTCCTCGTCTTCCAGGGCGATGTCGAGGCGATCGCCGCCCAGTCTCCCCAGGATCTTACTCGTCTGATTGAACAGATTTCGGGTAGTTTGGAATACAAAGCCGAATACGAGAAACTTCAGAGCGAAGCGGACCAGGCTGCCGAGAATACCAATTTTATGCTTCAGAGACGACGTGGTATTAACTCTGAAATTAAACAGTATCAAGAGCAGAAGCGCGAGGCAGAAAACTTCCAGAAGAAGACCGAGGAGCGTGATGCCGCTATTGTCACTCATATCCTCTGGAAGCTCTACCATTTTCAGCAGGTTATGGATGACTCGAGCGCGAAAATTCAAGATCACCAAGAAAACCTAAAAGAGTTTCGTCGCAATGTTGAAGCCTTTGAGAGAAAGCTCGAGACTGCTCGTAAAGAACAGGCTGATGCTGCGAAGGAGGTCCACAGAGTAGAGCGTCAGATCAAAAAGCAGGAGAAGGAGATGGAGGAGAAAGAGAACAGCCTTGTTCCTATTGAGGAGAAAGTGCAACAGACAAGCAGCCAGGCTGATACAATTCGTCAGAGGATCGATTCTGTTAAGAAAGAACGCGACGAACAGCGCAAACTAATATCCAAGATCGAGAAAGACTTGGCTACCGTCCAAAAGGCTCAGAAACAATTCGAAGACCAATGGAAGGAAACGATGAAGAAACAAGGCAAAGAGCTGAGCGACGCTGACCGGAAGGAATACAATACCCTTCGGGCGCAAGCGTTAAGCAAGTCTTCGGAAAACCAGGTCAAACTAGAGAACCTCAACCGCCAACTTAAAACCGATGAAGTTACCGTCAACAGTCTGAGGGGCAAGGTTGAGACTTATCAGGCTGCCGTGGAGAAGTTGGAGACTGAGCTAGCAGCCATTCAGGAAAGGAAAAGCGCCACCGAGGCTACTGTCAAGCAGCTCTCGAGCGAGATGGATGCCAAGAAGAAGGAGTTCAATCAGGTCCAGTCGGAAAGAGTCAGAACCAACCAGAGACGGACAGAACTCGACGAGAAGCTTCAAGATGTTTTGAGGAAGTTGTTAGAGGCGGATGATGGAAGACGCCAAAACGACAAGGAGGCGCGGATAAAGGAGGTGATCAGCTCTCTAAAGCGTATCTACCCAGGTGTTAAAGGTAGAGTAGGAGAGCTATGCAAGCCGAAACAGAAGAAGTTCGACGAGGCTGTCATCACTGCCCTTGGACGAGACTTCGACTCTGTCGTAGTTGACAGCGAGAAGACGGGTGTGGAGTGCGTGCAGTATCTGAAGGACCAGCGTTTCCCACCGATGACTTTTATCCCATTAGACAATATCAAGGTCAACGCAGCAAACACTGCTGTGAAGGGCATTTCCGGCGCGCGACTAACTATCGATGCCATCGAGTTTGAACCTTCTCTCGAGCGCGCAATGTCTTACGCTTGCGGTGGCTCGATCGTGTGCGATACCTTGGATATTGCGAAACACGTTTGCTACGAGCGTAGAATTCAGGTCAAGGCGGTGACCTTGGAGGGGTTCGTCATCCACAAGGCAGGCTTGATGACCGGTGGACGAGGCCCAGACAGCAAGGGGAAACGCCGCTTCGAAGAGCACGACGTCCAGAACTTACAGAAGATGGCAGACAAGTTTCGGGACGAGATCGAGAAGCTACCCAGAGCGGATAGACGGGGCGTAGCGGAGGAGACATTACAGAACGAGCTCGCGGGGCTTGACCAACGCCTAGCATTTGCCAACAGCGAACTGGCCGCTTTCACCCAAAATATCACTAGTAAGAAAAAGGAACTGGAACACGTCAAACGTCAAGTAAAGGAATGGCAACCCAAGTTCAAGGAAGAGGAGAATAAGTTCCAGAAGACGCGCGCAGCAGTCGAAAAATTCAAGGCCGCCATCGCTGAGGTAGAAGATAAGATATTCGCCGATTTCTGTAAACGACTCGGGTATTCTGATATTCGGGCCTATGAGGCGCAGCAAGGAAGTCTGGAGCAAGAAGCTCATGAGAAACGTACGCAGTTCGACCTTCAAAGATCAAAGCTAGAGAGCACTAAGAGCTGGGAAACATCTCGACATAATGACACGGAAAGCCGACTTCGTAGTCTCGAGGACCGCTTTAAACGAATATCTCAAGATATTAAATCATACCAAGCAGAGAAGGAAAAGATCGAGGAGGCGATGCGCGAAGACCAGGATAATCTCGAAGCACTGCAGCAGGAGCTGGATGAATACGAAGCTGAGCTTGCCAAACGGACAGAGAAAGTCAACGCGGCCAAGACGGAAGTCCAGAAGAGGAGTAAAGATATTGAGGGTAGGCAGAAGGCAATTAATGCTCTTGAGACCGAGGTTCAGAGGAATAGCGCTGGCAAATTCGCCCTATTAAGACGATGCAGATTAGAGCAGATTAACGTGCCTCTAACTTCAGGGTCTCTCGATAATCTTCCGAATCAGGACAACCTCTTACACCAGGATCCAGACGCTATGGATGTAGACGACGGAGATGATGCCGATATCATGGGCGATGCTATGGACGATTACGGTATCGAGGTCGATTTTAGTCAATTAGACGATGATCTAAAAGATGTAAGTTGCTACGCAGAGCTTGGTTAAAATCAGACGCTAACCTAGACAGCCCGAGGACGAAAGCATCGAAGACAAGTTACAGGAGAAAATCTCGTCACTTACTGCGGAGCTGGAGAAACTAAACCCCAATATGCGAGCAATAGAGCGCTTAGAGGTAGTCGAAGCACGGCTCACAGCTACCCAGAAGGATTACGATAACTCTAAAGCAGTCTACGAGGCTGCGAAGGATGCCTTTGACGAGGTGAAGACCAAACGTTTCGAGCTATTCGATAAAGCGTTTGTCCACATCCGAGAGCAGATCTCGCACGTCTACAAGGACTTAACGCGATCCGATCAGTACCCGCTCGGCGGCCAGGCCTACCTCGATATTGAAGAGGACACAGACAAGCCTTATCTCTCGGGGATCAAATACCACGCCATGCCGCCGCTCAAGCGTTTCCGTGACATGGAGCATCTGTCGGGAGGTGAGAAGACGATGGCGGCGCTCGCGCTACTCTTCGCCATCCACAGCTACCAACCTAGCCCCTTCTTTGTGCTCGACGAGGTGGATGCCGCGCTCGACAATGCCAACGTTGACAAGATCAAGAACTACATTCGCGAGCACGCAGGGCCCGGCATGCAGTTCATTGTCATCAGTCTGAAGACCGGCCTGTTCCAGGACAGCGAGAGCCTCGTCGGCGTGTACAGAGACCAGGAAGTGAACAGCTCACGAACGCTAACCCTTGATGTAAGTATCCATTTACACAATTTCTTATCGATCTATAGGGAGATCATACGTGCTAACTCACCTCTCCTAGCTACGCAAATACGTGTAATACCCAAGTTTATTCTACAGGAAAACAGGTGCTTCTATAGGGAAGGGCGGCGTGTCACGAGGGACGGCTTCATGATATGGGTAATGATAAGCAGGTGCTGGTGGTTATGGCGCACCCCGAGTCGTGGCAAACATTAAATCACCAGGCTCGCCATACGCTACTATTGTTGAAGATACCTTTGACGGTTTTGCTTGGAGTGAAAATAGACTCCAGATATTTGTTTGTATCACAGAACCTTTTATTTTTCTTCGGGGCAATGTAGATATACCATTCACACGGGAAATGCTTCAGTTTTCACGTTTGCCAGAAAAGAGGACACCTATTAGACTTTAATTTGCAATGCGATTGTTGCTAACCCTTTTTTTTTGGACGCCCGCCCGTCCAGGTCTACCTGAGAAAAGACCCATGCAATGCTATGCTACACACACCTCCTGTATAATAAGGGTATCGCGATTACGAAAGACCGCACTCCCCTTTCAGTCCCTTCCCCGACCCCGCTTGACCTCGTACGTATGGACATAGACGTATCACCGTCGCCCATGCTTAAACATCCTCAAACTGCATATCATCGTCATCCTCACTGTCGCCACCGTTGGCCGGCTCCTCGATTCTCGCCTTCTTGGCCGGCCTGTCAGAAGCGGGAGTATCCGCAGTACTAGTGGGACCGCTCGACGCAGCTCGCTTCTCGCCTATGGAGCTGACATTCGCAGAGATGTCCACAAACTCCTCGCCTCCGCTCTCGGCATCCTCGTCGTCCTCGTCGTCTTCTTCCTCTGCCGCACGTCGGGCAGCCTCCTCCTGGGACCTCTGCAGGGACTTGTATAGCTCGTCCATTTCTTGTTCGTGAGCAGCGTCATTAATGGAGGCTTCGGGCTTCTTGGTGTCGACATCGTCGATCTTGGCTGCCTTGGCGGAGTTGGAACTTCCGGAATATGATATTCCGCTAACGGTGCTAGTAGTATGCCAGGAAGGCAGGGCATTCTGCAGAGCAAGCTTCTCTTTCTGAGTGCGCGCAGCCTCCTTCTCAGCTTCGGTAGGCCCGTCCATGTCGGTAATGTCGACCTCGATCTTCTGAGGGCCGGTATTTGCCATACCCTTAACGGAAGTAGGCTTGGCATTCGGGAGGGCGATAGATTCGGCAGCCTCATTACCTTTTGGACGTATAACGGGAAGAGATGCGGCGCGAGCGGTGTCGAAGTCGAACTCGGGAATAGTGACCTGATCAAGCTTCGGTAGCACGTCTAGGATGAACTTGAGCTGATTGTTTAGTCGAGTGGACAATTCGTGGCCACCCGCTTGTCGCTCGGGGTCGAAATCCAGAATACTACCGCATTTATGGCACATGAAACCTCGTATAGGATCCATGTTGTCGAGGACCTCCATCTGAGTCCATTCCGATCCACAACGCTTACAGAAGTAGACCTTCTTCTCTGCTTGAGGTACAGCATCTCCTTGGACCTTTTTGTCGAGTAAGAAGGTTCTGTACTTGATGGCGTCGATGGCCTGTCGATAATCGATGTAGTAGTAAGTGCGGGTGACAGGCTTCTCTTTGCCCGCTACCAGCTCTGGACGAGAGTGGCTACAGTAATAGCTATCAGTTCCGTTGGATAAACAGTGAGCTATTGTGATGGACATACGAACGCAAGAAGTGATCTTCTCTAAGTCTGCTGTAGGACTTGTTTAGATCCTTCGGGTTTAATGCCATGAGGTAAGATAAGTCACTATCCTTCACGGTCGTGTGAAGGACGAGAGCATCGACAATGAGAATCAACCTTCTCTCGTCAGGGCCGGTGTAGAAGGCGCGCGCGACAGTGCGCACCAAGTTCTGGGCCAGATCCATGGTGACGATAAATGAAGATGTTAATTTAGGTAGAGGGGCGCAAAAGTTGATATTCCTAAGGTTGATGTGAGGGAGGGCGAGGTAACAAAGAAAGGTCGGTCGAATGGATGATGGCAGAGGGATTATAGCGGCAAACCAATGGTACCTTTCTCAAAAAAGGATATTGCAGGCAGTTTCCATCGTTTTGTCAACTGTCGGCTTGAGCAGGTGAATCGGATTTTGGTTGACAAAGCGAAAGGCTATGCGACGCTCCGTCAAGGAAGACGACGGCTACAAATCGGCATGCTGAGTTACTAGTATCGCGTCGGCCGAAACGATCTAATTTGGAATCGGAGTCGGAGTCGAAATTTGAATGGGAATGTGCTTGGTCCTGGCGACTTTTCGGTATTTTCTAAGCGAATGATGATGAGGTTAAAAGTTACAAAGTTGAATACAAAAGTTTGGTTTGACAATTGGAACAATCATTTGGAAATCCAGTTGCTCACTTGCTCTTGTTGCTCCCCGGTAATGACCCATAATAATCTTAGGTAATACATATCCATCTCATTAGAGACTTCCGGTACTTTCTTTGTCCGGTTCCGCTGTTCTTTTTTTAATCCAGGCTATCCAAGGCTAAACTCAAATTGACGTCACGTAACTCTAGATGTATATCCAGCCTGTGTACCTAATGACTTAATTCTTTCGGAAGATTTCAGGTATATTCTCCAAATTCCAATGACAGTTAAATATGGATGTATGAGTATGTATACATGGGTAGGTACATATAGGCAAAGCGGCTACATACCAAATACAAAGTTTGACGTTCCGTCGTAAGGTACATATATTTGTATTGCTCTGAACCTTCAAATATTCCCATATCTATTTCCGCTAGTAAGACATTTTTTGAATACTCGCTTCATGTAGCATCACTACTCGCCATTTTCATGTGCAAGGATTATGTCGTAGTTAACAGCAAAGCGCAAGCACGATGCTCCTTCAATTCCCTATCATTTATCTATTACCTACTCATATTGACCCCGACGAGTTGCCAGAGTGGGAGAGCAAAATACCTACCTTAACCTACGATATCAACGAGGCCGATGTCATACTTGGGAAGATAGCTAACAGAGAAAGGGCTAAGTTCGAACTAAGGCGCAGGAAGATTCTAACCGAAGACGTTCCTTCAGCATCGGACTCCTCCTCGGGCTCATATGGTCCACCACTAAAGCGTAGGAAACTCTCGGGTTCATCATCTCCAGAATCCACATATAGTTCTAAGCAAGGGGTTGTCCATGATAGGGATGGGAGCCCCGATGATGGTACGGGTGTTCGTGTCCCGGTCGGTCAGAAGGGTCAGATGGTCGGCAGCATAGACACGGAAGATGATAAATCAATTATCAAAGTCGTCAAATTGGCATGGTTCATCGACTGCTTAGCTCAAGAGTCCATCCTTCCGATAGATGACTACCTGATATACCGGGGCCGTAAGACGCAGAATGTGACCAATGAGCCTCCCCTGAACCCCAATGATGTTCTCCAACGCGCGATGCACGAAGGCGGGAACGAGCGGCCTACTTCAAGAGGAGAATCGGCTCAACATTTACGGACCTTGGGTAATGTGAAGCGCCCTGCCTTGATTCAAGAGTCGACTTCGGAACATGAAGACCGTTCGCAGATGCCCCCAATTCCCGACTACCTACACACCCCTTATTCTTGTCAACGTCCGACCCCCTTTACTCCACCCAACAAATCTTTCATCGAGGAACTATACAAGGTTCGAACACTCAGACAACTCAAAAACGACGAAATAGGTGTCAGAGCCTACTCTACAAGCATTGCATCTCTATCGGCTTACCCATATCTCATCTCCAAGCCAAGTGGTAGGTGTCTTATGTCAATGTTTAAGCCATTCCCATCTGACTTGTATGTACAGAAATAGCTAGGCTCCCTGGGTGCAGTGATAAGATTGCCGAACTCTATCGGCAATGGAAAGCAAATGGCTGTCTAGAAGAGGTTGAAGCCGCCAAAGCAGACCCGAAGATGTCGGTGCTCCAAGATTTCTACAACATATGGGGCGTTGCAGCGACGACCTCTCAAGAGTTCTACAAGAAAGGGTGGCGAGATCGTGATCACATCGTTGAATACGGTTGGGACAGCCTAACACGAGTCCAACAGATCGGCCTTAAGTACTACGATGAATTGCAGGAGAAGATTCCCCGTTCCGAAGTCGAAGGAATCGGACGGACCATCCTAGGCCACACAAATAAACTCTGCAAAGGCTTTCAGATGGTTATTGTCGGCGGCTACCGAAGAGGCAAGACGGAAAGTGGTGATGTCGACGTAATCCTCAGTCATCCGGAAGAGAGCGTCACTTCCAACTTCATAGTCGAAATTGTTAATAGTCTGGAGAAGGAAAAATACATCACTCACACGCTGACCATGAGCACGAAGAATAGCGAGCGAGGGCAAACTCCGGTGTCATGGAAGGGACAGAATCGCAAGGCAGGTGCCGGTTTCGACACGCTTGACAAGGCGCTTGTGGTATGGCAGAACCCGCACTGGGATAAGAAGGCGTCGTCGAAAAACCCAAACCCCCACCGCAGAGTCGACATCATCATCAGTCCCTGGGTGACGGCGGGCTGTGCAGTTATTGGCTGGACTGGTGCTACCACATTCGAAAGAGACCTGAGAAGATATTGCAGGCATGTAAAGGGCCTGAAGTTTGATAGTAGCGGTGTCCGCAGTCGGACAGACGGAAGCTGGGTGGATCTCGAGAGCGACGCCAACGGCCCAGCCCCGGATATGCTGACAGCGGAGAGGAGGGTCTTTGAGCGGTTAAGCTTAGAGTGGCGTCCGCCGGAAGAAAGGTGTACGGGATGAATTCGTTTATTAAACTCAGGATAATGTTTTGTATCATAAATGAGAAATGAGACCATGATACGAACTACACAGACCCGACTCTATTGTCAAATCGTTAACCAGCCTTGATTATTATACATTCCTCCCTAACATTTCTCACACAACCTCAATGGAAGGAATTTTCACGTTCCCCGCCTTACTATACATAATTATATCTATCGTCGTCAAGAAAAAGAAAGCACCGGATATTGGTACCGATCCTCAATTCAGACATGCAAACACGGATTCGGTATTACTCATGAATCCCCTTAGTCACATCCTCGTTCCCATTCACAACTTTGACTCTGGCGCCCTTCGCATTTCCTCGCCCCCACCACTCCTCACCAATATCCAATCTCCAACATCCTGGTAAAACACCTCCTTCCCGGGCTCGGCATGCAGCTGGTGAAACCAGCCCTCGTATGCCTTGAACGTGCCGTCCTCCAACTTCTGCCTCTCCCACCACTCCTTTACCCTATCGAAACTGGTCACCATGTCCGCCGTGCCGTGCGCGAGGAACACGGACTTAACGTGCGGCCGCAGCTTAAGCTTCCCCGCGGACAGGAACTCGGCGCGGTCGATCATGGCGGCCAAGCCCTCGAGGGTGCCCGTGTTGTGCATAAGCGGATCGTCCGCGATGTTCTTCTGCACTTCCGTATCCCTAGACAGGTGCTCCGGGGGTACCGGCTTGAATAGGTGGAAGTTTGGCACGACGTGGGCGGCGAGGCGGCCGCTCTTAACCGGGGTTTTAGTCAGCCGAAAAAGATTCTTCATATTTCAAATATATATATATATTTATATACAAAAGAACATGAAAATAAAGATAAAATGTAACCTACAGCAATAGTCAACCAAGAAGGCTGGAACTCAGGCGCGAAGCCCAGAAACGGCGCCTCAAGAATGAAGCCTCTAATCTTAGCAGTGATATCGTCGTACTCGGGCGTGCTAGCGAAAGTAAGCACCTCGCCGCCGCCCATAGAGTGGCCCAGCATAAACACCGGGACGTCGCCGTCGCCGTCCCCGCCACCGAAAACCTTAGCCCGGATGAAGGCGGCGATGTCGGATAGCACGGTGGCCGTGGGTCCCGTGCGACCCTTGTCGGCGGGCCGGCGCACGCTCCGGCCCCAGCCGCGCTGGTCGAAGCCGTAGACGGCGACGCCGCGGCGCGCGAGCGTCGGGAAGAAGTCGTAGTACCGGTCCACGTGGTCGCTGAATCCGTGGATGACGATCAGCTTGGCTTTTGGAGGGCCGGATGGCTGGGGTTTTGGTTGGGTTGTTAGTATGTTTTTTCGATAGAGGACCGAGGTACGGTAAGACTGCTTTGCCGAGGTAGGTATGTAGGCAGGTAGCAAAAGGAGTTTACATGGTGGACGAGGAGAGCGGGTGAACTTACAAACCAGGACTTGGTGTGGAGGGTTACGTCATCGACTTTGACGGTGCCTTCGACGACTTGAATGTCTGCCATTTTGGGGAGTATATTGCTATTTGATCTGGTAGGATATTTATAGAAATTGATGATGGCGGTAAGATGATGTGCTTGGGGGTGTTTTATATCGTAGCCTTATGTCGGGGTAATATGGAACGATAGTACGCTAAGTTAGATTTGATATATATAAAGCTCTGCTCCAACAGGACTGTATGTTTGATGAGATCGTATTTCCTCGAATGAGAGCCAATTACGAAAGATCCTACCTGGCCTTTTTTGAAGATTCACCGAGGTAAGGTGAATGTGTAAACTGTAAGTTAGTATGGTAAGTTATGAAGCTAAGCTGAAGAAGATGAAATTGTGGGGTTCAGGGATGCCTAGGTAGCTCCTAGGTAGCTCCAACGTACCTGTCCAGCTGGCTTAAAGCGCTAATCTTTTAGCTTCGTGCGGCTCCGCAGCGGATAGATCGTGGTTCCGTTTTCATAAACGCGGAGAGACTACAGCTCCGCCGACTAATTCAATGTACTTGTAAAATCAAAAACCCAATAAAAATGAGGTGTCAGCTGTGTTGTTCACATCGTTTCTTGCTCAATGTCGAATTAAACAAGTCGAGCGCCCCAGCTCATGCCCCCCCGATGAGTTCTAAACCATAGGCCAGTAAATCCACCAGGGCTCGTACCTAAGCGTAACATTTACACGAATTCAGGAAACATTCCAAATAACGAATAATACCGAAGGCGTCACTTAGAGTACAATTCAAAACCTGTATTTGTTGTGCCGTTAGATTCTACATATCACCACCGTGCCAAACCTTCCCCTATTCTATCCGAGAGACCCGTGGACTTTCCCTCCGAGTCCAACTTTATCATGTCGTAGGTATCGAGTGGAGTTCTGGACTCAATTATTCTACATATACAACGTCCATTCATCGCCCTGAATACCTCGCCTGTTTTCCCCGTCGTGACTTATGTCCTTTCTAAGAACCTATAAACCAGGTCGACCAACGACCTTTTGCAAGATCCCGAGAACACATGAGAGAAAACTAAAAACGAGCCCTTCCCCTTTTTTGTTTCATGTAGAGTGTGCTATGTCGAAAGTGTGATTATTACTTCTCCGACTTTTGTCTCACAGCTTCCTCTTCTTCCTCACCAAGCTCTTCCTCATCCGCTTCTTCGAGCTCCTCTTCAAGGATCTCGGATTCCGTGAGCTCCTTTGCCTTGGAAGGAACATCACCTCCGCTCATCTGCCATTCCATCAGCCTGGTGAATTCGCTGTGGGGATTCGAGCTAAGCTCCTCGTACGATCCGACTTCGGCAACCGTGCCTTTGCTGGATAGTACAATAAGCTTGTCTGATCTCTTGATGGTTGAAAGTCGATGAGCAATAGAGATGGTAGTCCGTCGGCGACCCTTGAGCAATGCCGCTAGTGCTAGATTGACAGCCGTCTCCGATTCTGCGTCGAGGGCTGAGGTGGCTTCATCCAAAATGAGAATATCCGGATCCTTGATAAGGGCTCGCGCAATGGCAATACGTTGCTTCTGCCCGCCGGAGAGTTGTGCACCTCTAGGGCCAACCTGAGTCTCGAGGCCTTGCGGGAAGTCGCCGATGAACCCACAGTTTGCTTTTTGCGCAGCTGTCACTATTTCAGACCTAGTAGCATCTGGCTTCCCGTACGCGATGTTTTCGGCCACAGTACCCGAGAATAGCACCGGCTCCTGTGACACCATGCCGATACGGCGCCGTAAAGATTTGGCATTCATCTTGGCTATGTCCACGCCATTGATGCTGATGGAACCTTCGGTAGGATCGTAGAATCTTAAGAGTAGGGATGATACCGTCGACTTTCCACCACCCGAGGGACCAACAATGCATACGTTAGTTCCCGAGGGTATCTCAAAGTTTAGGCCGTTGAAGATTGTAACAGCAGGACGAGTAGGATAGGCGAATGAGACGTTTTCAAACTTGATAGGACCCTGTGCCGATGTGACCTTGATGCCCTTGGTCGTGGAAATGCCTGTGTTACGATCTTGAAGTTCGAAGATCCGCGTAGCTGCACCGACGCCTTTCATCAGTTCCGAGTAGAAGTTGGCGACACCGAACAATCCGCCACCCGCCCAGAATGCGTACATGACGAATGTAGTCAGGTCACCAGTAGTCATTATACCATCTCTTACAAGGTTTCCGCCGAACCAGAGCAAGCCGATTATCGTCATATTGCCCATCCACGATGTTCCGGAGAAGTAAGACGCGTCGTAAATAGATTGCTTCTTTCCAAGCTCGAAAACCTTCCTCACCTGGGTGTTGTACCGACGGACCTCTTGAGCCTCACCGGCAAAAGCCTGGCTTGTCTTGACATTTCCCAGCCGTTCTTCCGCAATCTTGGTCAATGTTCCTAGGTTCTGCTGCATCTTACGGCTCAGTTTTCGGATGATACGAGAGTAGATGAAAGAAGCGCTGCCGATAAAAGGGGCGGCAACCAATATGACGGCAGTCAGGCTAGGGCTAATCCAGGCCATCAAGGCGAGTCCCGAAACGCTATTCACGAGAGACCGCAAACCATCCGAAACGTTCTGCGTAATACTCTTGCCCACGACGATGGTGTCGGTTCCGAGTCGAGAGATGAGATCACCAACCCTGTTCGCGTCGAAGAACTCGGCGTCCTGGCTATACGTCTTTCTAAAAAGCTGCGCACGCAGGCGTGTAACAACTCTCTCGCCGATAATACGAAGCAGTACGATACGGCCGAAGTTAGCGCACGCGCCGACGGTGAGAGCTAGAGCGAAGGCACCGAAGAATTGGTAAAGCGATAGGCCGAAGATTTCCGTCTCCTCCAATGATTTCGACGTAGCTAGATTCATGACCTTGCCGACAACGAGAGGGAGAGAGATGAAGAGGGATGAGGAAGTGAGAAGCAAGATGACGGCAATGGCGAGATTCCTAGCCTCCGGCTTTGCGATCTTGATGAGGCGCCAGATCTCGCTGAATTGCCATGACTTCTTGTAATCTTTCCCATCGTGGGAGAGACGAGCTCGTAGGTTGATTTGGGCCGCTTTGGTAGCCTTGTCGCTCTTCTCGAAGCCCTCGTAGGTCTGCGTGCCGTCTTCCACAGCCTTTGCCGCTTCTGATGCAATAGCCCCAACTTCCTCTTTCTGAATACTCGGCTTTGTCGCAATCTGATTCTCTCGGCGGGACGCCTGACTCGTAGACAAATACCTTAATACACCAATTGGGGATCGCCATCGCGAGGTCGCCGCCGACAATGGTGGTGAAATAGAAGTAAAGCCGAGGGGGCTCGGAGAAAAGCCTGGTGGGGTTTGCGATCGGATGAGATGAGGGGAGGTCGAAGAGTTGTGGAGGGGAGATTGAGAGGAGATTTCCGGGGTATTTAGCGATCTCGGTATGGTGGATAGCTCGTTACGAGGCAAGACGATAAGTTGTTGAGGGAGCTGGCGAGGTCGGTTTGCGATGGCGGCACTGCGCTGTGGGAAGCTTCCCATCATAGCGCGACCCAACGCCCGCGAAGCCATCTTGAGCGCTTTATTCTCCTTGCCTCCTCATCGATCGGTGTAAAATCTTGCCCTTGCGCACGATCGCACCATCGATGCGAAGCTGACTTGAGCTTCACCCTGATTGCGCCGTGCAGCTTTAGTTGGCGATTTTCTCCTCGTGGAATAAAGAAAAAAAAATGAATATGTAGGAATGCCGTCATCCACTAAACGCGAGCAACGCCGAACCGAATAATTCCACTAAGCCTCATATGTGAATAACTTTATATCCAGGATTAAGTGCTTACCTGATTAGCTGATTTCATGTACTTAGTAAGCAGCTTAACGTGTGTATCTACATAAGTGCCTAGGTACTTAGATATATATGTTTTTAGTTCAAGGTTATTAGCAATAGCCCTATGATGTCCATATATTGAACCTTTTCGCGTATTTGCCTGAATAGACAGGCTAGTTAAATTACCTGTCAACACCGGCTGAGTTCTGAGACCGTCTATAAATAAATCACTATATGGAAATTTCATATGGACGATGTACGTGGACGTCAGTTTCATCACTCGAAGGTCCTTAAACAAGACGCCCCTTACAACATCGTGATTGTCCCGATAAAAACCGAGACCTTGGTATCACCTTTCACATTGAAATATGTTAGATCTGTTCGGCCAACACGTCTGCTCTCCATTGATATAATGTAGATATAATGTACAAAATTAGAAGATGACCGTGGTTCATTCGCATCGATTACCTATAGCAGAAGCTACTACAGCAAGTAGAGATAGACAGCGTATCATTGAAGGATGAAGAAAACTGGAGTAGCTGGAGTAACCCCGATACGAGGCTATAGAAAGATGACCTGACCCAGAACGCCAAGATTGCTGCTATTGTACAATGGCTAACTCCTGTTCATCCGTGTATGTCTTCGAAGACACGCATGCCTAGACTCCATGGAGGCCAACTCTGGCAAATTTGAGCGCCAATTTAGGAACCGCCACTATCCCTCCGAAGCATCTCAGCCACGTCCGAATCGATGCCATCGTCTTCGCCAAGGTCCGGGAAGCCATCGGCCTCATCGATCTTACGTTTCTTAGATCCATTAGTCGTAGTAGGTACCGATTTGAACTGCAGACCTAGGACAGAAGGGGCTCCTGTGGTTTTTGTTTCGGGTTGTGCAAGAGTCTCGCGGGTTTCCGTTTCGCCAAATGAATCGGGTTGCTCTGAATGCTCGGGTTCCATCGAGGGTGGCGTGAGAGCTTCGACTTCAGGCCTCTCAGGCTCCGTGTCTGGTTGGTCATTTGAAGCGGTGCCCGGCAAGAAAGGCTCGTCATCTGGAAGCCCAGCCATGATAGCCCTCTCGACTTCTGTCTTTTTGTCTTCCACCTCCATTCTTCGGGTCACGAACGTCTCTAGCTGATTCTCTTCAGCCACTAGCGCATTCCTATTAGTATCTAAGACCTTCTGGAGCGCTACGACAAGCTCGCGACGGGCTTTGACGCATTGCTCTACGGCCCCTTCAGCTTGAGCTAGCGTTTTGAGCAACCCGCTCAAACGAGCGGCATACACAGGAGCAGAAGGGGCGGTGCTATTCGGACCCAGCAACTTGTCATACTCCTGATTGGCAGAGTTGGCTGTGGTCCTCATGCCCAGAAGCAGCTTCGTGACATTCTGTTGAGGAGTGGTCAAAGGGGCTAGCTCTGCTGGAATGGTTGCAGCAGATCCGAAAATGGAACCACCAAGCCCAGCTTTAGCAGTACCGCGGACCTGATTGATTTCTGGATGACTATCTTAGCATAATGCCCTATTCAATTGTGGAAGAAATATGACCCTACCATGAATACGGGTGTCTATAGCCTCTAAGATGGGCTTCTCGAAAATTTCGCGGTCTTTCCAGACATCGACAACCCGTTGGATTCTGTTTTGAATATCCGTGGAAGCACCCTTGTAAGCAGTTGCGACAGCTTCCGCGATGACAGGGGAGAATGCGAGAACAAAATCCTCTTTGTGACGGGCTTTAGTCTGTTGAGCAACCTCTGCGAAATCGTTTAGTCTTGGCTATGTATAGTAATACCAGCTTAAACAATGCTTGGAAGAGTAAGGCGATAGGAAAAACGTACCATTGGCAAGGTATATGAGGTTTAATCGCTTGTGACTTGTTGAGTCCTTCAGTCGTTGTAGCCATAGCTGAACAGTTCGATCTGCGTGACGTCTGGCACCCGGCAAACATGTCAGTGAAGATCTACAGGGCTTTGCGAAATGCGCATTTGCATGCGCCCAGGTTTGCCTACCTATGGAACATAATCCATTGGGCTTGCGTCACAATGCTGTCTGCCGCTTCGGACAGAGCAGACAGCTTAGCTAGCACGGCATCGTCGGTGTAGGCCATGGTTGCGGTTGTAATTGCGGATGAAGCTTGAGTGGTGAATATGTGTTGTGTTGTTTTGTTTGTTCTGTTCTGTTCTGTGTTGAATTGAATTGAATTGAGTTGAGCCGAGCTGGATTGAACCGAATTGGCTTCAATTGGGCTTGTTGTAGAGTTGGCGTATATTTACTTGAATTTTGTCGTCAAATCAATCTACAGTTGGCAGAGTTGGCTACCAGGTATTCATATTGAGTCGCGGTAGAAGTTTTAAGATGCTGTCAAGATGTTGTTGTCAAGAAGCTTCCCAGGTGTTTAATCTAGTCTACCAGGGAAAGTGACTCGAGTTCAGCAGGCGCAAGGCTGGCGATGTGCTTGTTTCCACTGTTTGCAACCTTGGAATATCTAGTAGCTACCAGTTCTTATGTAGAAAGGTGATCGCGGTAGGTGAAATTTATCAAATTGAGTTGAGAGATGGGAAAGTGTTAAGTCGTCTTAGTGTTTTTGAGGCACGTGATCAAGGATCGATCAGAACCTTGAAGGTTGTCCATTGGTAAATGACGGGCAGGTCCGGGGTGCGTGTACCTAGGTACCTAATCCAAGTAAACGCAGACATACAGTGCACATTGGCTTCATAAATGCACAAAATGCACGGTATGATCCACTTGTGCAAGCTTGGAAGCAACTGTAATCTGTACTTCGCGTACCTGAGAGGCTGCTACGCACTTGCAGCTTAAGCCCTTGTAATTGAATCTGACCTTGCTTTCAAGGTTGCGACGGTACCTCAAACAAAAACAGCATCTGGATACCATATTTCAACCGATTTGAAATTCTCTACAAACCATTTTCCCTCAACCACTCCTGCCATTAAAGCTAACTCCACCACCATCTCGTCAACATGGCAGACAGATTCCCGTCCTTAGACGACTTCGATTCCGGTGGTAAGTAAATCTATATATCCCCTAATCCTACTCGAGAATTCTTGTTTTCGTCCTTTACCATGGATGCGCTAACTCTGGACCCTTCTTAGCCCAAACCGAGATCCAAGATGTTGGCGAGCCGTCAGCCGATGATTTCCTTGCTCGCGAGCGCGCCCTTCTAGGCGACGACGCAACACAATTCACAACTGGCAACGAATCTGCTGCTTTAGCAGATCCCTCGTCTGATGATCTGTTGGGTGGAGGCGGTGAGACTGCTCAGTTTGAGAGCGCATTCCCGGACATCAACACTTCTAACGAGGTTAGTGATGCCTCAAGTTCCGAGGTCGCTATGGAAAGATCATATTCTAACCCCCAATAATAGCAAGTCGCACCAGGAGGTACCATTACTGGCCCTTCCGTCAACTACAACTCAGGCTATGGTGCTTTTGTTGCTGAAGAGGAGGAACCTGAAGTTATCAAGCAATGGCGCGAGAAGCGAGACGCCGCCAACGCTAAACGAGCCGAGCAGCTGGCCGCCCAGAAGGCCGAGACCATCAAGGATGCGCAGCAGAACATCGACGACTTCTATGAGAACTACAACACCAAGAAGGAGAAGACAATCGCACAGACTCGCAAGGACGCAGAGCAATTCTTAGCAAGCCGAGACGACACTACTTCCGGTGGCACCAGCTGGGAGCGCATTTCCAAATTGGTTGACGTGAGTGGCAAGGGCCAGAAGGGCGGTGCTAGTGGTTCAGGAAAGGAACGATTCCGCGAGTTGTTGATGAGCTTGCGCAAAGACGAGAAGGCTCCCGGAGCTGAAGGATATTAAGCCTATTTTCACCGACTGCCCACTTCCTACGTAGTGCTCTTGGTCACCTAGGGGCATGATTAACGGAGTCTGCCGGTTGATTGGCTCCTATCGACGGCAGCCCATGGCAGACCATTGCCAATATTGGTTGTACTTAGATAACACTTTCACACTCAGGTAAATAAGCAGGCATTGTAGGGCCTTTTCTGTGCCTAGGGGCGTAATTGGACTGATTTCAACAACTGCGGGATCCCTCCCTAAACTGGCATTATATTCATGAAGCTAATGGGACCAAGAATCCTTAAGAATTTGTGTTTAAAGACTGTCTATTCATCGGCCTAATAGGACACTTGGGCCGGCCTCTCGTCTCTTGTCCTTGAAAGGGCATCATTCTTCCATCTCAAGTTCTCTGGTCTAGTTCTTGCCAAACCATGTGTTGTAGCCCAAGGCCTTGCGTCCCACCATGTATAGGGAGGCTGTTATCGTTGTCAGATTGCGCCATAAATGATATTGATTTCAAGAACGAACCTCCCATTGTTCCCCAAAGGAGGGTGTAGTATGGAATTAGTAGGTAGTTGCTTGTGGGGGCCTGCGTTATATTCGGTTAATCGAGGGCATGTCGGAACAGGCCTAATTCAAATCGGGTACGTACGATCTTCCAGATTCGAGTGTGCTGGCGGTAGGCTTGCTGGTACATCCTCTGCTTCTGAGGCACCCTGTTGGGGGCGTCGACTAATCTGTATGTCTAGTTAGCACAGGTTGAGGACGCTTCACTAGTTCGCTCGTGAGGGCATTTGAGCCCGCGGTAAGTCGAGAAAGCCACTGGCGTTGAGATGGACCGCCTTGCTAGTATCGGAATCTAATGTTCGCACGTACCCCATGTTTGCTGTAGGTTGAGAGGAGCTCGAAAATTGGTTATGGATGCGTTCGAAAGGATGGAGAGCTGTTGTCGAAGACTTGAATGTGAAGCGATTTGACGATCGAATGATTGGACATTCGGGTATCCAATACCACTAGCAGGTAAGACTATTTCTATATGACTAAGCGTAGAAACTTCGGGTAAATTTTGCGATAGCCGGCCTAGCGGCTCAGGTACTTTGGACCTTTATGCCTTGGATGTGGAGCCAGGGTCCGCTACTAAAGTAAAAGTTCATATGTAAAAGTTCATATGTCAGAAAGATTCAACTTTTATTAATCTCGCTGTCTTCACTTCGACCTACATTTTAGGCTTTCCACAACCGGGTCAACCTACCTAGAATGTCGATTACGTGTAAGTAATGCGACTAGCGAGAATAATACTTCGAGATGTGAAGCCAAAGCATTTCGCCCTCCATCCTCGGTTCCTGCTCCCGTTTCGACATTCTCGGCTAGACAGGAGAGTTGCTTGGTTATCTGCTGGATGGGCAGGAGAAAATGCCCAGTGCTACTCTTCGGCGACATTTTTGAACGAGTCAGAGAACCCTGTCGATGTGCTCCTATCAGAACTATCCGACGACCACCAACCGACACAGATAGGACAGAAGCTACCTACGCAGCCGAACTTTGACCAACTAATTCAAAAGTCAGAATCGTTCAGAAAATGGGCAGCATTATTGTCAGACCCCTTCCGTCTTGCTATTGAGTCTGACTTTTACCGACTTGGACCAGCGAAGAAATGGCCGAGACGGTTGTTGGTGGACACGTTCAAGCATCGTGGTGATCTCGCTTTATGGAGCTGCCTTTTGAATTTTCAGAAGAGAGTCAACGGTGATCCCGGCGTTAGGCACGTCTGGAAGGCCCTTTGGGGGCGAAAGACACTATACGATGTAAAGAGTCCGCTTGCACCTGTATTCTGGCAAACAATCCTGGATGCTGCGGTGAGATCGGAGGACGTAAAATTCTTAGAGTATGTATGGATCTACAGCGAATGGATGTACGACCTACATGGCGTAAGATGGCCACAACTCTACTCGACCGTGCTATCGCATTTCCTTCGAACACACCAACACCATCAGGCCTTGCAATGGCAATTGCGGCTCAACCCGAATTTCTATCCCGGCGCGGAGGAGTTTGCGCGCTTGATCAAGCAGTTTGCAGATGATCCGGAACTTTACCATCCCCCTACGCTTGAATCACTTTACGTCGTAAATCCTGATCATCGGCTGTACGATACTATTATACCGCATTTGTATAACTTGGGTGCTTCCCAATTAGCAGCAAAGTGGCGACGAATTTGCATTCGACATGACGATATACCCTCGGCGCTTGTACCTGTTCGACCATTTCTGAGATTCCTGCAGGGATATTTCCCACGCGCATCGCTCCACCCTAGCGAATCGCTCCACTTTAGCGAATCTGTTGTTTTCAACCCTAGTGTTGAATCCGTAGAAGATGCTGCACATATCGAACTCTCACGAGAATTTGTCAATCGTGTGCACGGCGGGACCTTTGGCATCAGTGTCAAGAACTACAACGACAATTTAGGGGCCAAGTGGCTAGCTAGCTCCTGGGTCAGTTTGGATGCTGCCATATCGACAATCGCAGCTCTAGGTATTGAACAAATCGGCCCACTGTCGTTGCAATCGATTGCCTTAAGAGAAGGAACATCAAAGGGTGTCTTGAGCCGTATCGAGCAGCTGAAGGAGCAGGGGATCTCGATCGTCGATTCAAGCTATCTGAGACTTGTGCTCTTTTTAGCTAGGATGAGAGATGACGAGCTTTTACTCGATCTCCTAAACTGCGACCTTCATCCAGACGTGTTTGATGATCATGAGCTCCTAGCACAGCTCATCGTCTCCACAGCCAATTCGGGAGATTGGCAGACTCATCGGGTTGTACTAGCTTCAAGGCTCGTTGCGTTGAAAGAATTCAGTCGAGAAGCGACCAACGCACTCGCTCGCGCTTACGTATTACGAAGAGATCGACAGGGGCTCTCTACACTGCTTACTGATATGAAGGCCATGGAAATCGTGGTCAATGAAGATGCAACCAATCTCATATTCGACAGTCTCGTTACCGAAGCCAAGTCTACTTACCTTTCCGAGAAGTCTCTCTACTTCTATCTACCTATTTGCCGACAGCTGGCATCCATGGAAATCCCCGCGCCTGTTCGTTGTTGGAGGAAGATTCTGTTTTGTCTTGCTCGGCAAGCAAGGCTGGACGAGCTAGAAAAGACCTGCGTCGAGTTAGTGGATATATTCACCTCTCCGCACTCATCACGTCCTGGCTTTACCCCCGTACACCCAGAGAACATACCGGAGCCCATAAAAAAACCACTATCTGGTGTCGAGAACCTCTTGGGTGTTTACATTCCCGTAGACCTACCAACGCGCACACCACTCCACCCACTACACCAAATATTCGAAGATAAGCTGATTGGGACTATTGTACGTTACTCATTTTACACCTTCTCAAAACAACAGAGCGAGATAGCCCTAGGCTTGCAGATACATCGCCAGCAACCCGGAGGATTTAATGGTGGCCGGGCCATTAGACTGCTACGGTTACTTCACGATCGAGGCCTATTCTTTCATAAAAAGCATCTCGTCACTGCGGTTAAGTTACGTCTCGTCACTTTCTACGGTCCTGGTTATCCGGCGAAGAAAATCCACCAGCTTGCTCGAGCCAGGAATGTCCTAAGCCTATCGAAAATGAAGTCGTTTTTAGACGAAGCTTGGGGAGAAGAGTTTCTCCCGCCGGTTGAGGTCCTCCAAGCGGAGATTGAGACTCTTGGCCGGAAGATGATGTTAAAAGATAGGGAGTACCTACGGCGTATGGGAAAGACGACGCCACGACTTCATGTCGTTCTATGACTCTAGCTACACTACGTATATATGATAGCATAGATATGCCTACTCATTCGCATGGGATGTGAATTTTAGGGGCATATATCTAAGATGAAATTAAAATTTAAATAAACCCATTTAGTACATAGATGTTTCTCGTTGACGCCTCCTATGCCAGCGATAAGTCGCCCGACATCTAGTTCGACTGGCCCGAACACACGAATCGAGCCATGTTTTATCATACCGTACTTCCTACATAGTTTTCTAACGTATAACAAAAAAAAAAAAGAAACACAGCCTCGTCAGCCTCCATCGCCGCTATCGCCGCCACCCCGACCACGATTCTTAGGTTTTAAGACGAGAAGTATTATGGCGCCGACGATGAGTAACACGAGGAGTAGTATGAGCTTGCGCTTGGTAGTCTTCTTCTGGTAGCCGGCGGCGACGACGAGCTCGCGATCGGCGCCCTTTACGTCAGCGGCCATGCGCTCGACGTTGTAATCGATACGGTCGAGCATAGTGCCTTGGTCGATGACCATGGTCTGCAGGTCCCTGAACAAATCGGATAGCTCGATGATGCCCTGAGCGATATCTTCGATCTCTCGTTCGCGTTGCAGTATCACGGCGTCATTGCTGTGGAGTAATCTTTGCTGCGTCGTCTGCTGTAAGGCCGACTGAGAGTACGAGCGGTCGGCGTCGGATTCGAGAAGCGACGGATCGGCTGCGTAAGTGTTGCTGCTGGTCGCGCCGCCGAGGGGCGTGGAGGATCGGTCGCCCCCCGGCGAGACAGCGCCTAGGCCGGACATGCCGCGAAGTTCTAACGTTCGGGTCAGTATCGAATGTCTAGGTTATGTCATCCGCGTTTATAAGCGGAAACTCACTCTTTAGATATGCGCTCTGCTTTTTCCTGAAACCGGCGCTTGCCTCTTGTACCCTCGCGGCGAGGCTTATTTGTATATTCTTGGCCATGGTCTCCTCGGCCCTCGTCATGGCGCCGCTCTGCTTGCCCTCGCGCACCATCTGCTCGACGCGCTGTATGCACCGGTGGCACTCGTGGAAGCTCTTGGTGATGTTCTGGGTCAGGCGCTCGATCTCGCCCTCCTCGGCCTTCTTGGCCTCCTCGTCGTTGAAGCCGGGCAGCACGTGCTTCTGATGCAGGCGCTCGAGGGTCTGCGACTTGCGGGCCACGTCGGCGAGGAGATCGGACACCTCGTCGTTGATGTCGGCCCAGCGCGGGGGCAGCAGGTCCATCTCGATCACGGCGTCGCCATCGTCGTGGTAGTCGCCGCCCGACAGCAGCCCTTGCTGGTCCTCGGAGGCGGCGCTGCCGCTACCGCGACCGAATTCCGAGAAGCCATTTCCGACGCCGCCGCCGCCGCTGGGGCCGGGGCCGTACCGAGTCTTCTTGGCCGGGTGGTGGGCATAGGATTGGCGGTAGGATATGTATCTGTACGAGTTTCATCTTTCGGTTAGAGCGTCGACGGATGATTACGAGCAATCGGAGGAGGTGGGCAGGTTTGTTATGAGAGAGCGATGGTTGTTGGCTTACAGGTTGGTGCGGTCTCGCCACATGGCGGACGCGAATAGAAGGGATGAACACCCTCACCTTGGCTGCTCCGGAACTAATTGAAGAGATCCGGTAGAGGAATTGGGTATTTGGGTCTGTGTATGGAGCACAAGACGTTCTAACTAACAACAGAGAAGAATATATATCGTTAGTAATCTGGCGATAAGCGAGCGACAGGACAAGTGGTCGTTGCTATCAGTTCAATCATGGATAACAAATATGTATGTAATTCGTAAGTAATTGCCAGCTCCTTAACGGCTGACGTAGCTTCGACCAATCTATGCGACAAAAGCCTCCTTTTTCGGGTTACGTGGTTACACGGCTTATTTCATACATGCCTTAACCTAATATGTGGTTATATAGGTTCGATTGGCATTTAAACGGAAACGTGCTTTTACCTAGGTAATCAACCTAGTGTTGCGGATAGACACAAGTCAGCCTAACGTGAGGCAATGAAGACAGCGTGAGCAAAGCTTGGCGTAATAAGCACAAGCCATGCATCAGCTACGTGCATACACATCTATGTACTTATGTATATTATGCACTTATTAGCATGGCACCTGGGCTGTATTGGTACTTGATTTCCATGCATATATACTTGGGTAGCTAATTAAATCAACTTGGAAATGTTCTAGACGGATGCGTGTAGTTCGTGAAACTTAACAATTTATCGTAGGTCCAATGTCCATATCATGTTCGTAGACCTGTAGTCTTGTACATGTGTATATAGTACTTGTTATACTTGTATGTACTTGGGTAGGTATTTACATATCTTCATCAGGCGAAAAGAGGCGATAAATGATCGTTCTGTGATAGCCCAAGGCAAACAGGCCGGCTGCCTCGAAGCCAGACGACCCCTACCCCCCTAAAACGCTCGACCTTCCCCCCCCTTTAAAAAGCCCCCCGGAACATTGAAGGGTACTTTAAAGCTAGCAAGCCCCTCCACTCGTCCTTTTCTCCCCACTATTTTGAAATCCAGCCCTGCCTTGTTCTGTTTTGGTCTTCGTTAGTATTATTATTCTAAACTATTTTCAAAACCAGAGAAGGCCCTCTTCTTCCTCCTTGGCAACCTACATCTCTCGTGGTAACTGCGACAAACGACACCGACTCACATTCGTTCCTCTGCTGCGTCAAACAATCTCAAGCTACTCAATTCCTCGCATCACAGAAAGGAAAACAGCTCAATCATGGTCCGTATTGCTTAATGCTTTAGTCACCGCCAATCCAGAGACAGCCCCGCCGATGAGGGGCTCGAAAGGAGTTTGAAAATAGGACTCGCGCTGACCATAACCCTCTATCGCAGGCCGACTCACTTACCGAGGAACAGGTCTCCGAGTTTAAGGAGGCATTCTCTCTCTTTGTAAGTTCATTTCGAGAACATGATACATTATATCACCCAATATCAGTTACTCTACTGCCTCGTCGTCGATGACGTACCCGCTAACAGCTATGTAGGACAAAGATGGCGATGGTAAGTCGTCTTCTTACTACTAGACCTCAACCTGAACCTCGTAGCAATATCCTTTTTTAACCTCGACGATATACGCGAACAGCTGCGTCGTACTTTGTATCTTCGCGTTGATCAACGAGGTCGACTAATACCTATTCCCAGGACAAATCACCACTAAGGAACTAGGCACGGTCATGCGATCGCTGGGCCAAAATCCCTCCGAGTCTGAGCTACAGGACATGATTAACGAGGTCGATGCTGACAACAATGGAACCATCGACTTCCCTGGTGAGTTTATAGCTGCCTGGCGCAAGTCGCACTACTTTCCGAGACAAGGCTGACGTTCTTGTCGCATAGAGTTCTTGACCATGATGGCACGCAAGATGAAGGATACCGACTCCGAGGAAGAGATCCGAGAAGCCTTCAAGGTTCGAACACCTTATCCGACCAAAAGAAGACATAACCGCTTATACTGAAATAGGTTTTCGATCGTGATAACAACGGTTTCATCTCTGCTGCCGAGCTCCGCCACGTCATGACCTCCATTGGAGAGAAACTCACCGATGACGAGGTCGATGAGATGATCCGTGAGGCTGACCAGGACGGCGATGGCCGCATTGACTGTAAGGAGACTTGCAAGACTTATCAAGTCCTATCACTAACTTTCATACTACAGACAACGAGTTTGTCCAGTTAATGATGCAGAAATAGAATGGGAAAGGAACTTGTCGGACTTTCGCTAGCCTGTTGATCGCCATACCCACCTCTTATGTTGCGACGAAGTTTCCTTTTTTCTCTCGGGATTGTGCCCAATGGGACACTGTTGATTGAGTTGAAATTATCAATTCACGAGGTATACGCAAGAATGGTGTTAGGTTGGAAGACGGGTAGGATCTCCTCCACCAACGGCTGACTTGACAATACATTTCCCGATTAAAACATTCACACGGAAACATGAGCGTGACTCCATCTCTTACGAAGCTTCTACATGTATTGTCGCGTGAATATTACAGCTGTGCAATTTCAAGAAATAGAGCCTTATTCATTGCCACATTATCCTATCACTAGCCAATGCAGTAGTTCATATATCAAAATTGATCCCATAACAAATATTTTTCGAACCAACTTCAGTTTATGTAGTTAGTCATGTTGACATCTACACCAACTCTTAGGCTAGGCAAGCAAAGACAGCATAGCAAAGAAGGTCATTCCCTTACAGGGTACCTGTGTAAACATAAGGCTATGTTAGTTCAAATTTACAGTGAACCTCGATATGAATTCTTCTTACTCTCTCCAAGAGGTCGGTCGGGATATAAGTGAAATTATATTCTGTATGATGGCTGACATATCAATTCTTCCTAAGCCTAAATTCTGAGAGTGATGAACCAGGACCCAGTGTTATGGAATCACAGAATCGTGAGACACCATAGAAACTAACTCGGAAATCGGCACAGGTACACGAGGCATGCTTTTACAATATGTAACATAAGTTGTCAACCTTGCAGTTCATTACGCAGGTGCTTAGCTAGGTGTATATAGTCTACGACTATGAGTGTAGACCTTGTCATGATAGAAACAATTGTTTAAAATAGACATGGCAATATCTTAAAACAATAGTCTCGATTAAGCGTTATCAAATTTCACTTCTTGGAGTTATACGTGAGATATATTTAAAATACTACTTTAGTATGTATACTTATATGCCTAAGTTGAGCCTGATCAAAGTTTAGTTATTCTCTTTGGCATCGTTACCATTAAGATAATCTTTACATTAAGACACTCCTTTTTGATGATTACTACCGGTACTGCTTCGGCACATCGAAACAGCACGGCAATATATCAGGATATCTATAAAGTATACGCCTATTGAAGAGAAGGGAAGAAGGCATAGTATCAGTAGCATCCTTTGCTACCAAGCTTTAGCGACGTACATAATCGTTAACAATTTATCTAAAGGAGCTTGGGCCACAGAACTTAATTAATTCCCGAGCTATGTCAGCGAAGTGGAGCACAGGCGCGGGGATGATTTGTTAGGCAAGGTCCCTGGAACCTTAGAAGCTTGGCAATCCCTAGGGAAGGAAGCTTGGAATGCGAGCCCCCTTTTCTTCCTATTTACGTACCTCGATTTAACTTCGAACTTACTAATTATACTGATCCATATCTTGTCGACCTTGGTATATGCCTATGTGGAGAGGCTTGTTTTGCAAACGACAATATTGACTCGGCCGACTATTCGGATCCTTGATTACGATTAACACAACACGTCTGATGTTGAACTACGAATTCACAGTTGCCTCTAGGAAAGCCGACTTCGTTGTCAGTGCTCCAGGCTAATAGTCAGTAAATCTATTAAGTCTATTTAGTCTCACCTCGAGCGATGTGGGCACTTGTTGCTTAACTCCTGATCCACAGCATCTGCTAGCTTTGAAGCCCTGCCATATATAAATACCTATATCTACTATATCGATCCAACTTCAACAATGGCCGTTCGCCGCGTCCGAGTAATCCTCGCTGTCATTGCTATATGGGTACTTGGGTCTTGGTACTATAGCTGGCATCCGCCCGATTCAGGCTTGTTCAATCTTACACATGGCCATGCCCCGGGTGGTCAATCCGTCCCAGCCTCTGCTGGGTCCAAAGGTCTTAAGTGGGAGAAACGTCCGCCCCGTTATCCCGTAGACAAGTTCGCTACGCTCCCGACCAACAAACCTACGAAACAAGTCCCACGCGTGCAAGCCACGAAACCGCAGGAAACCACTGCTGAGAAGGAATTGCGGTTGGGACGACTCGCTGCGGTTGAGGAAAGCTTCAAACATAGTTGGAACGGGTACAAGAAATACGCGTGGGGCCATGATGAGATCAAACCCCTTTCGGGGCTGTATAAGAACCCCTTTGGCGGTTGGGCGGCCACACTTGTCGACGCTTTAGATAGCCTGTGGCTCCTCGGCATGAAAGAAGATTTCGAAATCGCGGTGAGGGCTTGTGACAACATCAATTTTACAACCACGGAAACACGTGATATTAACATTTTCGAAACGACAATTCGATATCTCGGGGGATTTTTAGCTGCGTATGAGCTAAGCAACAAGCAGTACCCAAGCCTCCTCAAAAAGGCAACTGAGGTTGCCGACTTAGTTATGACATCCTTTGATACTCCGAATCACATGCCTATAACGCGATTTCCCTGGCAAAAATATGCCAGAGGCGAATCACAGACGGCACGGAGCTATGTTTTACTTGCTGAGATCGGATCACTAAATCTTGAGCTTACCAAGTTGTCTCAACTGACCGGCGATATGCAGTATTACGATGCTGTACAAAGGATATCTGACGAGTTAGAAAAAGATCAGAAGAGAACTTCAATGCCGGGGATGTGGTCGGTCATCATTGACGCGACGAAAACGCCGATCAAGTCCACGGGTGATTCATACACACTCGGCGGGATGAGCGACAGTACATACGAGTACCTTGGGAAGCAGTACCTATTGCTTGGAGGCGCGCTGAATCAGCCAAGAAAGATGTATGAGGGGTTCATAGAAGTTGCAAAGAAACATCTTCTCCGTCGCGCCCTGAATCCAGATAACCTTCCTCTACAATTCTTCGCCGACGCTCGAATCGTTACTTCGCCCGGTGGTGATAAACAGGTTGTGACTACGCCAATAGCACAACATTTAACGTGTTTTGCAGGAGGCATGGTAGGCATGGCAGCCAAGATCTTCGAGCGTCCGTCAGATTTAGACGTAGCCGAACAGTTGACTGAGGGTTGCGTGTGGTCATACAATCAAACCGTTTCGGGCATCGGGCCTGAGATATTTCATTTCATACCCTGCGAGGCGGACATCGCCAAGGACGATTGTCAGTGGAGCGAAGAGCGTTGGCTGAATTCCTTAAGGAAGTATTGGGGTCATGACACCACGGGCGATGATCTTTCCGACCAACAGCTTGAGAAAATCATAGAGACGAGGCGACTTCCTCGCGGGATGGTCGAGGTTGACGACCGCCGATACATCCTCCGCCCCGAGGCAATCGAATCTGTGTTCATGATGTATCGCCTAACCGGAGACTCGAAGTTCATGGACAAGGCCTGGGCCATGTTCGAAGCTATCGAGAAGTGGACGCGATCGAAGTATGCTTCCGCGGCATTGGATGATGTGACGGCAAGCCATCCGACTCAAGTGGATAGCATGGAGAGCTTTTGGCTAGCAGAGACGCTGAAATATTTCTACTTGATCTTCGGCGATTGGGATCTAGCTAATCTAGACGAATGGGTGTTGAATACTGAGGCACATCCACTTCGGCGTGCAGATGCACCATAGACGGATAGACGGTCAATAGGTGGGGGGTGAGCTTTAATGCCCTTGGAACATGCCATGGATGGTAATGCAGCTGCTAAGCAGCAAGGGTTGGATTTTATGCACTGGCAGAGATGGATCTTTCGGAATAGTTTTATCGATTTAGGTGTGTGGGACAGGAACTGATCGGGAACTGGATTTTTATATTGATATAGGCCATTTCTATAGGGCTTATATTTATCTAACGATTACCCCTCGATCAAGTATCTAGATACGTACATAAGCACATAAATAGGTATTCTAGACAACCAGTTCCGATATGAAAAGGATGGGTGAATCTGGATAACATGACAAGGCGTAAAAACAAGAAGATGATAGAGCAGCCAAGATCTTGGCTACCAAGGTAGGAACATATTACTGTTCCAATTGGAACTTCTTCGGAATTGATAGTTGTATTTCAATATCGAAATGCGGAACCGAGGTACGCAAAGCAGGTCAAGATAACCAGGTAATGCTCCGGTAGTGGCCGATTTATGAAACGATTTTATGCTTTTAGCTGCGCCTACTTTAATATTTAAAGTTGTACGTGCCGCATCAAAAGAGGTTCGAAAAGCTTAACTCTACGTTAGTTTTTTTTATTCTTTTTATTCTCCTCAACTCCAGTTCAACATCCATAACATTCACAAACCAACACATTGTGAATATTCTCACATTGGATTGACCCAATCAGATTAATCCTTAGCTTGTCAATATCTAGTACCGACCAGACACAAAGGCTTAGTGAATCACTGTCTCCACCTCGGCTTACATGCCTAGGTACCACCAGCGCACTTGGGCGAAGCAATCAATCAATCACAATGGCCAATTTGAGCGCGTGTTCTATTGCCGGAGTTGGTTTGTTCCTGGGCGCCCATTTCCGTCCAACACCCAACTGGTTCTTTTGCCACGGACAGCATACTAGTCATTCGTCATACAGTGAAATACACTGTTATCAGAGAAACGAGGACTATCTAGGTGGGTAGCTGAGGTGGTAAGTAAGATAATGAATTAATCAATAGTAGCCACTACTGTATCACCGCCAAGTGTGTTGTGAAGTTTTTGCTTCTTTTACTATGATCTTGCCTGTCAGCTTGTATTGCCACTCTTCCTATCCCTCGACAATCAGTCTGACTTGCATCCCTACCTATGTACTCCTCACCTGTCACTATTTAGATTGCCACATTTGATCTTCACAGGCACGACCAACCATACCACTTGGCATGTCGCTTAGATCAACGTTGGGGAACTATCTCTCGGCTTATTAACTAACCTCGATACAGGTAGGTTCTCAAGAAGATCTTGGAAGATAGCAAGCTAGTGTTGGCAGCCGGGAAATACTCCAACCCGAGCTGCAGATAACGAGAGCGGCAGGAGTTTTTAAATCTCCCTCCTCTCTTTTTCCCTTGCACACCGCATCCCGCAAATCCCGCGCCTATCTAATTTCTCACCTACAGATAGGAATTATCAGAACAACCGGTCGTATATCCGAAGTCATTTCGACGGACTACCGGCTTATGTCGATATATTCACTCGATCATGGGTTCTGACACTACGCCTCCTGCCGAGTCGCAGTTACATCCCTGTGATAGCCAGCGTGGTCGAAATTCGAGCTCGCGAGCCTCGACACACACGCCCATATCACAGTCTGTTCCTTCCCATAATCCCCACCGCAATGCCACTAGCACCGCTGTCGAAGCTATGAACGAGAGCAGTGAACAACCTGTGGCTCGCCACTCGTCTGCCACGACGGCAGAAGATGTCGAGGCGCAAGATGGAAATGCGCGCTTTAGCGGGAGCGACCCTTATAATCTCTCTTCGGCTTTGAAGACGGACGGCCAGCTTTATGAGATCAAAGCTAATACCGCCCGCAAGCGTACTGGCCAGGACAACGCAGATATGGGGAAATTTGCGTCTACTCTTCAGGCGCGCAGGATCCATACATTCTACAACAAGCAGAATGATACAATCAAGAACATGTTGAAATCGGTATCAGAACACGAGGCCGACCATCGGCGTGAAGCTAACGAGGACCGCTTGCGCCTCGAAATTGCCGTAAAGGGTTCGTTTGTGGCCAATGTGCTCCTGTCCATTTTACAAATGTACGGTGCCATATCTTCCGGCTCTCTTTCGCTTCTTACCACCATGGCCGACTCCATCTTCGACCCGTTGAGCAACCTAACGCTCTACGTCACCCGAAAAGCTATGGACCGTGTGGATCCTAGCCGCTTCCCATCCGGCAATAACCGCCTAGAGACCGCTGGCAATATCACCTTCTGCTTCATTATGACGACCGTGTCCGTCATTCTTATCGCTTTCTCCTGTCAGGACATCAAAGAGCGCTATGGGACAGATACTAAAGTTAATGACTTTCATCTGCCCTCGGTGATCGCGGTGTGCATCGCTTTTGCGACCAAACTCGGCTTATTTTTCTATTGTTGGGGTCTTAAGGACAAGTACAGCCAAGTGAATATCTTGTGGCAAGATCATCGGAATGATTTGTTGATCAATGGCTTCGGTGTGCTGACATCCGTCGGCGGCTCCAGGCTCGCTTGGTGGATCGATCCTATGGGCGCCATTATTATGTCGGTTATCATTAGTGCCTCCTGGCTACATCAGGCCTTTGACGAGTTCATGTCGCTTGTTGGCAAGGCGGCCGATATCGATAAGCAGCAACTTATTACATACATTTGCGTCACGTATTCGGAGGCCATTCGCAAAATCGACACCGTCCGTGTGTATCATTCTGGAGTTAGGCTAATCGCCGAGATCGACATTGTCATGGACCCTAACGATCCGCTTAGAGTCACTCACGACGTTTCCGAAGGGCTACAGATCGAGCTGGAGAAGCTGCCGGGCATCGAGCGAGCTTATGTCCACGTCGATTACGAGACTACGCATAAGCCGGAACATAGCTTCAAGAAAGATATATAATTGCATGCTAAAGCTACAACACTAGCTGTGCCTGGGGTCATGTAACAAGCACAAGCAGGTTATTTGATCGACTCGCCATGCAGGTAATTCGATGTAGAACGGAAGCAAGGTGTTAGGGTCTTATGAATCGGTATGGGAATAGAGAAAGAGACCTACAGGTTTCATTTTGGGGTATAGCATACAAGTCTTATCATTAAGACTAAACATTAATCACTTGGATGCCGAATAATTGACCATTGAATGTGGAGATATAAAATTGAGCCCAGGAACTATTGGCTCCATGGTACTTCGTCCTCCACGGCCGTGATAGCGGCGTTGGGTTAGAGATGCCATCGCTTAGGCTTCTAGGAAAACGACAAACATGTTAAAGCCACGCCGTTTACTGAATAATGTCCAATGAGTCACGATGAAATAAGTGGCCGACGCGTAGTATCAAGAAACGAAATGGATCCAGGCCGACCAACTTCACTAGTATACGTCCGATTTAAAACCAGTCGTGTAAGGGCCCGGGTCGATCGCCTCCAGTCTCATTTCCCAGCACACAAGATAGTGTGTTTGGGCGGCGAAAAGCAACATGCTCATATAAGTATAAACAGAACTTAGCTAGCAGTATGCTCGCCTAATAGTACAGCTGTCAACGTAGTATACTTTACTTCCAGTTTTTACATAGCATGGAATAAGATAGAGAGATCTCGGGTTATCTCTTGCGTCTTTGAAATCATTTTAGGTTAATTAAAAGCGCCCTCCGCCATATGCCGGCCATGCTGTTAGAACGATACGAGAGGTGTGTTGCTAAACCGCAGGGACAAGTTAATTTAGAGAATAACCAGTTATTATTCAGATGAATACCGTCTGGGAAGTAAATAGGGTGAGTTCGACGCCAACCATTGGCAGGTAGTTTCCCGCTTTAATAGTATATTGCTGATCACCTTGTGACTGGGCCTGTATCTGATGAAGTCGGCTTCCAAAAGTTCCAGGGGGAGGTCCTTCATATTCATGTATTTACAGGAGTCTCCATGTTTCTATATAGTTAGTGGTAACACGTAGAGAGGTAAAGTAGGTATGATATTTAGTATTGTCGGGCTAAGGGGTAGATTCAGGTGGTTGGTGGGCCATGAAGATGTTCTCTCGGTATAGAATCAAAATTGACCCCAAATTGACTTACTTATAGGTGCGTAGGATCTCGGCACATGATATTCTATTCTGAGGGGAGAACCAAGGGACTTCTTTTGCGCGTCATACGACCCGGACGGCGCACATAGGCTTGGCAACGAAATGAAGGCATCTTGCTTATGTCTGGGGAACGCCGTAGATGCCTAGAGATTTCCGAGCTCGAGTTTGGTAGTAGCTTCTAGAACAGGGGATTTGTCATTGGGCTGCTATCACCATTAAGGCCGCTACGTGGAGCGGGATGGGGCGCTTGACAAAAACGAAAAAAAGGTGTTAGCTTTAACATGTTTGGTTGAGTTAGCAGCGTCCAGTGAAATATAAGATGAGTCCGTTGTGATGTCTGAGCAAGACGCGTAAATAGTAAGCCTTAGACTGATTTGAGTCTCGTTGGCTAAAATAGCAATGGGGTTCTTGTATGAGATATGTGTGGGACTTAAACGACTGCTAATTTGTTGGTTTCCTGTGAAGCTATGAACCTAACTTTCGTGAGGGTTGCTGCCACTTGAAACACAGGTGTGAGGTGCTTGGACAAGCACGTGGGGGTGAGATGTAGCGGCATGCTGTCTTGCATAGACGCAGTTGGGATTATAAAGTTTCTCGGAAATAGAGGAAGACCACTTATCAAGGCCGGATCGCGGCAACGAACCCGATCCTCCCTTGATTGCTGTGATCATCGCTGCAGAGGAGTGGGTGACTGCTTTACGAGGGGCGTTTTCTACTCTCTATTGGTAGCATGGGGTCTTTTTTTCTGGTCCAATGGGTGGCAACGGAATATCAAGGACGATCTAGACTTAATGATTGCCTGATGCAAATTCTTGTTATGGTGCCTTTTTTTATATCACAATCTTTCCAAGACATTCGAGATGTCTTGTCGGTCTCATACATACCTAACTAGACAAGATTTTCATGGTAGTTCTAGACTTTGTTTGTGCAGTTTTTTTGAAGCCTTGACCCAAACATTGTTGTTGAACTAGTAAGATCTAGAAATGCAGGGCTATGTGGAGCGAAGATCTACGAGCTTATTTATTTGATCTTAAGTTTTATTTACCGTACTTTTATACAGAAAGTGGTACTAAGATCTATGTAAGTATCGTGAAAGTATAAAAGGAAAAGGTGAGCGGTGTTTCCTAACTTGGATTTCTTAGTCGAGTTCATCGATGCTGATTGGCCAGCTATTGAAGATCAAATTGCGGGGTCCTGAAACTGCTATCTGATTTGCTAAAAATAGTCCCTGGCGGAAGAACCTTACTCTAAAAGGAAAAGGAAGTGTCGTCATTTTACATGTGCTGCTGACACAACTTATCTGAATGTTACAGTTACACACACAGACATATTAAAAACATCTTGGTCTTATCAAAAGCCAAATACTACTTAAGATTCATTCAATATCAGCCATTGCTGACTTGGGGAAATTTAGGTAGCTTTCTATTTACCTAAATCCCAAAGCACTTTTGACTCACATGTGGATATCGTTAGTTCCCACTTGGCGTGTTGCCGCCGGGTAGAGCGCTAATGTGAATCTTGGTTGAGTCTCTCTATTGCTGCCAGCGAGGTTGGTTTGCCCCTCTTCTCTGGCTTAGTCTACATGACATAATTCTCAAAGTGGATAGTAGCTTCAGCAATAGAGCTAATAGAGCTATGGGCTTCTGCGGAACCGTGCATTCTGCATGATCCACTTTCTGGTCCACTTCCCCCAACCTAAGCGTATCTTCGTGGGTTATCGTATCTATATCCGCCATATATGGCTGTACATGTATTGAACTGTGGATGCGACCATTTAATTCTAATGTCCCTCGTTAGGTAGGGATGCAGACTCAAGATTATAAAGAACCAATCGAAGTCTAACAACAACTTTGATAAAAAATTTTATACGAGCTAGTAATGCGTACGCAAGTATGCCTGGCCTCTGAAGCCTTCAAGTACATAATAATCTGGGGACCAGAGGCGAGACCAAGGTATGCTTGCCTTTGGAGGTAACGCTAGCGTCGCATTTTCATGAACTCTTTCGATTTTGCTTTGAGGAGGGAAGGTTCCTAGTAAAGGTTAAAAAGAAACAACACGGCCTGTAGAAGCTGCATCCTAGCTACCTAAGTAATTTCTTCACCGCAACCAAAATTCCTACTTATTTTCTCCTCAACCCAACTCCCTTCTCAACCTTTTCTCTTCTTCTCACAGCTGTTGCTATTCTGTATATACGGATAGCTTGTTGTGTCCTGAATCCCGATTAGGATCCATCATTCTGTATTCATCTATTACACTATCTACCCCTCTCGACCACATTCGATTTGGCGTGACCTCACCGACTTTTCTTGCACACAATGGCAGTGCAAGGTGGAGGAGCGGAGGAGGATGTGTACGCCACAGTTCGTGAAACCTATACAGAACTTCGGAATCCTTGAAATAATAGCTAATATATGCATATCTATAGCTTCTCTTGAGTGACACATATTTGCCTGGTATGTTCCACAGCTCTGAATTCGTCGTGATGCATTTTCTAACCCCTGTCAAGGTGCTCTCGTGCTTGCGCATTCCCTACGAGATGCTGGAACTACTAAGAAGCTGGCGGTCCTGATCACGCTGGACACTGTCTCGGCCGAAGTAATTACTGAACTCAAGGCAAGTTTACCAATTACTTCGCATCTAAGACATATGTCCGACTAACTCAATCAACTAGAATGTGTATGACTATGTTATACCAGTCAGCCGGATCACCAATTCGCAACCCTCAAACCTACAATTGATGAACCGAGCCGATTTGCATTCCGCCTTCACCAAGATTACCCTATGGAAACAGACACAGTTCCGAAAGATCGTCTACATAGATAGCGATGTCGTCGCTTACCAAGCTCCGGACGAGCTCTTCGATATTACCCACCCCTTTTCGGCAGCTCCTGATATTGGATGGCCGGATCTCTTCAACACGGGTGTTATGGTTCTGAGCCCGAACGAGACCGACTACCAAGCTATGGCGGCAATGGCGGCACAGAATACTTCGTTCGACGGAGCTGATCAAGGTCTCATTAACATGCATTTCGGCAGTAACTATAACCGTCTTAGCTTCGCCTATAACGTTACACCCTCTGGCCATTATCAATATGTTCCTGCTTACCGCCATTTCCAGTCCAATATCAAAATGGTCCACTTTATCGGCCCCGAGAAGCCGTGGTTCAAGGGAAGACGTGCTAGCACCGGTAGCTCGCCCTTTGACGAAATGGTTGGTAAATGGTGGGCCGTCTACGACAAGCATTATGGAGGGACCGTAAGTACCATATCAGCAATTTGCTTACACTTCTATATTGAGCACTTAGCTTACGATATTTAGAATGCAACATCGACGTCGATTATTGGCAGTTCCAATGCCACCAAATCAGGGTCGGAATTGGTGCAATATTTCACCACAGGAGAATATCAGTACCGCCACCAGGGTGCAAGCGCCATAACTCCGTCTTCTCACTCCAACGTCGGACAGACGGCATCATATCAGACCGCGCATAGGTCAGTCCCTTGCCTTTGACTATTGCAGATCATAGAAGAGCTAACTAGGGAACAGGCCTCAAGTAACGCAAGCTGGGTATGATCACCCAGAAGGCTTTGTCCCGTTCTTTGATCCGGACCTGCCAAAGCCTATCTTCCCATGGGAGGCTCATCGAGAGCGGCCCTCTCGTGTATGGGACGACGATTACCTGAGTCGCAGGGGGTCCATAGCCAGTATCCCAGAAACGCCTACCATCGTGCCCTCTATCGCGGATTTAGCAGAGAGGAGCGAGCCACCAACGCCAACTATGCATCCTATTGACACGTGGTCCGCGTTTACGCTGACTAATGCTTGGGACGAGATACCTGAGATTGAGCGCTATGCCGAGAAGTTCCAGCAACATCGACGCAGACGGAGCACTAAATCTCCGGGTCCACCAGCGTTACCGGCTGATGATGCTGACATCCCTCACCGTCGACGTCAGGGAAGCAAGGTTACCGACTTCCCCAGTGAAACTGAGCGTCCTAGCCTACCAGTCACACCGGCACCCATCCACCCCGGCGTCGGTTCTCACAACCCGCTGCTACCGGCCGCTGAGAACGTGCCGGGGCAGGCTGAATGGGTATGTTCGCACGGAAGACGTTGGGCTCCTGCTGACTGCCTTTGCGACGTGACTAACATACTACACTATCACAAGGATCCTGTGGTCCAGCTTCAAAAATTGGCTAAGCAGCAGTCTGAACTATTGCTGCGAAAGCTCGGAAGTGGGGATCCTGATAGTAGTGAACTGCCTTCTAGACTTCTACCTTTCGGTTCCGACTTGCAAACCTATGTTGCGCAAACTACCAAGGTCTTTAGCCCGCAGCCACTAAAGGGCGGCGTCCGTTCAGCCGGTGTTTACGACATTGATTCCAACCTGGAGCCGACTCCTAGCGTAGCTTCAACTGTGGTAGGGGATATGCTAGAACCTAGCTATACAGGCCCTGGACCTGCATTTGAGAAGGGCGAGATCATATTCAACGAAGATGTACCCACTCCACGAACCACTACACCTCAACCCGGTGAAACAGCGAGAGCCTCTGGGATACCTCAACCAAGCTACGCTGGCCCTGGGCCTGCGTTCGAGAAGGGCGAGGTTATTTCCACGGGAGAGTGAGCTCACCAAGCTATAGTACCAAGCTATAGTGCATTAGACATTGAGTTCCTACTTAGCTTGATACGGCTCTCATCTTTGCCGATGAATATGAAAAGGAGGATGATCACGGGTATTGGTGGATACAGGTTAGGGGCTGTTCGGCGTTTGTGGATGAATGGCCTAGTTATGCGAGGGACGATTCACTAAAGGGGTTTATGTTACAGGCCCCCCAAAAATTATGATACGAAATACTCTTCTTACGTCCGAACTGGATACCTAACTGGAGGAGAGGTGGACAAGAGTTATGGCTTTGACTTCTCCGATAACGATTCCCAGCCCAACTCGTTGGGCCCGTCTTGTTTGTGCCGGGACTTGTGAAGTCCCTTTTCTCATCCTGTTCCATTGGAGGCCTGCGACCTATTTTGGAGGAACCTCTCGTTTCATTTGTTTGTCTCGTTCCCCCGTGCTTTTGCACAGAATACTACATTTGCGTCAATACCACGTAACAAAAAGCCAGTAATCATTTTTATCGCGCGTATTGCAGCATACTTGCATAGCATAGGGCTAGCGCGGAGCGAGCATATACTTTTTTTTCTCTTTTCTTTTTTCTTGTTTTCTCCTTTTCTATCTTCCATTCTAATAAATTGGTGGGACTCGAACAGCACACGAGGAAATTTGGACGAGAATGTATATACGGTATATAGTCACATATTTATCTGGTTGGGGAGACTGGATATATCAGATTATTCTCGGTGTTTGTTTGTGTTTGAGTGCGGTATTGTTGAATATGAGTCGCACAGCCCCTTTTTAACAGTAGATATCACCGTAATATGCTAGGTGTAAGAGTGTGCTCCCAAAGGCCTATGCCTACCTCGATGATTCCTCCAGCAGCGTCCTTAGGTGTTCGTACTAGATATTGTAGTGTTTATATAGCCAAGCAACTTGTCAATACCTCATGTCTCAATGCATTACAACTTAGATCCGACCTAGGAGCACCCTATTACGACTTAGGCGCCAATCGAGCGAGAAGTAATTCACTCTACCCCTCTTCAAGGAGACGAAAGCCGGAAGAAATGGATATCGTTCAGTGTTTAGAGCGCAGCACAGCCTATTCCAGGCCGTCGTAATGTCATCGACCTATACCCTCACCACTCACCCCTCGACCCCCTCGGCCCTCCGCCTCAGCACGCCGACAACCAGCCAGCGCTTCCGCTCGCTGACGTCCTCCTGCCCGCGGTCCCAGACCCACTCGCGCTCAACCCCGTCGCAGTCGCGCTCCCAGAGCCTCTCGACCTCGAGACCGGCCTCGGCGAGCGCTGTAGGCTCGAAGAACCCGCGCATCTTGGCGCGGCCGGTGTGGAACCCCGCGACGACCCAGGCCTGCGCGGAGTTGGAGGAGGGGGAGGATGATTTGAGGAACCAGGATATGGACCGGTGCAGGTTCGCGTGCTGCCACGGCATCCAGAGACAATCGCACACGAAGACGCGGTCGAAGCGGCCCCGGTGCGCCGTCGTAAAGGGCGTGTCTAGCTCCCCCCACGAGTGCCCGTCGACTGCGATAGGGGTGACGGTTTGCCGGGGCGAGTTCTCCGGCTTGGCGTTCGCCGTGACGTTCTTGCGCAGGGTGGTCAGCACGGTTTCGGAAGGGTAGTCCGTGATGACGACGTCGGCCGCGCCTAGCAGCGCGGCCATGAGGCTCGGGAGCGCGGTGCCAGCACCTAGTTCCAGACACGTGAGCCCCGAGACATCGAAGTCGGAGGCCTGGAGCTCGCCCCTGCCGACGGCGAGGGGCAGACCTATGGTGCCGGCCTCGACGAACTCGGCGAGCAGCAGGCTCGCGTTCCACAGGTAGTGGGAGAATAGCTTGCGGTCGCTCTCCTGGTCCGGGTCCGCGAGGGCGATATGCAGGGGCCGGGGCAGGTGCGGGGAGGCGTATGCGAGCGAATGGTCTGCGTCCCCGTGCTGGTTCGTCACGTCGTCCGGGAAGATGACGCCCAGCGAGGAGCTCAGGAAGTCCTCTGGCTCCGAGGTGGGAGGGCCTTGCAAGGAGATGCGGCTTGTGAGCGCCATTTGCCCTGGGTACCTAGGTAGGTAAATCTTGCCTATCTCCCTATTCCTACCGCCTTAGCGAGTTTGGGAAGAGGGGTCCGAGGGAGGGGAGAGCGCAAGGATGAGATTTTTTGAGGCTCAAAAGCAAGGATTCTCGGTTTCGCTTTCCTCGTGTCGGCACCGGGGTGGCGTGGACTCACACGAACCCTATACGGGATAGTGTCTAGATACATGGTAGGGTTTGGGTTTGGGCTGCAAACGCGGAAATAGTTCAATAGGTACAGTATCTTTCTCGGCCGGGTGGAGTTGGGTCAGGCATCCTGGTACGATAATCTAGGTACCTACCCTAGGTACCTGAGGCATCCTAACGCGTAGCGCTAGGATATAAGTACCTACATATATAATAGTGTGGATGTACTATTGATGATAAGATCCGGGGGGGCATTGGAAAACGGAAAATAATCCGTTCATAATACTTCGCAATGCGGAAAGAGGCGAGGGAGTGAGAGCCGGGAGGCAACGCCATGACCACTCCCCGCAACTTTAAAATAGAAGGGGAAAAAAATCAGGGAATGGGGAAAAAAAGCAAAAGGAAACTAAGAAGAAAAGGAATAAAAATAGAGGATCAATACGACAAACGACTAGAGTAGGGTGAATGTGGTGCGACAGTGTCAGGACGACATGGACGTGAACGGTACGCCTAGACTCCTAGACGCGCCTAAGGCGATACAGAAATACAGAATATGCAGAGTGCGTATAAGCGGCGCGGTGGCTTGTATGCACCTATGCACGTCTACGGCGCGGCCGGCCATGCTAGAGTATCTGATGCGAACAATTGGCGATGGGTGGTGTTGTGGATGATTTGATACATTTGAACATTTGCAGATTTGCAGATTTAGAGGGGTCGTGTTTCGGATTGATTTTGAATGATTCGCTTGTTTGGAAGGCCCAGGAAAGCCCAGGTGGAGATTATAGTTACTAAGTCCGCTAGTGTACTCCTGCTGGCTTTGTGGCTTAACGCCTAGTTCTTGCCTTTTCGTAGGTATACCTATATCGTGCTTGATAGGATGGACAAATTTGCATAGGTAATACGGTGGCTTTCCATGACAACATATCATTATTCGTATTAGGTAATCTTCAGTATGAGGCGTTCCGTGTGATTTACAGGAGTATGGGTGTTTGTATAATCGTAAGGTACACTCGTATGGTATAACGCTGTTCTATAATACTACCTATAGGTATATTCTGAGGGCATGTATCACCTCTACTAATATACGTGGGTATGTACAAAGCAACTCAAAGTTACGTTATGCCTGCTTGATGCAAATAAGATGCTGCGCCCCTTCACCGCTTAAGAAAAAACCCAACCTTCCTGATTGGGTAGACAGGCGGAATCTGTGACGGTAGGGCAACTGTCAACATGTCAACCTGCTCTTTCCTACCTTGCCTGCTAGCCCCCATCTTGCCCACCAACCACATGCCGTCACCCTAGCATACACGTGGTAGCGGGTGCTGCGCCTCAAGTACACACAGTATCTAGATGCGGTGCGTGCCTAGGTACACGAAACGGCCATCCAAAGCCACGGCCTGAATAGGTACATAGTACGCGAAAAAGGGGGAGGCCTCTACATCGGGCCGCGACTGCATCGTTTGCATCGTCTGTAGGTAAGTGGTGCGCGCGCTTCTTTTTCCGCAAGGTTGCCCACTTTGTCAGCATGACAGCATTAACCGCACGCTATCCAATTACGGTGGTACCTCTCCATCCATCATCTCATCCCCCTCAACCCGTCAACCCATCAACCCATCAATTGATCTCTCCCCATCCCTCGTTCGCATCTCGTCAGTGGTCGCAGGCGCTGCAACCGCGACCATCTAGGAAATGAGATGTGCTGTTTCAGCTTGCATATATACGCGCATATAGATGCGGTCAGTTAACCCTCCTGTAGTTTCAGGCAAGAAAAGGAGGATCTGCTGAATGCCGATTCCTTGCATTTCCAATCGGAACGCGTCAAGTGACTTCTTACTACTTATTACATAGTATAATTGTGCATATGGATATGTAAGTTGGTCTCGGTAGCTGAGTCGGTTTGACGTGCTCCACGATACGTCAAGATTCGACACTTGATCAAGATTTGGGGTTCGCATGGCCCGATCCGGCAATTAGTCTATAGCTCAGCTAGCAATATCATGTCTGAAGGCCCCTAAGTAGAAGAACCTTAGCTACCTCAGTAGCTTTCGATCCAAGCATAAGCATAGAGCAATGTATATGTGATCATATAGTTGATTAGATAATATTCACATGCGCATTCAATGTCACATCAAAGCAAAGGAGCGGTCAAGTTATGTAAGTGCGGCAGAAGCGAGGTATTTCTCTATTCAAGAACAATGCCGAATATCTTTCGGTATTTGCAATGCCGTTATGAACGTGAAAATAGACAGGGTATCGATACAGGTCATCAACTACAAAATATACCAAAATATACCAGAGGTGAAAAGGCCCCAAGCCCCTTATGGGCATGCCAGATATGGTCATCCTTGAGACGCCTCCGTCGTCTCCCCTTCTATAGATCGCCGGCAGGCCTCTCCCCCGGCGAGAGAAATAAACAAAAAGGAAAACCCCTACAGGTTTTTATATGCCCATTAAAGTATCCCAATGTACAATAGACCTTGCGCCAGTCATGCTATCCCATTCTTCGTCCCGGTCGTCATGAATGCTATCCTATATCGATACAGTAGTATGATTATGTGATATATATACGCCTGGATTAGTGCTGGCGGCTGTATTCCAACATGCGCTTCATGTCTTCCTCGGTGGGGTCGTCTGATATCCATAGTCCTTTCTCCTCCTCGGTAGCGTTGAGGAATCCTTCGGCGCGCCTCATCGTGTTGACGTCGAGGTCAGTCACGTAGGACTTGCCATCGGAGAGCTTTAGGCGGACTTCGTGTTCGGTAGAGAGCATCATGTCATCCTTGGCCAATCGGCGAGGTCCGTCGAAGACGGCCATCACCCGCTTCTTCATCGTCATCTGACCCTTGTCGAATCCCCACGACGAAGGGTACTCGCGTCGGTTCTTGCGGCTCTTGCTCTTACTCGACAATGGCATGCCACCTCGCGAATGTGTCATTCCCCTGGACTTCTGGACGCCGTTGGGCGGGTTCCCCTTCCTCTTCGTTGGCGAAGTTGGCTTCCTTGACTTGAAGTCTTCGTCCGCGAGGTCATCCTCGTCGGCCATGTCCTCATCCTCTTCATCGTCTGAGTTAGAGACAGTCTGGGTGGTGGTGGGAAGCGCGTTCTTCTCCAGGGTCTGGTGAACATCCTCGTCGTTCTCCACCTCGGCCAACCGCTTTGCGTTAATGGCCTCGGCGGGGTCTTCTTGCTGGACAATGCGCAGCACACAATCGTCCAGATGCTCGTAGAAGTCCTGGGCGTTCGAGAATGTTTGCGAACATGTCGAACACTTGCCTGTGGCATCCGGCGCGTAACCAGTCAACTTCTTGCCGCTGTTCGCCGAGTTGGCCGCCTTCTTCCTGCTGTTAGGAGGAGTCTGCTCGACATTGTGGACGGCTGTAAGGTGCCTCTTGAAGACGTCCGCTCGGTTGAACGACTTCTCAGCCGCCGATCCGGACCCGGGACAAAAGCCACACACCATAGTACCCTTGTAGTGAGTTAAGGTGTGTCGGTTCTTGTCATATTTACGAGCGAAACCCTTGATGTGGTAATCGCATGTTTGAATGGGGCACTTTTCAGGTCGCTCATTCTGGTGGGTCAGCATATGCGCCTTAAGATCTTTGAAGACCTTGCCGCAGTCTGGGTAAGAACATCTTTGCTTCTTCTCAGACTCGTCGCTGTTGTACGCGTAATCGTGAGAACCGTGCGATTGGTAAGAAGAAAGGCTTTGCCGCCTTGGTGCGGGAGGTGGTGCTTGAAAGGGGCTGTACTGCTGATAGCCGTGCATATAAGGGGATTGGCTTCCGTTGCGCATTGCTGGCGCGGGTGAAGCAGGACCAGAGAGGGCGGGTGAGTTAGGATAAGGATTCTGAGGGGAGAAGCTGTTTTGGTCGTATCCCTGTAGCGGTGGAGCCATCGGAGGTCCGCGGATGTCGGGATGTATCATGGAAGGATCTAAAGAGCTTACAGTCAGCAAAACTGAGTTCCCACTGTAACTTTAAAACTTTAACAGAATCAACAAGATTGTGTCTTGCGTCTTGTGTGTTCCTTCCTCAACATTGGCTGTGTAGCGTGAAACTGACATTGACTTCGATGAGACTCAACTCAAATCAAATCGGTCAACATCGATCAACCATCAATCTCACAAATACACATCGAGAAAGGTCGCGGCTTCAAGGTGTGCAACATGTAAAATGAGACCCGCGCCAACTCACCAACAAAACCACCAGCTTGTTTATCAAAAGGCATGCTGAAGTCTTCCATACCTGAACCAGAGAAGGCATTGTACTCAGTTCCTGTCAAGTAATCACTCGACCCAACAATTCCGGGGTGCACGCCGAGCGCATTTGCTTGGTACTCGGGAAAGTATGCCAATTGACCGTGGTTAGAGCTGGGCGATCCAACTGTCGAAGAGGCTGCGGAAGGAGCCGAGGCGGTTGAGATATTAGAGGCCGGCAGCGGTAGCTCGCCATCGTCAGCAAACACGCCGGGTGATGTCCTATCGTACATGAAATGTTGCGCGTTCGAGTATGTTGGGCCAACTTCGTATCCTGAGGTCGGTGGGAAGTCTTCTTGTACGCTTCGCGGTATGCCGCCGAAGCCGCTTGGGCTCATGTGCATGTCTAACGGTGGTGAAGCGTAGCTAGCGTGGTGAGATTCGGGGTAGAGCATGAAATCCTGCTCTCGCCCGGGAAACATGTTGTAAGATTGGTCGACGACCAATGCCATTTTATCTTCCTTTCTATTACTGGCCTTTTCCAAAACTTGCGCCGTATATAGCGAGGAATTACAAGCTAACGTGCTTAAGCTAGGTCTTTCCCTCGCGTCAGTGTCTCGGTTGGGACACAAGAAGTAAAGATGAAGAGTGAAGTTGGTGCGATCAGGTGAGAGCTCACATGTATATAGGTAGCGAGCTTCAAAATGTAAATAAGGCGTCCGGCGTCAAGGTACTCTTAAAGAGGGGCACTGGGAGATGTAGTTGAGGACGGGAATAGCGAGCGTGAGGTTTATGTAAGTCGCGAAGCTCGGGTGACAGTTATAACGAGAGTTCGCGCGCCCAAATTCGTGATGCGTTCGCCTTCTAAGCTTATCGGACCCTGAACATACGACCTCACACGACGAGGTTACGAGTAGCGACGATTTGGAGAATATCCTTCGTGGGTTACTGATGTAAGGCTCCGGGGAGGGTAGAGTCTATGTCATATATATATTGCTCTAAGTAATAAGTAACAAACACTGCTAGAAGGAAGGGTACGAAGCAGGACGGAAAGGGAATTTGGCGTGTTCCGTGGTCATGGAGATGGGGCAGAAGCTAGAAACAGGTGAAGCTTTTGGGGGCTTCAGATTCCTATATACACTTGGGCTTTGCAGGAACATAGCCGTGTGTCTCAAGAGGTACATAGATCTTCCATAGGGCAGAAAGCATTGATCGAGGCGGTGCCGTGTACCATGGTAGAGGACCAGGGGTCTGTCTAAACGGTGGGCTGGGTACGTACCTGGAAAATACCTTGGTACCATCGTTGTAAATCATTACCCCCAAGATATTTGGTGGACTGGTGGAGTGGGGTGGAGGCCCTTGGACGCTTTGTACATAGTGGCTTATACGAGAGGAGATACTGTGCTGTCAGCACCAAAGTAGATTTCACCGCGCTAGCAACCTGCATGGGTGGTGGGATAGTCTCAGGTGGGTATCTCGGCCGCCGTTGGGTCTTTGGGATTTGAAGAAGAGGTACGGGTACGGGACGGCGAATGGCTCGTGGGTGTTGTCCATCTTGCCCACCACGCCTACCACGCCTACCACGCCCACCACCATTCTGAGGTTGTGTTCTCTGTACTGGTAGGTGGTAGGCCAGGCCGGGGCTCGTAGGGCATCGTGGTACATAATAGTTATTGTGTTTACATGCTTCTTTGGAAGTACCTGGAGTTGTCTTGTTCCCATCGTTGATTGGAGGAGACGTGCCTAGGGTCCACCTCAAAAGATCACTGCAGGTTCCAATTTGTGCATTCTCTCGCCCTCCGTACCTTTGGCGAGGCACAGTACTCCGCATCATACTACTTAGGTATGTATGGATGTCCTTAAGAGAATTAAAAAAGAAAATAGACAAGAAAAAAAAGGAGGATATCCCAGGGGTCAATGTCTGCCGCTAAGTCCCAGAAGACGCATGTTTGACAGGGAACCTGGTAATCTTAGATCAGTTGAAGTCACGATCGAGTTCTCTATTAGATTAACCTTCATCAATTCCAACTATCTAGGAACCAATGACATGAAGAATCAAGCTTCCAACACTATAGCACGTAGGCGTGTCTCATTCATACATTTTACGACATTTGCTTCATCTCTGTAAAGATGACGAGATCCTATGGTAACCGCATTTTGTGGCTATTGCTTTTCATATGCACCTACCTTTAATAGGTTCCTGGCCAGGGGTTTCTTCCAAATATTCTAGAATTCCTTTTTCCCATTTCTTTTGTGTTTCGCCCAAAATATGTTCTCATTCGGGTTCGGTTTACTATGGCTCACATGGCTCACGAGGATTTCAAGACCGATCTAGAGCATCCTCCAGGCAGATATTTTGTGTACTTTTGTCGACACATGTCCGGGAAGGCGAGAAGGCTTCCGATAGCATACCGACATAGTCTTCTGGAATTTTGATCCATTGTGACTTACTCTGGTGTGTCTCGCGTGTAAACTCACAAGCTCACGCGTTTCTTAGCCCGCGAGCTACGCCCTAAGCTAGAATATAACGTCGGGGATTTCTGAATGGAGTAAAGAGAGACGAAAAGATGTCCTGAGAACGCCTAACTGCGGGTCTAGAATCGGTAGTGCTGGTGCGGAACGGCATACCGAAGCATGGCTGAAGCGGAGGACGCTAGATAGTAAAGAGCTAAGACGCTTCATCGTTTTGTCCCTGCCGATATAGAATGGATATCTTTCCGAAGCCATCGTCATCTTAGGTGTGGAGGTTTCAAACGTCCGATCTTGGTAGCCTAGAAAGATAGCGCTTCTCGCTAAGCACCTTACGCCGTACATACCTACATAATCATCTCAATGATCTCAATGATCCTGAGTAGCTGCACAATTTTTGCACAGCCGTAGGACGTCTGCATAACCCCACGACGGACTACTGCTGACCAATCGCATTTTTCACTACTTTTCAAATTTTGATGCACCGCCCCTCTACGGCAGCGACCCATAGTGCTATGCTATGAAAATAGGTAATAGCATAAAAGCAGTGCCAACGTGAAGCCTTATTGGTGGCTGCGTCATATACGCCGGTCCATTTCTGACTCTGCACGTAACAACAGCATCATTAATATATGCATCTTGGATGAAGCGGCGGTATGTGCCAAATTCAGCCATATTCATGACTTTTAAGCTTCGCATATGTCCGAACGAGCGAGGCGGTCAATATCTCTTGTAAGCGGTTGCGACGCAAGGAGATGTGAGACTTGCATGGAACGCAGTGAGCCGCAAAATTCATAGACCTTCCGTCGTGCCCAGGTTCCCAAATTCTTCGAAAGGTCTCGGAAACGAAGAAGAAGAAAAAGAACATCGGGCGGCCGGTAATATGCGGAGTCGGGCTGGTCGCTGGTCACTGGTCGGAGTACAACACAGTACCTACCATAGGTAGGTAGACCATGCGTAAATCCGACAAATCCAACTAACTCATGGAGATTCGATTGTTACGTTCGTCAAATTACCCAGGGCTTAAGATGAGCACGTCCTCTTTCTACCAAGCAAATCGGGCAACTTCACAAACCAGGGTTTCCATGGCGAGCATGGTAATAAGCTTGACAATATCCAATACCTATTCCCTATTCCCCTGAACCATCGGGGAGTACAGGGTTACAGAGTCACTCAAGTTATTAATGATTATTGGAACTTGTGAGACAACGGGACGGTTCGCGATGTGTAAGGGTCAACTGAGACTATGTAGCTTTTCTAAGCTCTTTAGGAAGCTTTCTAGACTGCTAGAGCTTGTATTCATTGGCTCTGTTGGTTCTTTGGCAAATTGAGTCTGTGCGCGTCTAAGTACAAGATTAAATACAGTTAGCTTATCTTTTCCTGCTTTCTATTGGTCAGTTTACGCATCTCGGCTACCTAGTCTCATTCTAAAAAAAGAACCTTGAAAGTTTAATAGGGGCGACACTTCCCCTCTAATGTACACTAGTAGCTAGTCCCGGGTCTTTGTGTCACAAGTACGTAAGAATGTACCCATGTACAATGTTACGTAGGTAGGTACTGTTACGTACTATCAGAAGCCATACCCGACATGAGGTCAATCCCCAATAAATATCATGGACTATTATGAAACGTATGGGCGAGTGAAAACAGCAGGTGAACATATTCAAGGTCCCTCGGAAGAAACTTATGTAAGAAGGAAAATCCTTGTCCGGTACACGCAACCCTCTACTAGTACCGACCTACCTACCTATTGCGTACATGTGCTATGTAGCATTAGGAATATTGGAAATATGTTGTACGCCAGATCTAGTCGCCGGGAATACGTGCTGCCAGTCCTTCTACGATCGCCTCTCAACCACATACGTACAACACATATACATACCTGACCAAGTTCAAAGCAACGCCTGGAAAACGTCATGTCATGTTGTGTTTGCAATACATACCTATCTCTATGTGCAATATTAGTGACGATGCCACGTGAAACCGAAGGATCGCCTCGTGACGGACGCGCATTGCATGAATTTGGCTTACTCCGCATCCTTCAACGACGCTACTAACCCATCATCAACATAAGGTTATATATTCATGCCAATGAGAGAGACCATCCAAGGCTAGAAGGCCATACGGTGTGTTGCAAAAGCTTCGCTTGGGGTCGAAAACATTGCGACCAGTTTATCCGCAAAGCGCTTAGCATACCCTATATAGTACATCAAGTATGTAACAGCCGAAATTGATGAATTTTACTACTTTGTGGAAGGGAAACGCATAGTCGTCGCGTAAGGCTAGCCCCTGAAGCGTCGATCTTATAACGAAAGTAGGCATTTCTACTAATACCTGTTATACTTGCTCGTCCTCTCTCTCTTTGATTGTTTTCATAGATTAAAAGGTTTACCAAGCTACTAACTAAAATAAAAGCTCCGGTAGGAAGAAACTTGGTGACCATCGTTAGCAAGAAACTCTCAGCCCTACAAGAGGGTCAACGGTTCATCGGATTGCATCAACTATGAGCTGCTCTAAGCAATCTCGTCGACAATAAGCAACTCACAGCCACCTCCATAGAAATCAAGGGACCTGCATATCTTGGCATGGTGTACCAAAGGAATCGAGATGGAACTTTCTATGCGTCTTCCTAATCAAGTCAGGATGACTTTGTGTACGCCCATAATCTTGCAATTGATTAAGTGGCTGCAACCTCTTGCGCCTTTGCCATGCCAACACATCAATGTCCGGATCTGACAGCCCTCTCATTCAAAAACAGCAGATGTGGAAAGTAGCATGATTGGTTTTGTGTGCTAACACAGTCCTGCGGAAGATAGGAGAGCCTATCTGCCAGTTTCGCCATGGCTGCAGGAAGTTGGAGAAAGATGGGGGCCGAGGCCAATATCCCTGTCTTCCACATGGTATGGAATGTTCGACGGCATATTAATCCCCCCGAACCAGGGGCAAAGTTGTAAGCCCTAGATCAAAAGGATTCGATCCGTCCCTGCAAACTACATACAACCCTATAATTCGCTGAGACCCTTGTCAAAAATCCTTCGCGAGGTAAACGGGTGCAATCCAGGACACTCGGCCGGGCTAAGTAATACGGAGGCGACTGCCATAATTCTACTCACTACGGATGTCAGCAGTGTTTTGACTGGAAAATATTAGGCCCAAAATTCATGCATTGTCGTTACATAGGCACCGAACGCGTGGAAGACGTTCCTAAAAATATCGTGGTATGTTTCTTTCCTATTATTCTTTGGCCACCGCAAATACGGATGAGGCTCGCTTAATTCTGGTGGCTACCTGGCGCCTGGATATATATTATAGGACTTGCTTTTCTTATACCGTTCACTAGCTAGGATTTTCAAAAGTCCAAAGGCACTAGACATTAGCAGGATAGGCCTAAAACTTTACCGTGGCCCTGGCGCA